TCTCTGTGAAAAATCAATAAAATATATTAAAAAAAGAAAAAAAAAAGAATGTGAGCTGTGACATAGGAGAAGTGAACAGATGGGGGGGCTGGTCTACGGGCCACCTGACGAGGGGTCTGGAGGGTTGTGGTTCTGGTGGCAGAGGAGGCCCTGGGGCCGGAGCACACAGCCGCTGTGCTTGGGAGGCAGGCAGAGAGGCCTCTGCAGCGAGGCAGGGACACCTCCAGCCAGCTGGGAATGCCTCGGCCACCAGCACTGCCGCTGTCCCCGCCCACAGGCAGAAGCTGCATGAAGCGGATCTGGAGCTGCAGCGGAAGCGCGAGTACATCGAGGAGCTGGAGCCGCCCGCCGACGGCAGCAGTGAGCAGCGCTCCGCAGCCGGGTGGGCGGGGGGGGGGGGAGACCTGGGCTTGGCGGGGACCTCAGGGGCCACTGTGTTCCCCCAGCAGGTCGGCGAATCGAGGAGCTTCAGGACAGCCTGCAGAAGAAGGACGCGGACCTGCGGGCCATGGAGGAGCGGTACCGCCGCTATGTGGACAAGGCGCGCACGGTGAGGATGTTGGGTGGTCTCCAGCCTGCTGCCTCCCTTTGGGTCACGTCTCCCACAGTTTGCACATCTCTGCCCCCACCCCCATGCCTGTCATACCGACTTACACCACAGCCATGAGTTGTCACACTCAACACTCCAGTGGGTCCAACAACCCGTGAAGCCAACAAGGTCACCTTGGCTGTATCTTTCCCGACCCCTAGGTCATACAGACTCTGGAACCAAAGCAGCGGCCACCAGGGGGCGTGCTTCCGGAACTCCATACCTTGAGGACACAGCTCCGGGAGCGGGAAGTCCGAATCAGGCACCTGGAGGTGGGTGCCCTCATCCCTCGTCACTGCCCCCAGCATAACCAGGCCCTTGACTATTGCCTCCTTGGCAGATGGACTTCGAGAAGAATCGAAGTCAGCGGGAGCAGGAAGAGAAGTTGCTCATCAGCGCCTGGTATAACATGGTGAGTGCACTGCACCAGCGCTGGAGTGTCGGGGACATCCCCTGGGCTCATCGAATGCCAACCACACCCCTCTCTCCAGGGCATGGCCTTACAGCAGCGAGCAGGGGAAGAGCGGGCACCTGCACATGCTCAGTCGTTCCTGGCACAGCAGCGGCTGGCTACCAATGCTCGCCGTGGACCCCTGGGCCGCCTAGCGTACTTGAACATGCGCCCCATTGACAAGCATTGATGGACCTCGGGATCCTGCCCACCTGCCCTCCCGCCCAGCCAGTCAGGGCTTAATCCTAGATCCCCCAACTCCCCCAGGGCTCAGCATCATGCCTGGGTCAGCTGCTTGAGAGCCTTGAGGTCATGACCTGTGCCTTTTGTTCTCCTTGGTGAGACAAGAGTACAGGCCAGGGTGGGAGGCAGGTATGGGTGTGTTCTTTCTAGCAATGTGATTCTTACCCTTAATATTCTCCCTGAAGTTAATGAGCTGCCAGGGTACAGAGAGTGATTTTATATTTGAGAAGAAAAATAATAAAGACTTTCAATCTGCCCCGGCTGGACTCTGGGCACTGAGGTGAGGGAGAGACTATGGGCCCAGGACTCAGAGCGCTGCTTTTAAGAAAGGCCTGGCTTGTGGTCTCACTAAAGTGTGAATGACTGACAGTACCCAGTGAGAGGTGAGAGTCATATTTGCGTTTGTGTAACTGCATGTGTGGTGGGTTTTAAAGAAGCTTCAGACAAAAATCCCTGCTTTATGAAGCCATTATTTCCAATGAAGGGAAGCAGACAATAAAGGAAATAGATAAAAGCTTTTAAAAAAATATATAATTTATTAATTTTTTACAGAGAGGAAGGGAGAGGGATAGAGAGTTAAAAACATCAATGAGAGAGAAACATCGATCAGCTGCCTCCTGCACACCCCTACTAGGGATGTGCCTGCAACCAAGATATTTGCCCCTGACCGGAATTGAGCCTGGGACCCTTCAATCCACAGGCTGACACTCTATCCACTGAGCCAAACTGGTTTCAGCTAGGTAAAAGTTTTATGTGAGAAGTGCGATAGAGAAAAATAGAGCAGACAGAAGTGATAAGGATACAAGAGGTAGATTGCCATTAAAAGTTTTTTTATAAGTATTTATTTAGCCCGAGCTGATTTGGCTCAGTGGATAGAGAGTCAGCCTGCAGATGGAAGGATCCAGGGTTCCATTCCAGTCTAGGGCACATACTTTTGTGGCAGGTTCCCTGGTCCTGGTAGGGATGCGTGCAAGAGGCAACCGATCGATGTGTCTCTCACATCATTGCTTTTTCTCCATCTCTCCCTCTCCCTTTCAATGGAAAAATATCCGTGGGTAAGGATTAACAACAACAGTAATAATAATTTTTAAAATATTTATATATTTTATTGATTTTTTTACAGAGAGGAAGAGAGTGATAGAAAGTTAGAAACATCAATCAGCTGCCTCTTGCACACCCCCTACTGGGGATGTGCCCGCAACCAAGGTACATGCCCTTGACCGGAATCGAACCTGGGACCTTTCAGTCCGCAGACCGACGCTCTATCCATTGAGCCAAATCAGCTTCAGCAATAATAATTTATTTGAGGCAAATTGACAGTACGATGGGAAGCAAGATCTCAAATGCTCCAGGAAGTGGGGATTTTTAAAAAATATACTTCTTTTAAAATATATATATATATATTTTATTGATTTTTTTACATAGAGGAAGAGAGAGGGATAGAGAGCTAAAAACATCGATGAGAGAGAATCATCAATTAGCTGCCTCTTGCACACCCCCTACTGGGGATGTGCCCGAAACCAAGGTACATGCCCTCAGCCGGAATCGAACCCCGGGACCCTTTAGTCCGCAGGCCAATGCTCTATCCACTGATCCAAACAAGCCAGGGCGAAAAATATACTTCTTTTATTGATATCAGAGAGGAAGGGAAAGGGAAAGAGAGATAGAAAACATCAATGAGAGAGAATCATGATTGGGTGTCTCCTGCATGCTCCCAACTGGGGATCATGCCCGCAACTCGGGCACGTGCCCTTGGCCAGAATCCAACCTGGGACCCTTCAGTCCGCAGGCCGATGCTCTATTCACTGAGCCAAACCGACTAGGGCAGAAAGTGGGGATTTTTTAAAAAAATATGTATTTTATTGATTTTATACAGAGAGGAAGGGAGAGAGATAGAGAGCTAGAAACACCAATGAGAGAGAATCATCGATCAGCTGCCTCTTGCACACCCCCTACTGGAGATGTGCCCGCAACCAAGGTACATGCCCTTGACCGGAATCGAACCCGGGACCCTTCAGTCCTCAAGCCGACGCTCTATCCACTGAGCCAAACGGGTCACGACAGAAAGCGGGGATTTTTAATAAAAGGCCAGCAAAAGAAGTCTAGCCAAAGAATTGAGATAGTGTAAGCAGAGACCTGAAGGAGAGTAAGGAAGGGGCCATGTAGGTCTCTGGGGAAGAGCAATCCAGCCAGAGCAAACACCATGTCCGAGGCCCTGAGATGAGGCCTTGCTGGCTGGGATAGAAGGAGAGTGTGGAGTGAGTGAGGGAAGGGAGGAGACCGGGGCAGGGAGATTGTTCAGGGCCTGGTGAGCTGTGGAGAAGACTAGCTTTTATCCTGAGTGTGGTGGGAGTCGTGGAAGCGTGCTATCTAATTTGGGAGCCTCCTAGGCTCCCTGGAGCTGCTATAGGAGGAATGACTGCGGAGGGTTAAGGCCAGAGCTGGGGGACGAGGGCAGAGGTCACTAGTCCAGCCGGGTGGGTGCATACCAGTGATGGGGGCTCAGAGGAAGGAGAAATGGTTGGACTCTGGATACAGTTTGAAGACCAAGCCGATGAGATTTGCTGCTGGGCTAGTGTGGAGGAGGGTAAGAGAAAAGAGTTGAAGATGACTTCAGGTTCCAGCCTCATCGTCTGGAAGGACAGAGCCAACGGAGAGAGGTTGGGAGCCAAAGGGGCGCTGGCTCTGGGACATGTTATGTCCTGTTGTGTCCGAGATGCCTGAGAGACCCCTACCCTACGTGGAGACATTGAGAAGACAGTTGGACCTATGGGTCTGGACCAGTGGTCGGCAAACCGCAGCTCGAGAGTCACATGCGGCTCTTTGGCTCCTTGAGTGTGGCTCTTCCACAAAATACCACGGCCTGGGCGAATCTATTTTTGAAGAAATGGTGTTAGAAGAAGTTCAAGTTTAAAAAATTTGGCTCTCCAAAGAAATTTCAATTGTTGTCCTGTTGCTATTTGGCTCTGTTGACTCATGAGTTTGCTGGCCCCTGGTCTGTGTGGACATTTAAATACAGAGGTCATCAGCACGTGATTGAATTAAGACCAGGAGCCCTAAAAGGGTCTCTGAGAATTTAGGGACGTGGCATAGAAAGGTTGCTTGTAGAGTCATAAGTCAAGGCTGGCAGCGGGAAGCTGTGGTCCTGGGACTGTGGCCGGCACTTGAATGAGTGAGTAAAGTCGTGTGCACTGATGGGGCCATTTCAGAGAGCAAACTTTGGAAAGAAGTGGGCAGGGCGTTATGAAATAACCTGGAAAATTGCTAAAAACAGACTTAGCATAACGTGTGGCAGAAGTCAGACTAACACCATTGAGTAGAAACCACTAACGTTTTATTGAGCACCTATTATGTACAAAGGCTTTAAGGCTGTTCTTTCATTCCTATCCTCACGACTCAAAGAGGTAGGCACTCATATCTCCATCTTGTGGAAACAATAAAGGGAGGACACACAGAAAGAACCTTTCCAGGCAGCTGGGGGGCGGGGACACCGGCAGAAAGAATGAGCTGCTCTAAGCTGGAAAAATGCCTTTCCCCTTAGCCCAGGGCCTGCCCACAGGAGACACAGGCCAGACGTGAAGGCAGGAGCACAGGTAGCGGGAGCTGGTCTAAAGCCGGCAGATGAAATTCACGAGGGGCTTATGCAGACCCAGATGTCTGCATGGGCGCCCTGTGGGTCTTGATTCCTGGTTCTTGGGGATCTTGGGCCCAAGGGTCTCAAGCCAGATTCTCCTCTTCCTCGCCAATGGGGCTGGGCAGCCAGGGCGGAGCCGGCCCTCGGGGTGCGGTCATGGGCACTGTGGTGAAGGGCTCAGCGTCCGGCCCCGGGGCTGGCGGCTCTGGCCCGGTGTGGGGCTCGAGCTCTGGCTCTCGAAGCCCGGAGTCCAACAGCAGGTCCCCACAGTCACACTCCGGGGCTACGCCATCGAGGGCACTGGTGCCCGCGCAGCTGGCGGCTGTGGACGCCTCGGACACGCAGCTGTTCTTGCGGCGCATCAAGGACAGGCGCCGGCCCAGCAGGCTTCCCGCAGCCGTGCCCGGGCCCACCGGCAGGAGGCGCTGCAAGAAGTCGCCATGCGCCTCGCCCAGCGGCACATCTGCGCCGTCGGGCCGCTCAAACTGCATGTCCTCCTTGGCCAGCCTGTGGGACGGAGAGAGGGTCAGCACTGCTGCCTCGCCTCTCTCCGTGGTTGACAGAGGTGGGACCGAGGCCCACTGCCTTTCCTGGCTCCACTCACCCATAAGTCTCACTTGTCCCAAGAGATCGTGGCCGCTCACCCAAGAGCCAGGCCTTATCCCCTGGCTCTGGCTCTGCTTCAGACTCAGGCCTCCAAGTGCGGCATCGTACTGCCTCTGACCACCCACCCAATCCTCACACCTCTTAGCCCTTAGCTCTGACTCCGATTTAGTGGCCTGATCCCAGACCTGATCCCCAATCACTATCCTCATAGACTTTTTTTTTTTTTTTTTAAAGAAGCAATGGTTTATTTCTATCTTACTTAATATGTGTCTAGAAATTTGTGTGTGTGTGTGTGTGTGTGTGTGTGCGCGTGTGTTTAAGTATATTTTTATTTCAGAGAGGAAGAGAGAGGTAGAAACATCAGTGATGAGAGGGAACCATTGATCGGCTATCTCCTGCACAATGGACAGAGCCTGACCCCGGGTCATGTGCCCTTGGCCAGAATCAAACCTGGGACCCTTTGGTACGCAGGCCGACACTCTATCTACTGAGCCAAACCAGCTAGGGCTATCCTCTTAGACTTTAGCTCTTAGCCCCAAATTTCCAGTTTAGCCACCCCACAGATCCCTGCCCCCTTCAATTAGTCCCCACAGTGCCATAAGCCTAGCGTCCAGCAGGCCCCGCCCACCCCGCTGGCTCACGTGATGTCGAAGGTGGAGCCCTGGAAGGAGGGCTGCAGCCTCAGGAAGGCGGTGGCTGCGGTGTAGGGGGCCCGGGCCTCCGCTGCATCCCAGTACAGGTCCTTCTCCAGCATGGCCAGGTCATCGTACATCTCGTCCACGGCCAGCATGGACACCTGCAGCCGGGGACACCGCGCTGGGTGGGGGAGCAGAGCACGGGCGCCCCCTGAGGCCTGGGCCCTCAGGAGTGTGATGCCGAGGAGAGAAGGATGGGTCAGAGGCGAGGCCTGGGCAAGCCGTGGCGGGGTGGACTGAGGCCAGGGCCACTTTGAGAGCCTGGGCATGGGCTCAAGGGAGTCTCACCTGGAAGTTGCGGTCGATCAGGAAGTTGGTCTCAAAGTCGTCGTCATCCTCTCCAAAGGGGTTGATGAGCTGCTCTGCTACCTTAGCGGGGAGCAGGGAAGTAAGCAGAGACCTGAGAACCCCTGCCCGCCCCGCTCCCAGCGCCCAGGTCAGGGCCGCAGCCACCTTGAGCCAGCCGGCGTAGAAGAAGAACTGCAGCAGAGTGAAGACGGGCACGAACAAGTCAAGGTTGTGGTCTTTGTAGCCCTGCGCGGGGTCTAGGAACTGACGTCCGATGACGCAGGCCAGGAAGTAACTGTACACAGCGATGGTCACCACCTGGGGGCAGGCAGGGGCCAGGTCAGGGCTCCCCTGGCCTCCGGTTCTCGGAGATCAGGAGTCACCGGGATGGGGCCCTAGCTGGCCCTCCATCTCCCCTTGAGACCAAGTATCTGACGCAGGATCTACGCGGAGGCGCTGCGGGGTTACCTGGGTGTAGACCAGGGGTATGCTGATCCAGTCGTAGTGAAAGAGCATCGCACACTTGCCCCGAAACACGGTCAGCTCCTGGGGGCAGATGCAAGTTACGGGAGGCCTGATGCGTGAGCTCACGCGTGAGGATGAGGTGTGGGTCCTTGGGACGGAGGCGAGTGGTCACTGTGTGCTTCTGGGAGCGCCAGGGAGAGTATTTGGTGGTGAGTGTACCCCTGGGGTGCCATCCCCCTCTCCCCACCCACCCACCCCCCGCCCCGTGAGATAGCTGTGCACCTGGGGGCTGCTAGGTCAGGGTGTTTGGAGTCAGCCCCGTGGGGAGGCGCGTGGCTCGCCCTCTGACACCACTCCGGGGCGGGGTACCACTTCTCTGGCCTTTTGTATGAATGGCCAGCCGGCCAGCCCACCTCCAGCAGCAGTTTGAGGGAGCCGTTGTCGCGGATGCGGCCCTCCCGCCGGGCCTGGGCCGCCAGGTTGGAGAACCAGACGCAGGGCACCCAGTACTTGTTGTAGGATGAGTTCAAGTTCTCAAACTTCTTGCGCTCCTCGCGGGTCATAAACCCTGGAGGGGACAGACAGGGGGGGGGGCGGGTCATACCGGGGTCACTGGCCCCGCCCTCCCCCTCTCCCTGGCCCCGCCCTCGCCCCCAGCCCCGCCTCACCCGCCTCCACCACGTGGTCCATGGTGGGGAAGCGCTTGAAGACGGCGGTGCTGACCGAGCGCAGGATGAGCACGGCCGAGAGCCCCGCGTAGCGCATGAGCGTGCGCCGGTAGAGACGGCCGCGCTCGTCGCGCCCGTGCACCGTGCCGGACACGATGCACATGAGCGCGTCGGGCAGCGGCATGCACAGGTACTGGCTCCACCAGCGGTTCACCACCAGGGTCACGTAGAAGCCTGCGCAGAGCCGGGAGGGGCGCGGTGGGGACGCGGGCCACCGGGGTGCGGGCCCATGGTGTGGGGGGAGGAGGGACATGGAACCTGCATCGGCAACACCCCCGGCAGGCAGTCACCCTGGTCCCGCGGGGCCTCCTGGGTTGGGAACTTGGGGGTCCAGCTCTGGGGTCACTCTGGCTACTCACTGGGAGTCCCCTGGATGGGGCCTGGGGTCTCAGGGTGCAGGCAGAGGCAAAAGGCCCACGGGCAGCCTGCACCGAGGTCACAGGTCGCCCCTGAGCCAGACCTATGAAGGGGGTGGGCACAGGATCTGTGTCCTGGCATAGGCTAGTAACCCCACCGTTTTAGCAGAGAACACGGGGAGGAGGCTGGGAGGAGGAACCTGGAGGAGGTTCCTGGGGCCGGACACGGGGAGGGGAGGGGCATCGGTGTCTTATGCAGACACAGGCCAAGGCCCCGGGTGACAGGGCTGAGCATGTGGGTGACATGGAATTCTCAGGGACACTGTGGCCAGGAGATACCCAAGGGGCCACGTTTGTATAAAGGACGCAGAAATGGGGGGGGGGGGGTCTGTGGGACTGGATTTGAGGAGCATCGCAGAGAGGCAGGAATGGGGGGGTCTGTGGGGCTGGATTGGAGGGGGATCTCAGAGAGGCAGGAAGGGGAGTCTCCAAAAGGCAGGACCGGTCTTTCGGGATGGGGGATCCGCACCGGGGACTCTGGAGCGCGGACGCACCGAGCACGAAAGAGACGGGGATGAGGCTGGCGTACTGGTCGCAATAGATGACGAGCTTCTCGAAGTAGCGCTTGTGCCCCTCGGCCAGCATGAAGCTGCGGGCAGGGGCGCGGGGTCAGGGCGCACTCCCTCCCCAGCGCGCGCTCTCCTCGCTCTGGGTCCCGCACCCCTCCCTCCCCGCACCCCGGCCCCGCACCCCGGCCCTTCCCCAGCCCAGCCGGCCCCCTCACCGGTAGGCCGCGCTCAGCGCCATGTAGAGCCCCAGGAAGCAGAGCAGCTCCCGCCACAGCAGCTTGTAGATGCTGCCGCGCCACAGCAGCAGCAGCTGCGAGAAGCCGCCGAAGCGCGCGTTGGCCACGCGGGCCGTGTACGTGACGGTCATCGCGGCCGCCGGTCTGGCCGGAGGAGGTGGGACCGGACCGAACGCCCACCTGTAGCGGGGGAAGCGGAGGGGGGGGGAGGTTGGGAGGACTGGAGGGAGGCTGGGGGCTACGGGCGGGGGAAGGTGTTCCTATGACTCAGTTCAACGTGTCCTCCCTGCCCAGCCACCTCCTGGTCCACCCTCCTCCCGGTCCTGCTCAGGCCCGTCGCTCGCTGCCTGTCCTCCCCAAGCTTCTCCGGTTGGCTACCCCTTTCTGGACTCCTGCTCCCCTCATCTTGCGCCTACCCCCTCAGGCTGTCTCCCCAGCCTCCAGTCTCTAACTCTTGAGTTAACCGAGGTGCCTTCTATCCATTCTCATCCTATCCCCTTACCTATAGCTTCCCTCTACAGCTTCCCCTACTCCCCGAGGCCCCAGTGCCTCCGTTTCTGGGTTCTCAGACTGCCCCACCCCCATTCCTCTTTCTCAGATCCCACCTGGCCCACCCTCTCCCCCAGCTCCCAGTCTCTGCACTTCCTCCACCCCTGCACTCCCTTTCGAAGCCTTAGGAAGCCATCCAGGTTCCCTCCTGTTGCAAGTGCCCCCCACCCCCCAAAAAAGCTGGCTCCTTCTCCCACACAGCTGCCCCGCCTCTCACCCTACCCCCTTAATGATCCTTCCCTTCTTCTGGGTCTCCTTCATCTTCCCTCCCTTCATTCTCCAGCCTTCCAAGCTCTCCACTCCACACTTGGAGGCTTCTGATGGGTTGCTGCCTGATTCCTGCCCACAAGCCCTCCTGTCCCCGGGTCCCCTGCTCCCCTGAGCCTGGGCCCTTCTCACCTGGCGGCAGGCGCAGGACTCACAGACGGGCAGGTGGCTTCAACATTGGGTGTGGCTTAAGCCAGACCCTGGAGTGGGAGGGGGCTGAGGAATGGGCGTGGACAATCCCTCCCTGGCCCGCACCCCTGGACTGCAGCCTCAGAAGTTTGTAGAAGTCTGGCCAGTTTGTTACATGGAGCAGGGGGAGAACTCCAACCAGGCCTCCCGGCTCCTCCCTGGCTCTCTCCCTGGCAGTCATTGGCAGGTCCAAGGGATCTTGGACCCAGAGCTGGGGGAGGAGGCGGGGACTGTGTCCTTCCCCGTGTCTCTCTCTCTCTCTCTCTCTCTCTTTCTCTCTCTCTCTCTCTCTCTCTCACACACACACACACACACACAGCTCCGTGGCGCCGGTTCACTCCATAGTCACCTGTAGTCATACTGCCACAAAGATGTACCGTACTTAGAAACATATATCATAGACCCAGGCACGCTGCCCTCAACACAGACACACCAGCTGAGTGCAGACCCCACCCACAGCCCCGAGAGTCTTCACACACAGCCGCACACCATCCCACAGAGGGTGGTAGCACACGCTTATTCTTGATCTTCCCTGCACCAAGATACACGGATGTGGGAATGCCTGCCCTCTGCGCAGGTACACATGCTCCTGGGGCCTTAGATCCATCAGTGCTGCAAGGACACACTCACATAACAACTCACACAACAGGGACCCCTCCCCAACAGTCCCAGACCCTCAACAGTCCCACCCCAACAGGTCGTACCCATAACCCATGAAACATGCCTGCATTTGCACATGGATGAGTCGCCCTCTCTAATGCCCCCTCAGTGTGGTGTGCACACACACCCCTCCCCCACACACGCACCTCAGATCTCAGACCCGCTCAGCACTGCCGTGAACACACGAGCTTCGGGACACAAGGACTTGTCCCCACATCTGGCGTGGGTGCAGGAGAGATGTTCCCCCTTCACAGACACACCTGCCAAGTGGACACTCCCAGCCTGGCACAGCCGGCCTCCCATCCCTCTCCTCAAACACGCAGCCTGGCATGGGAGGGGCAAGAGCTCTGAGGTCCAGACCCCGGGCCCCTCCAGTCTACCTTGTGCGCTAGGAATGTGGACAGCTTTACGCGACTCCACCCGGAAGCCCTGCCAGCCAGGACACCTTGTTCCAAGCTTGGCATATGCCTGCCCCGCCTGGGGTAATTAGGAACTGGCCCAGGCTGGCTACCCTCAAACCAGCTTCTCGCTGTCCAGCTGCCGGACAGCCCATAAAAGTGGATGCAGGTTGGCACTGCTAGCTGTTGGCTCCGGGTGGGGTGGGGGGTGGGGGACAGGCTTCAAGTTGATGCAGCTCCATTCCTGACCAGAGGGCCCCCCTGTCCCCCAGGATGTGTATTTATACAAACTGCAGCCAGCTTCTCCCCTCCCCGTGCACATCTCCCTCCTCCGGTTCACAGGGTCCCCACACACTTCTGACTGCTGGACACCCGCTGGGCTAGGGGCAGGTTGCCCAAGCTAGTTCACAGGCAATGTTGTAACAACCATTAGTAACATTTGTAAAGAGCTACTTATTTCACCTCACTGAGTCCTTACAAGCAGGCTTATGAAGTCGGTGTTCGTCATTCCCACTATCTGGTAGGGAAACCGAGGCTCAAATGCCACCGCCCTTTGACGGCACAGCTGGGATTCGAACCCAGGTGGTTCAGCTGGGAGCCAGGGGTCTTTGCCAAAGGCTGCACTACTGTTTGTTTACAAATGTCACCCCAACATGCCCACACCCGCTTGTGCACACCCAGTACAATGGAGCCCAGGTCACGTTTGGGCTTGTGGCTGGGCTCCCCTTACGTGCAAGCACACCCTCACACACCCAGACCCTGGGTGTGCACAATTTGAACACTTCCTGACTCATGCGTGGCCTCAGGTACCTCATGTCCATCTCCTCCACCCCCACCCAGCGCTGGCTTGGAACCTGCAAACACGAGGTCATGCCAGCGCTGGGCCCCCCCCCCCCCCGGTGGGGTTGAACGTGGCTGTCCAGGCAGCGGCAGAGTGAAGGGGGTAAGGGGCCCACTGGATGCCTTCCAGGGAGCTGCGCCAGCTGATCCTTCCGGGTCAGGGGAACTTGTCCCGTGGCTCGGTGCCTGGCCACACTTGCCTCCGTTTGAGATGAGGCTCGCACTATAGGAAAACGTGAGGCCGCCCAGTGAGATGGCTCTAAGTTAGGATAAGACTTCAGGGATGCCTTCGGCCCGAGTCCTCTACCAGCATGTCACCTAATCTGTTCCTGGTTGTAGCTGGGCTGGGTGGAGTGGATTCCATCCCACGGGCGGGCGGGAAGGGGGTGGGGGGACATGCCAGGAATTGGGGGGTGGAGACTGTTAATCCCTAGTCTGGCCAGCCCAGCCTCTGCCCAGGGTGCCCACTAATTTCCAAACCAAACAGCAGGCAGTACTGGGCCACTGCCTGCCTAATTCGTGTGTGATCACGGCAGACCCTACCCACAGCCCCGAGAGTCTTCACACACAGCCGCACACCATCCCACAGAGGGTGGTACCACCCCGCTTCCAATCAGGGGGTGCCATGTTAGGATGGGCTGGGTGGAAGCTCGTGTGTTCACGGCAGTGCTGAGCGGGTCTGAGATCTGAGGTGCGTGTGTGGGGGAGGGGTGTGTGCACACACACTGAGGGGGCATTAGAGGGCGTCTCATCCATGTGCAAATGCAGGCGCGATGCACACACAGATGAAAGTCGTCTGTTCCTGCAGGATGCGAGAGGACAGTGAGGGCCAGGCGCTGGCCCTGGTTCTCCAATGGGCCTCCTGGTTCCCACACATGCTGAGCCTCAAAAGAAGGGGGTATATGCCAACTCAGGCATTATGGCAGGGGCACCCCTACCCATACAGAGCTAGAAAAAGCATCCCCATACTGAAGACACCCACCTCCCAAAATCGCCATAATAAATATAATAATTTGTTAGTCTGTCGTGACTGCGTCCCTCTAGCCGTGACGTTTGTACAGTGTACAACTGTTCTGGCAGTGCTGACTCCGAAATACTTGTATCAATACCCACAGTAGTTTAAGATCATTTTATTGAGAAGCGAGAGGCAGGGAGAGGTGAGGGGTAGCTAGAGCCACCCCAGCCCCACCAGGGGGAACAGACCCCCTCCCTGCCTCCCACCTCAAGTGGCTCCCCCTGGACCATGGGTGGGGGGGGAACGGGGACTTTGTGCAAACTCTGCCCCGGAGGGGTGGAGAGTGGGTGGAAATGGTAGCAGCTGGGGCTGGCCGCAGTGCTACTGGGTGCTGGGCGGCTTGTAGGGCTCCAGGAGGAGGGCAGAGAAGGTGTTGACCTTGTCCGCCCCCCGCACTTCATGGGGAAGCAGAGGCAGCTTCACTATGTGGAAGTCTTCATACAGGTCCTCCATCTGTGCCGGGGCAGGGAGCAGAGGACACTGGTCAGGGGGCTGGCTGCAGGCAGGGACAGAATGTGGGCAGATCCAAGGGGTTGAGACCGGGACCTCCCAGGGTCAGTCTTCAGAGGGTCACAGGTGGGAGTGGTGCCAGTGAGGTCAGAGTTTCCAGGGTTGGACCTCTGGCTCCCCAGGGTCAGAGGAATTCAGGCCAGGCCAGCCATATTCCTTCATGGCCAGAATTAGGGGAAAGGAAATGAAGTAGGGGGGAAGAGCAGGAGGCTCAGGAAGAGGTCAGAGGGAGGATGGAGCAAAGATTCGGAGCGCAGAATAAATGACTGGGGGTGCCATGGTTAGGATGGGCCGGGTCCCCACTGCCAAGACCAGAGGTTTGAGGGCTGGGTGGACGGCTGGGCATGCACACCTGGTCCAGGTACTTGGCCTGGATCTTGTGGCGGGCCTCACACATCTTACAGGGCTTCTCAGGGTCGGGGAAGACGAGCTGGTTGACAATGATGTTGTGCGTGTCGATCTTGCATTTGGCCAGCTCTTGGATCAGCCGCTCTGTCTCGTACAGAGACAGGAACTCGGCGATGCACACACAGATGAAAGTCGTCTGTTCCTGCAGGATGCGAGAGGACAGTGAGGGCCAGGCGCTGGCCCCGGAGCCTCTCCCTTTCTGTGTGCATCGTGACTCACAGGATCCTTGAACTGCTCGCTGACAGAGCGGATGACAGGCAGCGTCTCTTCCAGCTTGGAGGCCAGCTGGTCTGCGTTCATATCCCCTAGGCCCAGCATGTTGCACATCTGAGGGGAGGACACGGGAGGGCTTGAGGCTTACCCGGGGCCATTATACCTGCTAACCACCTCCCAGTGGTTAAAAGCCTGGGCCCTTGAACAGATCACAGGGGCAAATCCCAGCTCTGCCTCCTTTGGGGCACTACAGCCAGGCGGCTTGACTGGAATGCTGTCTCCCATGTAGAGGCCTTACCTCCAAGGGCTGGTATGCTAGAAGAACTGAAACATGTCGTGCTCAGAACAGTGCCTGGCATAAAGCTAGCGCTCTGCAAATGTGACTAATCTGGGACACAGGTACCCAAAGGGGGATCACGCACACCACCGTGGAGGTGGGACGTGTGCAGAAGTGGGGATGTCATGTGATCATGCTAATAACAACAGGGACACGTGCATGCTCTCCATTTGACAGACAAGGAAGGTGAGGCCCAGAGAGATGAAGTGACCTGCCTTAGGTCACGTTGGAGTGCCAAACATTTGAACCTGGGCTGTCTGGCTCTGGAATATGTGCTTTCATGCTGTCTGGGGTTTTTAGCAGGTAGGGGCAGGGACACCAAGTCCCCCATAATGAAGATCCCCTCCCCCCAGATGGGAACGGTGGACCCAGAGGGGTTGTGTGTGAGAAGTGTCACTGCACATCTGGGGGCCTGGGGCCTGGCTCCCACTCAGGGGACACCTGGATGCCCTGGGGCCCTGCCTGCCTGTGAGATGAAGGGGCTGATCTGGTTCTTGATCTGCATGAGGCGGCCTAGGCCCCGCTCCACGATGGTGGGGAAGTTGAGCAGCCTCAGCGTGTGACCCGTGGGCGCCGTGTCAAACACCACCACTGAGAAGTTCATGCCCTTCACCAGCCTGCGGGGAGATGAAGGTCAGGCCCACTCTGCTCCCTCTTCCACCCCGGTCCCAGGCAGCACTAGCCTGCTGGGCCTGACCTCATGACCTCTGCGTAGCTCATGGCCTCGTCAATGCCTGGGAAAGCGCTCATGGCCTCCTGCATCATCTTCTTGCCCATGCTCAACATGTTGTCCTCTTCAAAGAACTCATCAGGCAGCTCTGCCACTCCGAGGCTGGGGTCAATCTCCTGGGGGAGGGCACACAAGGGATGGAGACTCAGGCTGCAGTATGCTACCCCAGGGCCTTCTCACCTGGGTGGGCACCAGAGCCAGGGCAGCCCTGCATCAGGTCCCATCAGGAAAGAGGCTGGGGAGACCCCCAAGATGCCATGGCCCTCCCTCAGGCATTAAGGCCTTCCAAGTGCACAAAGGATCACACAATTGTAAAAAACAGATGGAAAATTGCAAACTGGGATCAGTGTCCACAGAGGGAAACCAAAGCCCTCCGCAGGGCTTTCACCGGCTATTCCCCTACCCAGCCCAACTGCTTCCAGATTTTCTCTAACGTGTCTTCCTCACCATCTCACTTAACAGGGCAGACACAGTCCTTACTGTCCCGCCTTCCTTTCTGCTTAACAGCCAGCCTCCCTTCACATGATATGCTTAGCACATTTCTCATCTGTCTCGCCACCCAGAATGTCAGCCCCACGAGGACACCAGGAGCTGTCCGGCACACAGGATGTCCTCAACACAGATGTGGAATCCACAAAGATATGACTATCCTTGGGGACTCTGGCCAGCCCTGGATTCACTGCCTCCTTCTCTATCCTCCCCCTATATCACCTCTTCTTGGTGACTTCACAGGTCCTGTGATGAAGCCCCCTCGCTGGCCTCAGAGGTCCACTCTGAGCTTAGAGCTTGTGTATCCACTGCCCCGCCTATCACACCCAATCACACCCTTGATGGGTTATTCACTCTGGGTCACCTCTGAGCTCACATACCCCATTCTCTGACCTGGGCCTTCTTGCCTCCCGCTCCAGTAATTATTATTTTATTTTATTTATTATTTTTAAAAATATATATTTTATTGAGTTTTTACAGAGAGGAAAAGAGAGGGACAGAAAGCTAGAAACATCGATCAGCTGTCTCTTGCACACCTCCTACTGGGGATGTGCCCGCAACCAAGGTAAATGCCCTTGACCGGAATCGAACCTGGGATCCTTCAGTCTGCAGGTCAATGCTCTATCCACTGAGCCAAACCGGTTTCGGCAATTATTATTACTTTAGAATGTCTTTTTATTTATTTCAGATAGGAGGGAAAGGGAGAGAGATAGAAACACCAATGATGTGAGAGAATCATTGATCGGCTGCCTCCTGCATGCCCCACACTGGGGATGGAGTCTGCAACCCATGCATATGCCCTGACAGGGGATGAAACTGTGACTTCCTGGTTCATAGATGGATGCTTAACCTCTAAGCTATGCCAGTTGGGCTGTTATTTTTTAAATATGTTTTTATTGATTTCAGAGAGGAAGGGAGAGATAGAGGAAACATTAATTAAGAGAAACATCTATTGGCTATCTCCTGCAAGCCCCCTACTGGGAATCAAGCTTGAAATCAGGGCATGTGCCCTGCCTGCCTGGCAATCAAACTGTGACCTCTTGGTTCATGGGTGAATGCTCCACCACTGAGCCATGCCAGCTGGGCCTGCTTCAGTTATTTAAACCTCTTTGGGCCCCTCATTGCCTCTCCCCTGACCCCCGTTCACTGTCAGTGTCCCTCCAGCCCAGGCTCCATAGGCTGTCTCTACAAACACTCCCCTTCCCTCTGTGGTTGGCAAAATCCTCCTGGTTATTCCTGGGTCTCTGGTGGCTACACGGAGGTGAACATGAGAGCACACCTCACAAATAACTCCCACACTGCTCCCCATTCCTAATCACAAACTCCAATGGGCACTCAACAGCCGGACAACCCACTCTTGCGAGTGTTTATGTCACATCTTATGCCTCCTCAACCCCCTTCTGTCCCATTCGCTCCTTGTTCTTTGCTGAGACTTTTGCCTCACCTGGGCCTCAGAGAAAAAGAAAAGCTATTGGCTGTCAACACCCTTATCCCCTCCCCCAAGGAAATGCCCCCGTCCCTCCACCTTGCCTCCGCATCCCTGGCCCTGGAGGGGTCCATGTAGTAGCTCACTCCCACTCCTCTGTCAGCATCCTCACTCCTTCCAACATTACTCCCTCCCTGGTGAGGTATTTGCACTGACAAACATGCTCTAGCATCCCCTTTCTCAAAAAAGCCCTCCTCAGCCCCCTTGTGTCTCCCTCTAGTGATGGCCCCATTTCTCAGCGGTCACTGTCTCCATTTCCTCAGCTCACCCATTCCAGACAGGCTTTGGCCCCCACTCACCAGTGGTCTCTCTAAAACTGATGTACCTGCTGGAGCAGACAACCTCTTTCTGCCCAAGTTCCCTAGTCCTCCCGGCACTCAGGAGACTATAACCTCCGGCTCTCCTCCCACCTCCCTGGTGACTCCTTCTTAGCCTCCTTCACTTCTGGACCCTAAATGCTGACCTGCCCCCAGGTTGTCTCCGGGCCTCTCTGTTCTCTCACATTCTCCTTTACTCACACAGCTTTAAATACCACCCTTGGGACAGTGACCCCCAAATCGTTATCAACTTCCTCTGAGCTCCAGGCTCACAGAGTTAAGCCACTGTCCTGGTGTCCCCACTGGACATCCAGTGGGCACCTTGGATTCACTGTGGTCAAAATAGAATTCTTGACTTGTCCCTTCTAAACCTGCTTCTCTCTAGTCTTCCTCATCCCAGCTGCTCAGGGGCCAACCAAGAGATGTATTTAGCCCTAGACAGTTTGGCTCAGTGGATAGAGTGTCAGCCTGTGGACTGAAGGGTGCCAGGTTCATTTCCGGTCAAAGGCACAGACCTCAATCACAGGCTTGATCCTCAGCCCCAATCAGGGAGTTTGTGGGAGGCAACCAATTTATGAGAAAGCGACACATTGATGTTTCTCTTGTCTCTCCCCCTCCCTCCCACTTCTCTTAAAGTAAAAACTTCTTTCTTTCTCTCACCCATTATAACCAAGCAGCTGTATTGCTTTATTTCCAAGAGACATCCCCAAACCAACCTTTCTCCCCCAACACGCTGCCTCCTTCTTAGTATTGGCTGCCATCATTTCTTGCCTGGTCACTGCCCCAGGCTCCCTGTTAATTCCTTACTTCCAAACTCAATTTTTAACCCACTAGAGGCCCGGTGGACTATATTTATTAGAATGTATTGTTATTTATTTCAGAGAGGAAGGGAAAGGGAGAGAGATTGAAACATCAATGATGTGAGAGAATCATTGATCGGCTTCCTCCTGCATGCCCCACACTGGAGATGGAGTCCACAGCCCATGCACATGCACTGACCAGGAATCGAACCATGACTTCCTGGTTCATAGGTGGGTTCGTGAATGGAACGAGAAGGGGGAGTTGTCCTGTGCATGGAGGCGGGGAGGGGGGCGTGCACCCTCTCCAATATGGGACCCTTTGGGGTATTTCCAACTGCCGGTTTTAACTGGGCCCGTTCTAATCTGGCAGTCAGACATCTCTCTCACAATCTAGGACTGCTGGCTCCTAGCTGCTCCCCTGTCTGCCTGCCTGCCTGATCGCCCTCTAACTGCTCCCCTGCTGGCCTAATTGATGCCTAACTTCTCTCCTGCCAGCTGATCACTCCCAAATGCCCTCCTCTGCCAGCCTGATCACTCCCACCTGCCCTCCCCTGCCAGACTGATGGCTCCCAATTGCCCTCCCCTGCAGGCCTGGTCCCCACCAACTGCCCTTCCCTGCCGGCATGGTCCCCATCCCCCCACATCTGCCCTCCCCTGCTGGCCTGTTCACCCCCAACTGTCTTTCCCTGCAGGCTATCCTGTGGCAGCCATCTTGTGATAACGTGAGGGCAGCCATCTTATGGCAGCGTCACACGAGGGTGTTGTGCGAGGGCGTAAAGCCACCTAGGCTTTTATTATATAGGATTCTCCGCATGGCAGCCATAGGGAACTTGTCAAGGCTATGACATTGACCTGCTCAAACTGAACAGCTTCCTATTAAACTTGGATTCAAGGCCAAACTGCTCCCAGTCAGTGACCTACAAAATCCTACACCACATGGCTCTGATTGACCTCTCTGATGTCTCCCTCCCCTTGCTCACTAAGCTCCAGTCACTCTGACTTCCTTTTTGCTCCATAAGCATTCCTCAGTTGTTTCCCTGTGGGTATGTTGAAGGAGGGGTGAAACTGGAATGACAAAGGATGTAGACGGGGGTGGTGGTGGGGTGGATAGAGTGGGGACGGACACTGTAGCCAATAGTACATTGTTCACAGGAAAGACCTGAATGGGCCTTGGCCAGAATGGGGAGCTGAGTCTTGCTCTACTCACCATGGCAAAGAGGTTTTCATAGCCTTTGACCTTGGTGGGCACCTTGGAGAACTTCTGGTCAAAAGCATCGGAAATGTTGTGGGCTGGGTCCGTAGAAATGATAAGAACACTCTCCCGTCCCTTGGATAGCTGGACCGCTAAGCTGCAGCTGGGCAAGGAAAAGGTCAAAAGGTAGGGAGTAAGGGGTCAGAGACTGCCCCCTAGGTCTGCATGGGAAGATGTGGGGCTCAGAAGCAGCAGCCCTGAGAATAAGGGTAATGGCGGGATCAATCCTCAATTTCTGTACAGGGACCTTCTCAGACATTATCTAAGACCACGCTAGCTGGCTAGCGCGGCGAGGTTCAGTCTGGCCTGATGCTTGCTTCTTGTCTGCTGGCACAGAATGGCATGGTCCAGCTGCCCAGCCAGCATAACTAAGGGGTCCCTTGCACCCCCTCAACGATAAGCTAAGGGGTCCCTTGAACCTCCTTCTACATTCGGGATGGTTCAGTCCCACTTGTTCTGGATAATTTGCCCCAGGAATCCTTCCCTCTCTTACCGGTTGACTGGAATAGTCTGATCAGGTACCCTCTTTCCCTCCGTTCACTACAACCCCACCCCCACGTGGACACAGAATGGCAAGTTTCACCGGACTGGGGCTGTTTGTTCCGGTGCCCCTCCCCGGACTCTGAGCTCAGTGGGGTACGGCCCAGCAGACGGGGGCGTGTAAGTGCTCTCCCGGCCCCTGTGCGCTGGGTTCGGTGTGACTCGGCCCTGGAGCCCCTAACGGGAATGGTCCCACTCAGAGGGTGCCAGGCCTGCATTCAGGAGGCATCTTCCACTTGCTCCCGGTAACTTCTGGAGAGTATCCCCCGGAGGACCCCGGCGCCCCTCCCGTGCCCGGCTCGGGGTGGGAGAGCCGGCGCCTGGCCGTCCCCTTCGCCCAGTGGTTGGTACATCCCACCCGTCTGCCCGGCCCCCGCCGCGGCCTCCTCACCTGCAGGTGGTCTTGCCAACGCCGCCTTTGCCCCCGACGAAGATCCACTTCAGGCTGCGCTGCTCGATGATGTTGCTGAGCGTGGGTTCCAGCGGCTCCACATCAGGCGCATCCTCGAACTCCTCCGCTTCAACCCCCCACCCGGCCACCCCTGCCGCCATCTTGAAACCGGCTCATGTGACCCGGCGGAGCGCACCACGCCACGCACCTGCGGGGGAAGTTCTCCGTCATGTCTCCGTCAGGACCAGCAGCCCCGAGAGAAGTCCCTCATACCCTAACCTGTAGGCGCCATATTAAAAGCTCTGTGTCCAATGTTCTCCTTTTCCAAGGTTTACCCTGTGGACCTCTCGATTAGGTTTCCTCACAGATGCCCCCCTGCTTTATTAGCATATTGGTACGTCCCAGAGTACTCCCCTTCGCTGATTGGCCTCTAAGTCTTGCGGCGCTCTTCTCATTGGCTACTCTTTTCTGTTACTTTCACCAATCATCGCAGGGGCCGGCCGTCTCCAACCTCTCCTTAGCAACCAGCCAAACACCCGGTCCGGACCCTTTCCCTGAGTTAGATCCCAGGTTCGCCCGCCCCGGGCTGACTCTTATCTATAAGCTCAACCTCATGCTGACCATTTCCTCCCAATTCTCTAAACTGGGTCCCCAGATCGTCTCACGTCCGCCTCCTTTGTGAGCCACCTGGGCCCCTCACGCCAAGCAATCAGACACATTGATCAGTTTGACTGAAGACGTGTCCTGAGGCTGCGAATGGGCTAGAGGGAGAAGCCCTCCAGTTGTGTGCCAGGTCCGCAGATCCTCGCCCAGTGCTCCCAGGACCCCCACGCTGGGCAGATCAGAGCAGGGATCACACGTGTGCAACTGCGCCCCTTGTGTTTCCTATTCCCGAAAACCTTTTTGCAGTTTGCTCCCCATGAAAGGGGAGAGAGATCCCAGTTTAGCGAATTCCTCCCCCTGTTGGATCTTGGCAATGGATAGGAATACAAGCTGTCCTTGGCAGACACGTGTTTGTGTGTGTGTGTGTGTTTAAGATATTGCTCCGGCCGGTGTGGTTCAGTTGGTTGAGACTCGTTCCATGTACTAAAAGGTCGCCGGTTCCATTCCCAGTCAGGGCACATGCCCAGGTAACAGGCTCTATCCCTGGTTGGATAGAGCTGATCATATCGATGTTTTCTCTCTCTCCCTTTTTCTCTAAAATCAATTTTAAAACATTTAACAATATTTTTATTGGTTTTTAGAGAGAGAGAGAGAGGGGAAGAAACATCGATGGCCTACCTCCTGCAAGCCCCCTACCTACCGGAGGCTCCAGCCCGCAATCCGGGCATGGGCCCTGACGGGAATGGACCTAACAACCTTTCCGGGGACCGGACGACGCTCAACCATCTGAGCCACACTGGCCAGGTCTTGGCAGACATTCTTGATAATAAGGACTCCCGTTTAGAAATCCCAAATTATACCCTGATTCTGAGATGGGAGCTCTATCCCAGGGACAGGTAATCAACCCAGCACGACCTCATTTCTAGTCCCGGATATCCAGGCTAGATATGCTCTCTAGACTTAGTTAGGGGCCTATGTTCCGAGGTGTCAGTGGAGCACACAGCCTCAAAAGGAATCCCTCTCCTGAGATGATCTCTGGAGCCAAGAAGGGGATTCTAGCCACGGAAAGCTATGCCCCCCAGTCTCAAGCGGAAACCTCATTCCTGAGAGCCAGCTACAACCATGACTCCGAAACGCCCGCCCCAGTCTGAACGTACAAGCCCGCCGGCCAGTTCTTACCCCTCCTCCGCTCCGCCCCCCAGGTTCCGCCCCCGCCGCTGACGCCTTTAGGGCCAGACCGCTCTTCCCGGCATGCACTGCGGGGGCCTGACTAGCCGGGCGCCGAGCGCGGGCCGGAGCGGCCTTCCCGGGATCCTTCGCGCGGCACCTGGCGACAAAATGGCTGCCCGAGGGAGACGGGCGGAGCCTCCAGGCCGGGAGGCGCCGGGCCCCGCGGCGGGCAGCGGCGGCGGGAGCCGATGGGCTGAGTCGGGGCCGGGGACATCGCCCGAGAGCGGGGACGAGGAGATGTCGGGCCCGGTGTCGGGCGGCGTGAACTTGTTCGCCAACGACGGCAGCTTCCTCGAACTGTTCAAGCGGAAGATGGAGGAGGAGCAGCGGCAGCGGCAGGAGGAGCCGCCTCCGGGCCCGCCGCGACCCGATCAGCCGGCCTCCGCCGCCGCCGGGGGTCCCGGGGATCCGAAGAGGAAGGGCGGCCCGGGCCCCACGCTCAGCTTCGTAAGGAGCCGCGGGGGCGGGGGAGGGCGCCAGGGCCTGCCTCGGCTGGGGGAATCGGGCCCGAGAAAGGGAATCGGCCCCGAGGAGGAGGGTTACATCCAGGTCTCTCGCTGAAGATGGGGAACCCGGATTCCCCCCAAGAGAGGTTTTGGGGGCGAAGGTAGAGCTTCCCCGTAGACTGCCCGTGAGAACCGGGAGAGGGGAGACCAGGATTCCTTTTTGAGGGGTGCCATAACTGTGGATACCGGGACCATCTCCCACTACTCGGAAAGGGAGCAAATGCAGATCTGCAGCCTAAGATGAGTGGAATAGAAACTAAAACCGCTCACTGTGTGACCTTAGGAAATTTGCTTAGCTTCCCCGAGTCTCATTCGCCCAGTGTCCGTTTATGGAGCACCTTACCTCGTGATGGGCATTGTGCTAGGTGTTGGAACATGACAGACAAGATCGCTGCCTTCCTGGAGCGTCTGCGATGACCTGCCTTTATTGTTTGTGTTTGAAAAATGGACATCTCTTCTGATGTGATGAGAATTCAATGAGGCCATCCGGGAAAAGTATCAAGGGGCTTGTCTGATAGGAAGGGCTAAACCAGTTGTTCTCTTTTTACTTTTTAAAATAAAAAATAAAAAAAAGATTTTTTTTTTAAATTAGGAGAGAGAGAGTTAGACAGTGATTTGTCCCACTTATTTATGCATTCATTGATTGATTCTTGTATGTGCCCTGACCCAAGATCAAACACTAACCAATGAGTGACCCAGCCATGCTCAGCCCTCAATTGGAGATGACCTTCCTATTTAGGGAAGTGTGGAGACATTTTTGGTGTCAGAACTGGGGCAGAGGAAGCTGCTGACATCTGAGTCGAGACCGGGGACAGGGATGTTTCTCAACTTTGTTCAGACCCCCTCCTTGAACCCCCACTCCAAATTCCCCAGCAAAGAATGACCCAGCTCAGAAAGTCGTTAAGTGCAAGATGAAGAAACTTTGGATTAATTAAATGGCCTCTCTATTGATTGTTCATTCTGAGCTTGTTTTGTCTCCGGTGTTGAGATCAAATCCCTCTGGTGTGGGAAAAAAATACCAACACTTGAGAATAACGGACTGGGGGTCAAGTTTCTTCATCCACCCAACATGGGCGTGAGACCAGTCCCAGCTATGCAGGTCACTTAATGCCTGGCTGATGGGCGGAGAGATAGGATAGTGGCTTTCAAGCAAGTTGCTGTCTGGGGCACAGGAAGCATCCGTCAATGGGAGAAGATGGAGGACCAGGACAAGAGTCCGGAGTGAGGCTTCTGTTTCAGGAAGGGGAAATGTCGGGAGCTGGGTTGGTGTGAGAATTGCGGGAGCTGAGTGGGAGGAGCAGTCCCTGCCTTTGCATTCATTCATTGAGGGGCTGATTCAGAGCACCCTCAAAGAGGCCAGGCCAGATTAGGTTCAGGGGATGCAGTGCTGCTTGGTGGTTAGGATGCTGCTCTGTGGCTTGGACCCACTGGACCCTAATTCGGTCCCATTGTTTGCTGCCAACGTGACCAAGGGTACAGGCCTCTCCTTCTCAAAAATGTGTCCTCGTGTATAAAATTGGTGTGGCGGTAACTACGAAAGTGAAAGGCGGCGATACATGGCACAGGGCTTGGCATGCAGTAAGTGCTCAATAAAAGGAGCTGTTGTTGCCTGCGCAGTCACTGCTAGGGGAGGGCGAGGCTTCAGCATGGAGAGTGAGGACAGAGCCTGTCCCCACTGGGGTGGGGGTTCTTCTCGCTCCCTGGGATGGCATCCTGGAGGCGCTAAGAGTCGCGTGTGCTCCTTTCTGATTGCTGCGCAGGTTGGCCGGCTGGCGGAGCTGGGCGCGGCGTCAGGACGGGCCACCGGGCCGGGCTAGGAAGGTGTAGTGGGCCTCAGCGCCGCCAAGGGCGGGCCCGACTCCTGTAACCGTTGCAGTCTTCTGTCCCTTCACCCAGGTGGGCAAGCGCAGAGGCGGAAACAAACTAGCCCTCAAGACGGGAATAGTAGCCAAGAAGCAGAAGACGGAGGATGAGGTGAGCAGGCCGGGTTTGGGGGTGACCCATGCGGCCTTTCCTTAACAGCCTCAGCCCTGGCTAACCAGCCCTGTCCCTCCCTCTCTAGCACCTGGACCTTGGATGTGGGGGTACTGGGTGGGGGAGGAGGGCTTTCAACAAGGTCTCCAGATAACGTTTGACTCTGAATGTCTTTACCTCAAATCTAGGACCTCTGGGTGGTGACGCTGGGGTGGGTCAGCTGTCCCAGGGCAGTCCTGACCCGTTTCTGGCCTCCCTGGTGTCCCCTTCCCAACTCCTGTGTGCCCCTGCCCCCCTCCCCACAGGTATTAACAAGTAAAGGTGATGCGTGGGCCAAGTACATGGCAGAAGTGAAAAAGTACAAAGCCCACCAGTGCGGCGATGACGATAAAACTCGGCCCCTGGTAAAATGACCCCCTTCCCGTCTGCCTGGGACTCTGCGATGTACATAACTATTTAATGTGGCAGCAGCGGCGGCGGCAGCCCTTCCCCCCAAGGACTCAAACACAGAAGGAAACCAAGATGCTTCCCGCAGCCGCGGGGGACCCTCCAGGACTCTTTTTTACCTTGAGCACTTGCCTCCTGAGACTTCATAGAACAGTGGTTTACTGTCCCCTCTCTCCCACCTCCTTGCTCTCTGGCTCTTTCTGTCTTCCTTTTCTCACCCTCTCCTTCCCCTTCCCTTAGCCATCACTTCTGGGAAGTAAAGAACTTGACTCAGTGCCGGAGCTGTGTGCTTGGTTTGCCTTCTTTGCTACACTTTACAGAGTCTGGGTCTGGGTCTGGCCTGGCGAGAGGGACTTTGGGGTCTGGGGAGGATGGGGGTAAGCCCCGCCAGTGGGCCTGGACGCTTCCCTAGACCCCTTTCCCCCACCCCTGACTGTACCCCCCACAGTGCTCCTGATGTTCAAGTCCCATATGGCTGAGCCAAAGCTGTTACTCAGCAGACATTGAGGACCTATTCTGGGCCTGGGCTGGGGCCACAGCAATGAACAGAACAGATGATGCTTGCCCTGCCCTCGTGGAAGGAAACAGACAAAAAGGGGGAGCCATTTGGGGAGGTGCCTGTGAAGTACAGGTAGAGGCTGGGGGAGGGTGTCTACTTTCATTGACATCTGATCAGGGGCCTGAGCGAGGGAGGAAGTGAGTTCTAGGTGGAGGGATCAGCCAGTGTAGAGTGTAGAGACAGGCCAGAGAGTGCCTGGCCCTTATGGGGAGCTTTGAAGAGGCCCATATGACAAGCGAGGTGAGTGAGAAAAGTAAGTGGATTACATAAAGAGCCTTGTGTGTGAGGGTGGAAACTTGGGAATTCATTCTTAGTGAGAAGAAGCCTTGGGGGGTTTTGAGCCAAGGAGCAACACTGTTTTATATTAACAGGAGACCCCGCCCGGGTGTATATACGATCAGGAAAAGGAGTACAGAGTAAAGGAGCACATGGGCTTGTTTGTCCCATCATGCAGGCATGACTATTGACATGTTAGGGAACAGGGTGTCCTAAAGGAAGTCTTATTTCCCTAGTGCCCCTCTAATGCCTGCTGGCCCCTTTGTTAATACTGGTGGGTGGTTTTTATGATGCCCTTGCCTTCAAACCTCATAGACCTGGGATTCCCCAACATGGCCCAAATACTGAGCAGCTCAGCACTCCAGTCTATCCCATGGCCAGGTTCCTGTAACCCTTCCATCAGGGGAAGACCAGGACTTGGAGGATCATGGTGGTCACTGGGACCTGTGAGGCAGAGGAAGGACATAGCTGTGGTCTTTCCTGGGAGAGGGCAGAGGTGGCACTGGCTGGCTTCAGACTGCCAGTATCTGGCCTGTGGGATTTGGGGTGGAGCACCAGAACAGACAAAAGTCCCTGTCCTCGTGGGGCTAACATTCTAGTTGGAGAAAACTGATGAGAAGCAAACATAGGACACATCAGATAGTAATACATTTGGGGTGGGTGAAAGGGGGACTGATAAGTGTGGCAGAGATGGCAATTTCAAGTAGGTCATGGGTGGCCTGCCTTCCTGAGGTGGCGGCATCTGTCCCGAGTTCTGAAGAAGGTGGGACTGGCAGTGAAGTCTTCAGAAGTATTGCAGGTGGAAGGAATGCAGGTACAAAAACCTCAAGCTGAAACCACTCCTGACTGGAAGGGAAGGGAGCAAGCAAACTTGGAACAGGAGACATACCCTCTCTCATTTTCTGCTAACACACAGAAAAGTCATTTTTTTATTTTGTTAATAATCCTCACCTAAGGATATTTTCCCATTGATTTTTAGAGTGGAGTGGGAGGGGGAGAAACATCTGTGTGGGAGGGGGACATGAAGTGATTGCCTCCTGTAGGTGACTGATCAGGGCCTGGTCTGGGAAGGAGCCTGCAACTGAGCTACATGCCCTTGACCAAAATCGAACCCAGACCCTTCAGTCTACAGGCCAACGCTCTATCCCCTGAGCCAAACCGTGGGGGCTGGTTTATTTTTTACATTGACACACAGTGCTTTCCTTCCTACTTTGGGATGCGGAGCTGACCTAGGTGTGACTAGAGCGGGGAGGGGACATAGCCCATGGAGCCACCCCTACAGCCATGGGCATTGGTTGGATCTTTAAAAAGAAACACGTGGGAGAAGTAGGTCGCCTCTGCAGCAGCTCTATTCCCAAGTGTCAAGCGGCAGGAGAAGCTGATGGAGTCATGACACCTCCCTTACCGGTGCTCACCGGCTCTGGCCTGGGGAAAGTCTGAAGGGGGAGGACAATAAAATTGCAGGTTTTGGTGAGTCAAATAGTTTGGCTTCAAACTACTCTGATGCCTGTTAGCAGTTTGATCTTGGGTAAGTCACAGCCTCTCTGTGGTTCAGGTTTTTCATCAATAAAATAGGTGTAAAATGCAGAACCATCTCTAGAGTCAGGTTCTAATGTTCATGTAGTCAGTGGTAACCCTGACGTTTCCAGCAGCTGTCATTGCTTTCCTGGGGAAGCAACTGGCTTGTGTCTGGTGGTCGTGTTTGAGAAATGCTGACCTTTATTTTTATTTTTAATATATTTTATTGATTTTTTACAGAGAGGAAGGGAGAGGACAGAGAGCTAGAAACATCGATGAGAGAGAAACATCGATCAGCTGTTTTCTGCACACTCCTCACTGGGGATGTGCCTGCAACCAAGATACATTCCCTTGACCAGAATCAAACCTGGGACCCTTAAGTCTGCAGGCTGACGCTTTATCCATTGAGCCAAACCGGTTTTGGCGAAATGCTGACCTTTAAATGCTGGCTCTGTGATGAGATGCACAGGCAGAGAGGCTATTGTAAAGTGATAGGCGTTTGCCATCTCAGATTCATGGTTGGACATCCGCTCCTTGAGTGTCTTTTTGCCCTAGAGCTGCTAGATGAAGTAAGTTTGCCATGCACATGGCTGTGGTGAGAATTACACTTAGAAACTGCCTGACTGTAGTAGGTGCTTAAGAAATGGGGTGGATAGTCCCAGTTCAGCACCCAAATCCACCAGATGGGGAGAGGAAACTTACCAGTACCGTGGACCATACAGGTAGCAGGGCCACTTTATTCTGCCCCAATCCCCTCTCTCCCGAGGCTTGTGCAGAGTCTCTGGAAACTACTGTGTTAAAAAGGAGGTGAAACCCTAACAAAATTCTCTCCTGCATCTCTTAACTCGCTCCCACCTGACCCTTCACTGGGGCAATCCCCAACCCCGAACAGAAAATTCCACCGGTTGTATTCTTTCCGGTAACCTATACCCACAGTGCCAGCCCCTCAACCTCACTCTCCTGTTTAAGGCCCATCTCCAGGGCTCCACAGATCCCCAGGTGCTGAGTCTCAGCGGGAGCCACAAGCCGCGGGTGCCAGGAGGGAACCGTAGTTCCAGATAATTGCCGGCGCGGTGGGAGGCCACTGCGCATGCGTAGACAGCGGCTTGTCGCACGTGTCTCTCAGTCGGGTATCTGTCCAGCTTAGCCCGCTGTGTGGGAACCCAGGCTGCTTCCCCAAGCCAGTGCTCGGCAAGAGGGGTCTTAAGCACCTGTTTTTTATGAATGAACGGAACCAGGACTGACCGTCAACGGAAAGTGGGCTGAGAAACCTACCCCCTTTCTCCAGGCTGGGACAAAAATTGACCGTGTGCCCAGGAGTCTCTGGGAAGGGCTGGATTGTCCTTAGAGCACTAGTGTCTCCAGCTCTTTCCTGCTCTTAAGAGGAAGAATGCCCCACTTTGTCCCATGAGATCGCAAAGATCACAAAAATGTCTTCTTTATGAATGACTCTGCTCTCATCTAATTTCGTGGGCCGTTTCGCTTCATTCAGCTTCAAGTGGAGAAAGGGATTAGGGCGTTTTGCCCCAGTGTTTATTTTATTAATTTATTCATTAAAATTTTTATATCCTTATTTTTTTCATATCCCTGTAAAAACTGTTAAACTGTAATTTAATCTGGGGAGTATATAATGTAGCAGAGTAGCAGAGGCGTCTATGGGAACTGAGCTTGTCTCCGGCATTCCCTTTGTCTGGCTTTCTCTCCCCCCCCCCCCCGCCCCGTCTCACCCCCCCCCCCCCCCCCCCGTCCCGGGGTATAAAGTCCACCCCCGGCTGTTCCCTCTCTAGTCTACTCTCAACTTGAGCACATTGTCCTCCTACCAAGCACCCTCTGGATGGGCAGAGGGAGGCACAGTTACATTCTTAGAGGAGGGGGTGACAGGCACAGCAGCTGGCTCTGGCGGAGCGGTCCCGGTGCCTACCACGCAGCCAAAGTCCCCGGGTTCCACCAAACTTAGCCGGAGCGTCCACGTGAGAGCCGCTGAGGAGAACGAGACGATGGGAGGACCGGCCGGCCAGAGAGGCCCAGAGCGTCGCTCGCTCTTTGGTCACGTGACCCAGCTCGGCGGGGCCTGGGTCTCCCGGGTGCCAGGCCACGTGCGACAGCTGCTCCTCCCGATTGGCTTGGTTGGGCCGATTTGAACGGCTTACGGGAGCCGCCGCGGCTCATGTAGGGCTGCGATTGTGTATGTACGAGTGTGTGGTTCTTTTTTTTTTTTTTTTTTTTTTTTTTTAATTCCCTCGCTTTGGTTCCCTCCTTCCGCGCGAGTCTCACGAGAAGCCACAGCACAAGGCGCCGCCGCCGCTGCCTCGGGCCGGGTAAGTGGGCCTCACCCGGAACCGGACCTGCTCGGCTCCAGCCGCTGCTGACCCGCGTCAGGGTCTGTGCCTGCGCCGCGTGCTGCCCGGGCGTCAGCCCCGCGCCTGACCCGTAGAGGCCGCGAACCTCGGGGTTTTCGGGGTGGGCCCGATTCTCGAGGCAGCAGGAACGGGTTGTGGGGGGAGGGGGAAACCGAGCCGGGCTTAGGGGGTGGGGCCTCGGAGCCCGGTCCGCTCTCGGTGCCGAGAATCCGGCCAGTGGGGCGCCTAGGGTCGGGCTGGAGATCCTCTGATTGGGGGACGCCGCGAGGATCGGGTGTGTGCGGGGTGGGGGGTGCTCTTTCGGTGGGGCTTGGTTGGGTCTGGTTGGGAGAGGCCGCATGGAAAAGTTGGGGGCTCTTTTTGGGCTCTGATACGGAGGGGGGGGGGTGTATCGTCAGACTTCGGCCTAGAGGGCTTTTCTGGGTCTGACTACCAGGCGTCTCTAGGATCCGTTGGGGGGAGTGCCCCTGGGGTTGTTCGGCCAGGCCTAAGTGGGGGGAATCCGCGGGGATCCGACCGACCAAGGGGGTTTCCGGCTCGAGATGGTGTGGGGGCTTGTCCAAACTTGATTGGGGGAAGCCGCAGAGATCCGTCGGCAGGAGATCCTGCTGACTGGGGCGGAGGGCGAGGGCGGGAATGGGGGAAAGGCTTGGCCGGACTCGACTGGGGGAAAGGGACAGGAACCTGCCTGCTTCTGTCGCAGGGTGGGCATACTGGACTGGCTCTCTTTCGGAGAGGCAAGCGGGCTTGATTAAGGGGAATCGCCGGTCCTTCTAGGCCTGAAACGGGAGTCTGGTATCCGGCTGAGCTTGGATTAGGGGAGGCGGCAGGGATCATGAGTATGGGAGCGCCTGGGGATGTTGCACCAAGGGAGGCTCAGGGACCAGACCTCAGCAGAGGAGGCGTCAGGATGTGGCGGAGCTTGAGGTCTCAATTTCGGGAGAAGGGAGTTCTACTTGCACTGGGGAGACCACGGGGGCCGGAGGTCATCGAGGTCTGGGGCAGGATACCTGGTTGGAGAAGTGGCTGGACCCTCCAAACTTTAGGGCCTGCATTGGGGGCAGCAGCACCTGCCGCCCCCTGACCCAAGGTTCTGTCTGCCAGATGATGATCCACCTGGCCCAGCCACTGCCTCCATGCCCCTTTTCCACATCCCACTGCCTGTTCTCCCAAGCTCGCTATTGTGCCACCGTGAATGGTGCGGATTGCTGGACACCCCCCGCCCCCCCCCCGCCCCTCCCCCCCCACACACTTAGGTTGACTGGATCGGCAGCAGCATCTTCTACACTTGATCTTCTGATTACACTTCTGCTGCCAACTCTTTGGGTCCCAGTCCGGTGTCACACAGAGCTCCGGTGACCCAGCCCTGACCCTATCCCCCGTCCCCGCAGCTTGCCTTGCACCATGGACTGGCAGCCAGACGAGCAGGGTCTGCAGCAGGTCCTACAGCTGCTTAAAGACTCGCAGTCACCCAATACAGCCACGCAGCGAATCGTGCAGGATGTATCCTTCCTTCTGGGCCTGGGGCAACTGGCAGACATCTCTGCATCCCCTGAAGGCCACAGGGGATGGGCCCCATCCTAGTCCCCAGACTTTCTGCTGGCCTTGGCAGAGAATTAAGGGTTAGAATTTTTGGGTCCCATTTCCAGAAGAAATGTGACTCTGGAGTTAGGGGGATGACACCTCTAGTTGGGATTCAACTTTTGTTTAGGTTTATGATTAAAATTTTTGTTTCGATTGGTTGTTTAAAATACTTCTTTAAAAAGTTAAACTTGAGCCGAAACCGGTTTGGCTCAGTGGATAGAGCGTTGGCCTGCAGGCTGAAAAGTCCCAGGTTCGATTCCCGTCAAGGGCATGTACATTGGTTGCGGGCACATCCCTGGTGGGGGGTGTGCAAGAGGCAGCTGATTGATGAGTCTCTCTCATCGATGTTTCTAGCTCTCTATCTCTCTCTCTTCGTCTCTGTAAAAAGTCAATAAAATATATTTTAAAAAGAAATTAAACTTGAAAAAATATTTTTTTTTGTTGATTTCAGAGAGGAAGGGAGAGAGAAACATCAATGATGAGAGAGAATCATTAATCGCCTACCTCCTGCACATCCCCCACTGGGGAGAGCCTGCAACCCAGGCATATGCCCTGTCTGGGAATCAAACTGTGACCCGGTTTATAGGTCAACACTCAACCACTGAGCCATGCCTGCCTGGCCTATAAATTAAAATACTTAAGCCATTGGCAAGTTTCCCTTTTTGTTGTTGTTGTTAATACTGACCTGTGGGTATTTTTCCATTGATTTTTGGAGAGAGTGAAAGGAGGGAAGGGAGGAGTTGAGGAAGAGGTTGATTGGTTGCCTTCCTCACCAGGGTAGGGATCGAACCTTGCAACCCATGTGTGTGCCCTTGACTGGGAATCAAACCTGTCTGTGTGCTGGCTAACACTCTCTTCTTTTCTTAATATGTTTTTATTGATTTCAGAGAGAGAGAGAGAGAGAGAAGCATTAGTGATGAGAAAAATCATTGGTTGGCTGCCTGCTGCATGCCTCCTAGTGTGGATGGAGCCTGGACCCAGGCATGTGCCATTGATAGGAATTGAACCCCGGACCCTTCTCCACAGGCCGATTCTATCCACTGAGCCAAACCAGCGAGGCAGCGCTCTCACTTCTGAGCCACACTGGCCAGGGCTTGGATCTCGGATTCCCTTTTTTTTTTTTTTAAAGCAGACAACATTGGCAGCTGCCACCTTCACACAGAGCCAGGTCTGCTAATCCTTTCCTGCTCTGGTCAGGTCTTAAAGCATGGTGGGAAGCTCAGGGATGCTCCCTCACCTCCAGGATGAACTTGACATGCCTGAAATACTGCGTTGTTCTAGGCATGGGGATTGACAGGTGGCTGCCTGGTCGCAGAGGTCAGAGGTTCTGTCAGCTACATGGTTGTAATTAAGGTGACCAGATCGTCCCTCTTTTGGCGGGACAGTCCTGATTTCTAACAATTATTCCCGCGTCCCGTGGCATTTTAAAAAAGTCCCGATTTTTGGAATCTTTCCAAAAATAATGTAAGGGGACCCCACCCTGGGAAAGCCCTCATCTCCCAAGTTTCTTAACAACCTGACAGAAACTCAAACAACTGAACCAGTTTCCCGACTTCAACAACTACCTGATCTTCGTCCTGACCAGACTCAAGTCCGAAGGTATGATGCCCTTGATGCTCCTCCGTGCAGGCTAGACCCCCACTCTCTCCCCTGTGGTCCCTGAGCTGCAGCTCTCATCCCCCAGATGAGCCTACTCGCTCTCTCAGCGGCCTCATCCTCAAGAACAATGTGAAGGCGCATTACCAGAGCTTCCCACCGCCCGTGGCGGACTTCATCAAACAGGAGTGTCTCAACAACATTGGAGACGCCTCATCCCTCATCCGAGCCACCATAGGTAAGGGGATGGGGGGCAGCAGGAGTCAGCCTGTGATGCTCTCAGCCAAGAAGCATCTCAAAATGTTAAGGCTATTGATTCATGGACGGTAGAACTATTACTGTTGCCATTTTGCAGATGAGGAAACTGAGGCACAGAGAGGTTAAGGGACTTGTCTGGTAAGTAGCAGAGCTCAGAGGTGACCATTGCAGGTCCTTGCTCTGAACCACTCCTTCCTGAAATAGCCATTCTTGCTTCAGAGGCAGTCATCCAAGGTGGAGAATTTTGTGTAAGGTCCTGAGGGCTTAGCCGATTAAAATCAGAGCTCCTTTCCCTGGCAGAGCTTCCTATCATTAACGATTAGCTTCGCTTGCAGACTCCTGATTCCTGGAAGGCTGCCTGAGGGATTTAACAGAAGGAAGACCACAATTTTCCTTAAGATAAAAGGCTTTATCTCAAGCCTTTTTACTGTTGATAAATACATCCCTACTATTTGTCACTGACTTACATTTCTCCCCAGTTTTATTGAGGTTAGTTGACATATAGTGACTTACATTTTTGTTTCTTTAAAATCTTTGTCAACTCTTAAAACTTGCTTTTAGAAGGGGGGTGTTATATGGTATGTAACTATTTTAAGTGAAAAGACAGATGTGCTAAGGGAAGGTAGTCTTAAAATGAGATAAAGACAGGAAAATAGTGTTAAATTTGAGATAGATGCTGAGGTCTACCACAAGATCAGCCCTTGCTTTGGTAAGAGATCCATAGCCCCAATAATAAACCTTCATGTATGTCAGCAGAAGGATCTGAATTTACCAAGTGCATTCTGGGTGTCAAGCTCTGCTCTGAATAGTTGATTTAAGTCACTGAAGTTTCCCAATAGCCCTAGTAGGCTGGTGGTCTTTGTCCTCATTGGGGCACAAAAAGGTTAGGTGATGTGGCCAATGTCACACAGACAGGAATGGGACTGGGACTGCATCATAGTCTACCTCGGCAGAGCTGTAAGCCAGGGTCAGCTGGAGTGCTGGCACTCCCAGCAGCTTCCTCTAAGAAACACTGCCACCTCCTGGCTGTAAATATTATCTCTGCACTGACATTACCCACACTCAGCCCAGCTGCCAAACTCCTGTACTGCCTTCATACTTCATTCAGATGCCTACTGCAGGTTGTACGTGGGTTTCTGGTGAGCAGTACAAGCTCTCAGGAAGCCGTGTGGCCCTGTTAGACCTGCTCCCTGCCCCTCCCAGCCCTCACCTCCTGCTCAGGCCCTGTGGTTCCTTATCTGTCTGTAATCTCTCCAGGCATGCCCCTGCCCCTAGGCCTTTCCCTGCCTCCAGGCCTTTGCACCTGCCATTCTCTGCCTAGGATGCTCTTTACCCAGGGACCTGGATGCTTCTCCCTCGTTTCCTTCAGGACTTTGCTCAGATATCAAGGTGTCACTTGGAGGAGGCTCTGGACACCCAGTTTTTTTTGTTGTTTGTTTTTCTTTTAATATATTTTATTGATTTTTTTACAGCTAGGAAGGGAGAGGGACAGAGAGTAGAAACCTCGATGAGAGAGAAACATCGATCAGCTGCCACCTGCACACTCCCTACTGGGGATGTGCCCGCAACCAAGGTACATGCCCTTGACCAGAATGGAACCCAGGACCTTTCAGTCTGCAGGCCGACGCTCTATCCACTGAGCCAAAACTGGTTTTGGCTTTTTTAAAAAAATACATTTTATTGATTCTTTTTTTTTAGAGAGAGGAAAGGAGAGGGATAGAGAGTTAGAAATATCGATGGGAGAGAAACATCCCCAGTAGGGGGTGTGCAGTTGCCTCCTGCACACCCCCTACTGGGGATACGCCCGCAACTAAGATATGTGCCCTTTACGGGATCGAACTTGGGACCCTTCAGTCCACAGACTAATGCTCTGTCCACTGAGCCAAACTGGTTTCGGCTGGACACCCAGTTTTAAGTTGCTACCCTCGTCCTCAGCACTTGCTAGCCATCTTCTCTCCTTTATTTCCCCCTTTAGCGCTTGGCATGTAGCCTCCCAGGTTTCTTTGCATGTTTATGTTGACCTTGCAGCCTCTCTCACTAGATAGTCAGCTCCTGTGGGCAGGGACTTTGTGTTTAGTTCTGTGCTGCATCCCAAGACCTAGAACAGAGCTGATTCACAGTAAGGCTCCGAGGGTCTCTAAAGGTGTGAGTGAGGCCCACAGGGAGAGCATCCTAAGAGTGGCAGGGAGAACGGGTGCCGAGCAAGCCCGCCCGCACCCAGCCTGAGGCAGCGTCCTTTCCTGGCCGCCCAGGCATTCTCATCACCACCATCGCTTCCAAGGGTGAGCTGCAGATGTGGCCTGAGCTGCTGCCCCAGCTGTGCAACCTGCTCAACTCGGAGGATTACAACACATGTGAGGTAGGCCCCAGGCCATGCCGGTCCCCCCACCCCCACCCCCACCCCAGTGGGAACCGGGACCTAGACCTGCATCCATGTATGCTCCTCGCCATTCAGGGAGCCTTTGGAGCCCTGCAGAAGATCTGTGAAGACTCGTCCGAGCTCCTGGACAGCGATGCCCTCAACAGGCCCCTCAACATCATGATCCCCAAGTTCCTGCAGTTCTTCAAGCACTGCAGCCCCAAGATCCGGTGGGTGCGCCTCCCCAGGGCTCTGCAGGGGGCCTGGCGTAGGCAGGGCGGGGATGACCACATGCCCACTCCCTGCCAGGTCCCATGCCATCGCCTGTGTGAACCAATTCATCATGGACCGGGCCCAGGCGCTGATGGACAACATTGACACTTTCATTGAGGTGGGCTGCCGGGCTGGGGTGAGCAGGGTGAGGGCCAGGCTCCCTGCTGCGGCTGACCCTACCTTCCCCGCAGCACCTGTTTGCCCTGGCTGTGGACGATGACCCTGAAGTGCGGAAGAACGTGTGCCGTGCCCTGGTGATGCTGCTGGAAGTGCGAATCGACAGGCTCATCCCCCACATGCACAGCATCATCCAGGTGTGCACACCGAGGCCAGCCTGGGTGGACGCTGTGGAGCTGGGGGCACGGCGGGTATCACCCCTAGCTGGGCGGGCCTTCAGCTTTTCTCACCCCACTCCCCTAGTACATGCTGCAGAGGACCCAGGACCACGATGAGAATGTGGCCCTTGAGGCCTGTGAGTTCTGGCTGACGCTGGCCGAACAGCCCATCTGCAAGGATGTCCTGGCCTCCCATCTGGTTCAGTGAGTGTCTCTCCTGTGTGGTGTCCCACCCCCGCCTCCACCCCTCCTGTTTCAGTTTACTTCCTATACCTGCACACATTTTTGTTTGGTTTCTATTGATTTCAGAGGGGAAGGGAGAGGGAGAGAGAGAGAAGTATCAATGATGAAAGCGAATCATTGACTGGCTGCCTCCTGCTTGTCCCCTACTTGGGATCCAGCCCACACACATGCATGTGCCCTGATCAGGAATGGACCTGTGACCTCCTGGTTAATAGGTTGATGTTTAACCACTGATCGACACTGGCTGGGTGCCTGCATATATTTTGCAAGTGATATGAATGTAGCTTTAGTGACTTAAAGGTTAGGTAAGTTATAGGCGGAATAAATGAGAAATCAAGAGAGGCTTTAGGCCTGGTTGGGTCCCGGTGCTCAAAGGATGTGAAAGGCATCTGTCTAGTCTCAGATCTACTTCCTCTCCATTGGCTTTGTTCTCAGGCATGACCTTCCCTCCTGGCTGTGGCCTTCTACAGCTTTACAGCTTAGGAACCTCTGAAAAAAGAATTCCCTCTTGACCACTCTCTCCAGCAAAACTCCTAGGGTCAGCTTGGATCACTCACCTATCCCCAAGTCAGCGAAGACTAACCAGAATTTCTAATCCCAAGGTACATGGGCACCAGCTGATGGGGCTGGCTGCCTTGCCTGTTTGCTTCCCTCACCTGCCCCATCCCAGGGGAGTTCCTGGTGACTGAGCCACATGTCCCTGCCTTAGGTGAACGAGGGGTCAGGCACTGTTCTAAGCTTCTCCGTGTATTCAGAGGTGTCCAGGTCTGGGTCAAGAGCCTTCCTGTGGAGCCAGGAGTGGTGTCAGCTCTGTGCCTGTTGGGGTAGCTGCCATTAAGGGAAATGAATGGGTGCGGGGCCGGCAGAACCACCGCTGTACAGTCTGCCCTTGACACTCCCATCTGTATCTGTGCTTCCTCCTTGCCCAGGGCACCTTGCCTCCCAGTGAATAGCCTCTCTCCCCACAGGTTGATCCCTATCCTGGTGAATGGGATGAAGTACTCGGAAATCGACATTATCCTGCTCAAGGTCAGCCGGGCTGACCACCGGGCACAGGCAGGTGGGTGAGGGCGGTGGGGGGGTGGGGCTGAGGCTCTGGAGGTGCTCAGTGGCTTGTCTGGCCCACAGGGAGATGTGGAAGAGGACGAGGCAGTCCCAGACAGCGAGCAGGACATTAAGCCACGCTTCCACAAGTCACGCACCGTGACACTGCCCCATGAGGCCGAGCGGCCTGACGGCTCTGAGGATGCTGAGGATGACGATGATGATGATGCTTTATCTGACTGGAATCTGAGTGTGTGGCCCGGGCAGGAGGGGTGGTGGAGTGCTGGGGCAGGAGGGGTGGTGGGGCTGGGAGGAGAGGAGAAGCTTACTTGGAGCAGATCGTGAAGTTGATCCTAACCGTGATCTCTGATCTGGGGGTATGATTGAGGAGCTGGGCTTCCCTGAGCCTGTTCCCCCAATTTCCCTTCCTGTCCCAGGAAAGTGCTCGGCGGCTGCATTGGATGTCTTGGCCAATGTCTTCCGGGAGGAACTATTGCCCCACCTGCTTCCTCTGCTCAAGGGCCTCCTCTTTCACCCTGAATGGGTGGTCAAGGAGTCGGGCATCCTGGTGCTGGGCGCCATCGCTGAAGGTGAGAGCCCTTGCTGTCCTGACTGCCTGACCTCTGACCCCAGGCGGAGCTGCCTGGGGGTGAGGAGTGGTAATGGACATCATCCCTGAGTTCTCTCCGGAGGCCTGCTCAGCCCCTCCAGACAGATCTGGGATTTGAATCTTCCCCTCAGCCTATGAACCTGAAGGGAACCCCAAACCCTGAAATGCAAGCCCTCTCCTTAATTCTCATGGACATGCAATTCTATGAGGTCCTAAGCATAATTATAGCTACAACAATAAGTCCCGTGACAGGCAGCCTGTTCTATGGGCTCAGTCCGACCTGATGAGATGGGATTCGTAGATGGGGAAGCTAAGGTACAAAGGGATGTGTACATCACCTCCCCACTTACCCAGGGTGCAGCTGAGCCTCCAACCTGCTCCCTGGCTGTGGGCTGGCCTGCCAGAATGAGGAGTGTGCTGGGTGGTGTTTCTCCAGATTCCACACTGTGGGCTGTTACTGGTGGGCTTTCCAGCGCCCTCTGTCCTGATGGAACATACAGCTTGAGTGAACCAGAGGGCTTTTCAAGTCTGTTACGGGCACCACTGTGACTGCCTCAGCATCCAGGCCTGTCCTAGACAATAAGTTCAGCCCCAGTCGGTCTGGCTCAGTGGACAGAGCGCTGGCTTGTGGATTTGATTCCAGTCCAGGGCACAGGCCTGGGTTGTGCGCTGGATCCCCAGGGGGACACACACAGGAGGCAGCTTATCCGTGATTCTCTCACCATTGATGTTTCTATCTCTCTTTCCCCCTCCCTCTCTGAAATCAATAAAAATTTTTAAAAATTAAAAAGTTCAAGAGCCTTCACCTAGGAGAGCTTTCAAAATTTATTTAAGGAGCCGAAACTGGTTTGGCTCAGTGGATAGAGCGTCGGCCTGTGGACTGAAAGGTCCCGGGTTCAATTCCGGTCAAGGGCATGTACCTTGGTTGTGGGCACATCCCCAGTGGGAGGTGTGCAAGAGGCAGCTGATCAATGAATCTCTCTCATCGATGTTTCCCTCTCTTCCTTTCTGTAAAAAATCAATTTAAAAAAATTATCTAAGGAGAGATTCCCTCACATTAGGTTCTCTACATGTTCATGAAAAAGAACTGGAGAAACTAACTTTACGCCAGTAAAAACAGATCTCTTGTCTTAGATTATTAGAGGGTATGTTATTACCTGTGTTCTCTAATTAAAAGACTTATTTGCCACTTGAGTCAGACAAGAAGGGTTGACCTCTGAACCACAAGGTCAGGGCACATGCCCAGGTTATAGGCTTGAGCCCTAGGAGAGGTCATGCAGGAGGCAGCTGATTGATTATCTCTTATCATTGATGTTCCTTCCTCCCTCCCTCCCTCCCTCCCTCCCTCCCTCCCTCCCTCCCTCCCTCCCTCCCTTCCTCTCTCCCTCCCTCCCTCTTTAAAACATACTTTAAAAAAAAAAAAAAGAAAAAGCCGAAACCGATTTGGCTCAGTAGATAGAGCCTTGGCCTGTGGACTCAAGGGTCCCGGGTTCGATTCTGGTCAAGGGCATGATGCAGGCACATCCCCAGTAGGAGGTGTGCAGGAGGGAGCTGATGGATGTTTCTCTCTCATCGATGTTTCTAACTTTCTATCCCTCTCCCTTCCTCTCTGTAAAAAATCAATAAAATATATTTTAAAAAAAGGAATAAGATAGCCTTGGCCAGTTTGCCTCAGTGGTAGAGCATCAGCCTGGGGACCAAGGAGTTTCAGTTTGATTCTCTGCCCTGGTCGTAGGGGCTTGTGAGGGAGGCAACCAATAGATGTGTGTCTCTCGTTTATGTTTCTCTGTATATGCCTCCCTGCCTCCTTCCACTCTAAAAACCAATGGAAAAAGTATGGCTCCGTGGATGGAATGGCCTGCGGACTGAAAGGTCCCGGGTTTAAATCTGGTCAAGGGCATGTATCTTGGTTGCGGGCACATCCCCAGTAGGGAGTGTGCAGGTGGTAGCTGATCGATGTTTCTCTTTCATCAATGTTTCTAACTTTCTATTCCTCTCCCTTCCTCTCTGTAAAAAAATCAATAAAATATATATTTTAAAAAAATATCCTCAGGTGAGAATTAAAAAAAGAGAGAGAGAGAGAGAGAGACATACTCATAGTTTTTTTTTTAAAGTAGAGAAAGAATTAACAAACATCCAGGAAAAGTTTCAAAAGAAACCTTTGTGGTCACTGCTGCCCACAAAGCCTGAGTGAGCGTGCAGCCCTGTCATCTATGAAGTAATGAGTGACCATGTTGGGGTGGAGCTGATGGCAAAGGAAGGTTTGCCATGTTGTGCCTTCCCCTCCTGACCCTACTTTTCACTGATTTAAACTTTTTCATTATTGATTTTAGAGAGTGGAAGAGAGAAACATTGATTTGTTGTCCCACTTATTTATGCATTCATTGGTTGATTCTTTTTGTTGTTGTTAATCCTCATCTGAGGATATTTTTCCATTGATTTTTAGAGAGGGTGGAAGAAAGGGACAAAGGAAGGAAGGAGGATTGGGGATGGGGGGAGGAGAGAGAGAGAGAAATTTCCATGTGAGAGAGACATCAGTTGGTTGCCTCTTGTACCCACCCCAACTGGGGCTGGGAATTCAACCTACAATCAGGTATGTGCCTTTGATCGGGAATCGAACCCATAACCTTTGGTGTATGGACTGACTCTAACCGCTGAGTCACACAGCCCAGGACCTTTGGTTGATTCTTGTATGTGCTCTGACGGGAGATGGATCACATAACTTGGCATATTAGGAGGCTGCTCTAACCAACTGTCCTACCGGGCCAGGGCTCTGATCTACCCTGTTTCCCTGAAAATAAGACAGTGTCTTATATTAATTTTTCTCCCAAAGTTGCGCTCGGTCTTATCTTTCCATGTGCTAGGTCTTATTTTCGGAGGATGTCATATTTTCGGGGAAACACGGTAGTTATTTAACCTCTGAGCCTCTGTTTCTCCATTTAACGGGTTGGGCTGATCCTCTCCCCTGAGTGGGTGTGGCTGGGCTCAGCTGGACTCAAGAGTGTCCCTGTGCTGACCTTACAGGCTGTATGCAGGGGATGGTGCCCTACCTCCCTGAGCTGATCCCACACCTCATCCAGTGCCTGTCAGACAAGAAGGCCCTGGTTCGCTCCATTGCCTGCTGGACGCTGAGTCGCTACGCCCACTGGGTGGTCAGCCAGCCGCCAGACATGCATCTCAAGCCTCTGATGACAGAACTGCTCAAGCGCATCCTGGATGGCAACAAAAGGGTGCAGGAGGCAGCCTGCAGGTGACCCCTGACCCCTGACCCCTGGCCCCACAGTCCTTCCCCCCTCTGCGCCGCTGGCTGCCATCGGGAAGTGATGACACTCATTACCTCTGATATACGCTGATTTCTCACGTATTCGTACTGGCTGATCCCGGGTGCTCTACCTGCCTCTGGCCCAGCCCCCATCTGTAGATGCCCACTGAGCCCTTTCCCCCTTCTAGTGCCTTTGCCACCCTGGAGGAGGAGGCCTGCACAGAGCTGGTGCCCTACCTCAGCTACATCCTGGACACTCTTGTCTTTGCCTTTGGCAAGTACCAGCATAAGAACCTGCTCATCCTCTATGATGCCATCGGCACCCTGGCTGACTCTGTGGGCCACCATCTCAACCAGCCGGTGAGGCCCCACAGCACCTCCCTCTCCCCGGTTCCCTGTTTACCTCTGGCATCCAGGGACCTGGCCGTGACCCCGTGTTGCACGCCAGGGACATGGCCATGACCTGGACAGGTAGAGAGACCTGGCCCCTGCCCTCGCCCTTTCCCAGTCTGGTGGGGGAGACACACAGTTATGAGACAGTGTGGTAAGTGCTGTGCTGGGGAGCTCAGGGGCCTGCAGGTACCAGGAGGCTGAGCCAGGCTCCTGAAGGGGCAGTGGTGGGTAGATCGGGGCTTGGGGTGGTTGAGAAGAACTGGTGGTCTCGCTGGGTGGTTCCCAGAGAGCCATCTCTGCCCAGAGAGCCCCAACTTCCTGCTCCCCCTCCAGGAATACATCCAGAAGCTGATGCCGCCGCTCATCCAGAAGTGGAACGAGCTCAAGGATGAAGACAAGGACCTCTTTCCTCTGCTGGAGGTGGGTGGGCTTCCGGCTCCCTCCCACAGTCCTGCCCGCCCCACCTGAGTTCACCTCTCCTGCCTTCCTCCCACCAGTGTCTGTCGTCTGTGGCCACTGCCCTGCAGAGTGGCTTCCTGCCCTACTGCGAGCCTGTGTACCAGCGCTGCGTCACCCTGGTGCAGAAGACACTGGCCCAGGCCATGGTGAGCACCCACCCGCCCGCTCCTCTGCTGCGGCTCCAGCCCTGGCCTCCCGCCCTCACCTCCTGCCTACCCCACTGTGCCCAGATGTACACCCAGCACCCCGAGCAGTACGAGGCCCCCGATAAGGACTTCATGATCGTGGCACTGGACCTGCTCAGCGGCCTGGCCGAGGGCCTGGGTGGCCACGTGGAGCAGCTGGTGGCCCGCAGCAACATCATGACCCTGCTCTTCCAGTGCATGCAGGTGGGTGCGCACCCTCCGCAGACCTCTCACAGCCATGACACCGAGCAGCCCATCTGGGCCACCCTGGGGGGTCGGGGTCCCCAGGGACATCAGGGAAAGGTGCCTGTTAAGAAACTTGTAATTCTTTTAAAAAGGGATTTGATTAAGACCTGAGTAAAAACTCATTTTCAAAGCAACAATGTAGAAAACTTAGAAGTAGAAAATAGAAAATGTGAGAGCACAGCCCCTTCACCCTCGCCCCCAGCCCATGTGCCAGCAGCTCCATGTGCCTTTCCTCCTGCGGCGCTGCCCTGAGCCAGGCACTGGCTCACAAGGCCCCTGAGCCCTGGTGCATGCGGCCCCTTAGCCTCGGTGCTGGGAAGTGGAAGGGTTAGGCTGTGTTCCCGGGACTGCGCCCCTGGCTGCCCTGAGCTGAGGGATTAGTTGGGACCCCAGCTGGTTGGGGGGAGGGGAGCCAGGCCATGCTGACCCTGCTCTGACCCTCCAGGACTCGATGCCCGAGGTCCGGCAGAGCTCCTTCGCCCTCCTCGGAGACCTCACCAAAGCCTGCTTCATCCACGTCAAGCCCTGTATTGGTACGACACCCATCTCATCCTCAGCTCACAACCCCCGCCCTGGCCTCAATGATGGAACAATGACCAGGGAGAACTGTGACCGAACTGGGATGTATTCGTACTGTCTGATGGGGCCTGCCCAGCCGGGTCCGGGAGCCCACCCTGCAGGTCCTCCTGCTCAACACCCCTCTTTTCCCCCACCAGCTGAGTTCATGCCCATCCTGGGCACCAACCTGAACCCTGAGTTCATCTCCGTCTGCAACAATGCCACCTGGGCCATTGGAGAGATCTGCATGCAGATGGGTGAGTGCCCTGCAGTTGGGCGGGCCCTGTCCCTCCCCATGGGCCTGGAGCCTGGCTCTGAGTGACAGGTCCCCTTGAGAGGGCGCTGGTGCTCCTGAGGAAAGCTCCCATGGGCAAGAGGATAGGATACCTCTGAGCATTTTTATCCAAGACGGGCCGAATGGCTGAAAGGCCATGTGTGATTGGCTTCTGATAAGAGGCAGGACAGGAGTCTTGTTCTAATTGGACAATTTGCCACCTCCCCACCCCAAATGCAGTTGGCTAGGATTGGTAGGGAGACTGTCAGCTTCCCCTCTCCCCGCAAAGGTGTTCATCAGTGACTCCAGGGAAGCTTCTGGGGTTGAGGGTGTAGCTCTACCTCTGGTTGACTATGGGTCCTGGCCCAGGAACCAGCTAAAGTTTTTTTGCTCCGTCACTGGATGTGATTGGCTAATGTCTAGATGCAGTTGGAGTGGTTGGTATGGGTGGGCGGGCTGTGTGTGGCTCTGACTGTCTGGTCCCCCAGGGGCAGAGATGCAGCCCTACGTGCAGATGGTCCTCAACAACCTGGTGGAGATCATTAACCGGCCCAACACACCCAAGACACTCCTGGAAAATACAGGTGGGCGCCAGACCTGGGCTGCTGCCGCCCCTTGCTCACCTCCGGGAGGCGGGCTTCTCGGCTGGGAGTGCAGTTAAGTGGCCTTGGGAAAGAGCCAGGGAAGGCATCTGGAAGGACCTGGAAGGGGTTCTGGGAGGTGAGGCAAGAACGATAATGCTGGCCTCCAGGGAAGACCCAAGCTGGGCTAAGCTCCAGGCCCTGGTGGCTGGCAGGAGTTATTCCCTGTGGCCTGTGGGGCGGGGCTTGGTGCCCGGTGCCAGAGGCCCCCCCCAAGTACTGTCCCGGGGCCACTCGGGGTTGCAGGTCGCCTGACGAGTCCCTCTGCCATTCCAGCCATTACCATCGGCCGCTTGGGCTACGTGTGCCCACAGGAGGTGGCACCCATGCTGCAGCAGTTCATCCGGCCGTGGTGTGTGCTCATCTGTGGGGCCTGCCGTGTGGTGGCCGGGCGGCAGAGTGGGTGGGACAGGCCCAGTCTGACCCCTTGCCTGTGACCACCCTGCCCTGCTCACCCTCAGCTGCATGTCCCACCCCATCACCCTCTGACCCCCTGCTTCCTCCATGCCCCGTAGACACATGCCCCCCAGCCCCCCCAACCCCCCACTGCTCCTATGGATGCCCTCCTGCCCCACCCCTGCCGGCTGATTCCCCTGCTCACCTTCCCCACAGGTGCACATCCCTCAGGAACATCAGGGACAATGAGGAGAAGGACTCGGCCTTCCGAGGCATCTGCATGATGATAGGCGTCAACCCCGGGGGCGTCGTGCAGGTGGGGCGGCTGGGCTCTGAGGGAAGGCACTGGGGCTGGGCTCGGGCGGCCCCTCACATGGGATCCGTCACATTTCAGGACTTTATTTTCTTCTGCGATGCTGTAGCCTCCTGGGTGAGCCCTAAGGATGACCTTCGGGACATGTTTTATAAGGTGAGGCTCCTGCTTCGCCCTGATGGAGTCCCAGGAGGCGGCAGGGGGAAGGCTCTCTGGGGAGAGTCCGAGTTCATCTGCTCTGGTCTGGGTGTCCCCCCCCCATTCCACAGATTCTCCATGGCTTCAAAGACCAAGTTGGGGAGGAAAACTGGCAGCAGTTCTCAGAGCAGTTCCCGCCGCTGCTCAAGGAGAGGTTGGCTGCCTTCTACGGGGTCTAGAGGAGCAGTGAGACTGCCGGTGAGGAGGCTGCACGCAGGGGCTGGGGCTGCCCCCGGGCTGAGGGAGCGCGGGCCCTGATTCCTCCTCTCCCCGCAGGTTTCTGTCTGCGTCGTCATCGGAGGGGTGGCTGGGGAGCACACCGCGTCCAGAAGTTGCTGTGCCCTGGTCGAGGGGGGTTAGGGAGGAGTGAGTGGGACCCAAATCCGGATGCCTTCCCTGCGCATCTACCTGCCATGCCTGGCCTGTGTAGCCAGCCAGTGGTGGGCGGGTGGGTGGGGCGTCCACGCTCACCCTACAAATGGGAGGGGGGTGGGACTTCTTGGCAGCAAGGGCCCCTTTCTCTAAGTAAGGTCACCATAGGCAGCCCACAGGGCTAGCCACGTGGGAGGGAAGAATCAATACGGCCGACTGAATCCAGCTTAGGATGAGGCAGGGGAAAGCAGGCGGGGAGGGGGGTCCCTGTAGAGATGCGTACACACGTACACACGTGGCTACACGCATGTGTGGGCGCTGCAGCCAGCTAGCCTTGGTCAGCTGCCCCACCATTTCCCTGACTGCATGGAGACAGTAGAATTAGTGAACCCGAGTTAACCCATGAGGCCTTCCGTGTAACCTGCATCTAGAGTTTAAGACGCTTCAGCCGTGTTACCAGAATTGATGATGATTGGGGAGGGCTGGGTGGGTTGGGGTCCTTTGCTGGGAACTCCGGGCGGGATAAGACGATGGTCACCTTGGGGCTGCCCTGTCAGCACACACACACTTTGGACCTGCTCAGCGCACTTCCTGCCAGCTCTATAGCAGCCGCAGCCATCCTGTCCCTCTCCTTGTCTCATCCCAGCCAGAATAGAGGGGACCACTGAGTGTGGCTAGGGCTGGCCAAAGGTCTCCCTTTCTCCCTCCCTTGTGCTCCAGTGACATGAACACACTGGGCTGGGGCCTTTTTCTGGAAGAGCTTCAGTGGCCAGAGCTGCTGACCTCTACCCCTGCCTCTCTACATAAGCAGGTCCATTTAAAGGGCAATCTATTTCTCTGCTCCTGAGAGCACTCAAGTTCCAGGCCCAAGGTTTTAAAATAAGGGCTGGGCATTTAATTGATGTTGATGAGACAAAAGCTTATGCTTTACCAGCAAAAAGGAAAGCAAGGGCTTGGAGGAGGGGCAGTGAGGCCCTGAGTCTTCCTGTTCATCCCTGTTCCCAGCGGCCCCAAAAGCCCACCAGATTGGGGGCAGTGATTCTAGGAATCTTGGGATTGGCCAGGGATGTGGTCACAGCGAGAGGGGATCTCCTGGGACCAGAGGGGATGTGATTCCGAGTTGGCTACAAATGAAGCTGAGCCCTGCAGCCCCCCTAATGTTTTCTTTTTTCTCCTCCCCAGCTTTTTCCTTTAGGGGCGCATTTAGGAGCTTTTGGGGGGGGGGGGTCTGACAATTCCTGCATCTTGGGGCCTGCTCCATCCATCCCACTGGGTTCTTGGACCCTACCCCCACCCTGGTCCTGTATCTTCTCAGACAGGCCAGGCCCTGCCTGTATTCCAAGGGGCACTTGGTGCACATTCCATAAACTCAGCTGGTTCCCCCTCCCCCTTTAAAATCCAGCAGGTCTCTGGAAGCCATTTGTAAAAAAGAAAAAAGAAAAAAAATTTAATACCATTTAAGTTCCTGGTAATTCCAATTCTGTGGAGCATCCTCTGCTGGGTCTTGGGGTGTGTGGATTGGATTGGCTGGCTGATGGGTTGGGAAACTCCTCCACCCAGGATGAGGGGCTCCAGTTGCCTTCAGGGAAGTGGGAGTCTGGTTCATTGTCTTATTTTTTTTTTTAAACTATTTAATTTTAATTTATTTTTGGTTGATTTTTGCACAACGAAGTTGTAGCTTCTCAACCTCCCCTGCCCTGGGCTGTGGACCCTGACTGGCCTCGATCCACAGTCTTCCCATGTCCCTCCTTCCCCTTCCCCCTTTCCTTCTGCGGGCTCCAGGGTCTGTCCATTTGTTACTGTGCTGTGCTGGGGAGTGGCGCCGAGGTGGCGTGAGATTCCACTTGTGTAGAACTTTGTTGAGTAAAGATCAGTTTCTTGTGAAACCTTGGTCTCCACCTGGTCTCCTGTGTCTTCTTGAAGGGAACTGGGAAGCTTTATAAATGGGGGTGCAAAGATTCAGGAAGTAATTGGAGTGGGGGAAGGAACTAAGCAATAACAGGCATACTATTTCTTGGGAGCCTCAGCTTTCCTGGAGAATGGTTAGGTTAAACATGAAAGGTGAAGGTTGAATGTAATAACAATACATGGGAGTGCATTCTCTCAGCCATAATTACAGCCACTAAAGGGGAACAATATATACAGCTTAGGTTCAAGATCCCCTCCTGCCTTAGACTAAACTGAGTGGCAAGCACAAAGCCTTGCAGGGCTGTTGTCGTTGGCTAACTTCCACACTGGATAACTGGGCATGTGTTCTACAAAGTGCCCAAGGTCCCAGGAAACTTCAGTGTCATGGTCACAGATTCTAAAGAAAGAACCCGGAGGACTGGCTGTGAAAGGCATGGGTTTATTAGGACTTCCATGCACACCTGTGGTGGCCAACCAGTGAAGATTGAACTAAGTCCCATCAGCCTGTGCACGGGCAGCACCACGGGCGGCTGGTGATGCTTTATAGGGGGCAAAAAAATTGAGGGGACGTATCTATCTGAGATCAAAACAATAGCTGTTTACAATTCAGGCTCACATCTAAAAGCAGCTTCTCTTTGGCTGTTCTTAGAAGAAAGAAAAAAAAAAGACAGCATTTTATTGATTTTTTTACAGAGAGAAAAGGGAGAGGGATAGTTAGAAACATCGATGAGAGAAACATTGATCAGCTGCCTCCTACACACCCACCACTGGGGATGTGCCCACAACCAAAGTACATGCCCTTGAACTGAATTGAACCTGGGACCCTTCAGTCCCCAGACCAACGCCCCACCCACTGAGCCAAACCGGCTAGGGTTCCCTTTGGCTGTTCTTAGCCTGAGTTGCTGGCCAAGTTCCCAAGGCCTCACAGTTCTCTTACAGATGGCCTTCACTGTATTTCCCACATGGTGGCAGGGGGAGCTGGGACGTGGGGAGGGGCCCATGTTCCCATTTACCATATGGCAAATTAGAAATTTTTGTAGAAAGCTCAGCCCAGCAGCAGGCCTGTGGGAGAAAGGTAAAATAGCAGTAGTTACTAAGGCAAATGAGAAACTGCTCAGCTCTGGAGATGGGCAAGCCTTAGAATAAAATGTGGCATCCTCAGTATGGCCCAAGGATCACCTGCAACAACCTGGGGGAAATGCAGACACACCCGACATGAACTCACATGTATACATCTTAGTGAGGGAAATAGAATATAAACAAGGAAACAGTGACATGTTCCATGGAGAAAAATACAGTGGGAGGGGAGATAACAGTGGGGAAGATGGTCGCAACCTTACAGTAGGTACTCTGGGAAGATCATGTTTGAATAAAGAGCTTTGTGCCTATGAGGAGTCTGGCTGAGGGTACCAGTGTTATGTGTTAGCACTGCCTGGCTCAGAGGCTTCCAGTCAGGTGCTATTTTTATCAGTATGATTCAGAGTGCTGTTCCACCGAAGCCCCTGCAGTGTAACAGCCGGTGTTTCTAGCTACGGAAACCGGGAAAGGGGCTTCGCTTTTCTAATCTTGGTGTCACCTGTGAAAGGTGCCTTCCAGAAGGCCGAGTTTTTCAAACCGGAGTCGGCTGGCCTGCATCGGCACCACCAGAGGTACTTGTTTCAAAAATGCAGGAACCTTCGAAGGATTTACATGTAATGCATATAAGAATAACCAACGGCCCGATAGAGCGTCGACCAGCGGACTAAAGGGTCCCAGGTTCGATTCCACTCGGTGTTTCTAACTTTCTATCCCTTTCCCTTCCTCTCTGTAAAAAAAAAATCAATAAAATATATATATTTTAAAATAATGGATGCAAAACATTGGGGGGTGAGGGCATGTATGGAGGGAGATGGGGGGCAATGGTAAAATATGTACACATATAATACCTTAATTTAATTTGCACTCCGCTGTTCCCTCTCAGGGGACATCGGAATTCTAGCATATCACTCGGATATCCCCTCTCAGGGGACATTGCAGTTTATTAGTGATTACGGGGAATTGAGTTAATTCAATGCACGTTTCGCAAAGTAGCGTCGAGTAGCTGGTAGCCAATGTCCAGAATGCTTCAGAGTGCAAAGGGTTAAAAAATGAAGAGGAGCCGAAACCGGTTTGACTCAGTGGTAGAGCGTTGGCCTGCGGACTGAAAGGTCCCAGGTTCGATTCCAGTCAAAGGCATGTACCTTAGTTGCGGGCACATCCCCAGTAGGGGGTATGCAAGAGGCAGCTGATCGATGTTTCTAACTCTATCCCTCTCTCTTCGTCTCTAAAAAAATCAATAAAATATATAAATAAATAAATAATTAAGAGGGGGAAAAAACCCCTGCAGGAACTAGAAATCTGCGTTCCCCAGTCCGGTGCAGCTCCAGAACGAGACCCTAGGAGCAAGGAGGTTGTCAGTGTCCCGTCACTTTCACGCGAACCGCTCACTTCCGGTCGTCGCCTTGACGTCATCGGGCGGGGCCGAAAGTGCCCTCGCGCTGCCTAGGAGACAGGACGCGGGGGGCCTGCGGCTGACAGGGCACCGGCCGCGCCCACTCGTCGCCATGGAGCTGCCCCCGGGGCCTCGCGACGATCCCAACGCCTGGGACGATGACTCGGACCCGGAGCCGGAGCCTGACCCAGACGCGCAGGCCGAGGCTTATGTGGCGCGCGTGCTCAGCCCACCGAAACTAGGACTGGCGCCCCTGCGCGACCCTCCGCTGTCCGCGTCCGCCCGCTGCCCCGGCGCCCTGGAGCCGCGGGCCGCGCCCAAGGGCCGCGCCCTGGGGGTGCCGGGCCTGCTGAGCCTCCCCCCGGAGCTGCTGCTCGAGATTTGCGCCTACCTGGACGCGCGCCTCGTTCTCCACGTCCTGCCGCGCGTGTGCCACGCGCTCCGCGACCTTGTGCGTGACCATGTCACCTGGAGGCTCCGCGCGCAGCGCCGCGTACGCGCACCCTATCCAGTGGTGGAAGGTGCGCACGCGGGGGGCCAGGGGCGCCCGCCCAGGTCAGCTTTAGGGCCAGGGAGGGTGTGTCTGGGATGCTGTGAGTACAACCCCTACAGCAGACTTCCTGGCTGTCCTAGCTGAGGCAGTTACTGGTGGTGCCAAAGTCCCTGAATCCTGAGTGGACCGTGAGGCAGACATTTGGGGTCCTGAAGCTGTAGAAACCTGTCTGGGGGGCGTGGGTTCTGTGAGGGGGGCGTGCGGGGCAGGGCCCTGCCTGGCCACAGCCCAGCCTCGTGCTCTGTGTGTCCCAGGAGCAAGGCAGCTGTGCTGTGCCTTTCCTACCAGCCTGACATCCTGGTGACTGGCACCTATGTGATCATCAGGCTTGAGTTCTGGTGGTGGTACAAAGGCCCTGATCCCTGGCTGGGGGTTGACACGGGGACTTGAAAGTCTCAGATTGTAGGAATCTGCTCGGGGTTCAGGGTAAACCCAAGAATTTTCAGGTTCTGGGTCAAGATGCTTAGGCAGCAACTACTGATCCCTTACCCCTAGAGCCCTGGCCTAGAGGCAGGGACTCTTTTTTTTTTTTTTTAGGCAGGGACTCTTTTACCTGCAACTCTTGAGCCTAAGGTAGGGTTTGGGGGTTAGGAATCTCTGATGCCAAGATCACAGATCCTCAGGCCCAGGGTCTAGCCTGGGATCGTAAGTAGGGGCTGGTGGTCATCACCCCTGCCCCCGAGGTCATCGGTCCCTCGGGGATAAGACAGCTTGGTGGCCTTGAAGTGATGGGATGCTCCCGAGTAGCTTGATAAACAGAGATGCCTGGGCTCCGTTCATGTCACTGAATCTCTGCACCCAGGGCGTGGGTTCTGCATCTTGACAACTCTCCCAGGTCTATAGTTTGAGAAGAAACACTCTCCTGGGTCTGGTTTGGATGGCTGAGGCAGAAAGTCCTGGCTCCTGTGCCCAGACCGAAGGATTGGGGTCAGACCTCAGTCCAGGGTGAGGAAGGACCTGCATGTCCTGAGGCTGCTCTCTCCCAGACATGGGTTGGGGGATTGAGGCCCGAGAAGGTGGTCTTGAGACTCCACTTTCCCCGTTTCTGGAAACAGAGGTGACCTGTGGGAGGGGAGAGAACAGTGGGGACCTGCTTCAAAGGTGGGTGAGGCAGTGGTTCCAAAGCTAGAGCCTGGGCCTCCTTGGCGTGGGGGAGGGGACCCAGATGGAGGGTTTCTCCAAGCCCGGTGCTGGCTGGCTCCCTGGGAACCAGGGGAAGGCTTGGATAACCGGCGTGGGTAGCAGAGTCCCTGCCCACCAAAGACGCCCCTTGTGGTGCCCCACAGAGGAGGACTTTGACTGGCCGGCGGCCTGCATCGAGCTGGAGCAGCACCTGTCACGCTGGGCGGAGGACGGGCGCTGGGCCGAGTACTTCTGCCTGGCTGATGGGCACTTTGCTTCCATTGACTCGGTGCTGCTGTTCCAGGTGAGATGGGGTTCGGCGAGAGGCCAGGCAGGGGTGGGTCAGGGTGACCCCTGCAATACCGCCTCAGCCTCACTCCCCTCCCAGGGCGGGGCCTTCTGCCTGTCGGGCTCCCGGGATCGCAATGTCAACCTGTGGGACCTGCGGCAGCTTGGGGTGGAACCCAGCCGGGTTCTGGTCAAGGCCCTCGGCACCCAGAACAGCACCCACAAGGTAAGGCTACAGGAAGCATGAGGCCTAGGTAGGGTGGGGTGACCACGTGCTGGGGTTTTAGCACCAGACCTGACAGATGACAGTCTTACTCTGCTACTGTTAGTGTGATTTTTGGGTGTGATGTATGACTTCTCGGGGCCTCGGTTTCTACTTCTGTCCCAGGTCCGTTAGGATGAGTGAAAGGAACAGCCATTAAGAGCTTCACTCAGACTCACATACACAGTAGATACTCACTAGATGTCAGCTATGCCTTGAGAGGCCCAGGGCAGGGTGTTAGGAGGCTGTCCTTGGGGATCTGATAGATCTAGGCTGGTGGCCAGGAGTTTGGTCTCCGAGCCAGGCTGCTGGGTTAAATTCCTCGTTCTGCTATTTTCTGGCGTGTGACCTTGGGCGAGGAACTCAACCTGTCTGTGCCCTCAGTGTTCTCATTGGTAGAATGGGAGATCTGACAATATTCTCAGAGGGTCTGGTGAGGAATAAATCAGCCATCAGCCAGCTCTCTGTAGATTGTCCCTTGGGACAGGGACTGTTTTTATGCCCATTTCTCCAACGAGGTTACTGAGGGAGCAGACGTAATTTACCCAAGCCATGGAATGGAGAGGCCCTGTATTTAATCTCATTGTCATGTGGCCTCAAACCATCGCAGGTTCCGAGTCTGTGCAGAACTTGGTTTGGGACCATTGTTGGGTGAGGGGGTATGTGTATCCTGAGCTCTGCGGAGGGACAGACCTGCAGACCTCAGCTCCTATCTCTGCTATTGCTCTGGGTTCTTGGGTTGGTTGTCTTCCTCCTCTGGCCTTCCATCTAGTTAACTGAAATGAGGACTGTCACGTGGATCTGGTCCTGCAGGGTTGGGTGTGGTCGCTGGCAGCGCTGGACCACCGAGTGTGCTCCGGTTCCTGGGATAGCACGGTGAAGCTCTGGGACATGGCAGCTGACGGGCAGCAGTTTGGTGAGATAAAGTATGAGGGGTCTTGAGGAGGGGCGGGGGACAGGGGGCGGGCGGGGCAGGGCCCTGCCTGGCCACAGCCCAGCCTCGTGCTCTGTGTGTCCCAGGGGCAAGGCAGCTGTGCTGTGCCTTTCCTACCAGCCTGACATCCTGGTGACTGGCACCTATGACAAGAAGGTGACCGTCTACGACCCCAGAGGTGGGCCAGGGGCCTGGACTGGGGAGAACAGGGCTGCCTGGGGGTCCCAGGGTCACGCTGGGGACGGAGGCACTGGGGCTTCACAGCCTGGCTGGGTGACAATCCGTAGGCCGATGTTAACTCCCCAGAATGGCCCGTGCTGTGCTGCGGGCAGCAGAGGGGACTTTTGGGTGGGCATGGAGTAAAGGGCATAGAGGGTACCCAGCGGAGGGCCTCTGAGCCGGAATCCCGTGGAGTGGGAGGCAGGCGGCCCCCGAGAATCCTGGCTCTCCCACTTCCTAGCTGTACGATCCCAGTTTTCTTACCTGTAAAATCAGACAACAACTCGAGCCCTTTAGGGTTAATGGGAGGAGATGATAATAAGAACATTGGTGGATTGTTCGTTTCCTTAAACCCCTAGAACAAACCTTGCCTGGCACATAAGCCTTTTCGGTTATTTTGTTATTTTTACGTTGTTTAATTAAAGGGCTGGCGCACCTCATCCAGGCAGAGCTGAGCGGGGGTAGGGGTGGCGGGGACTCTGCTGGCATCAGTTGGCATTTTATGCTGGGACTTGCCCGTCTACTCTGTCCTGGGAGCAGATGGGACAGGAGGAGAGATGCGGGACAGGAGGTGGGGGTGGCACAGGCCTGGGGGCCTGGGAGGCCTGGATTCCACTGGAGCAGGAGAGGAAAGACAGGTCATTTGTAGGATTGGAGGGGGGGTGTGTGTGTGCAGAAGCTGACCGAGGGCTTCGCCACAGACCACAGAGGCCCTGGATCCTGGGGTTGGCTTGGGGGCGCCCCTGAGGGGCGCTGACGTCGCCTTCCTCCTCGGCCCATCGCCCACACAGCCGGCCCAGCGCTGCTCAGGAGCCGGCGGCTGCACTCGAGCGCGGTGCTGGCGCTGCTGGCGGACGACCGGCACATCATCTCGGGCAGCGAGGACCACACGCTCGTGGTGTTCGACCGCCGGGCCAACAGCGTCCTGCAGCGGCTCCAGGTGAGCCCTCCCCGGCGCCCCAGGGGAGCCGGGCCGCGGCACGGCACGGCCCGGCCTGAGCTGCTCCGCCCCGTGTCCCCCCCGCAGCTGGACTCCTACCTGCTCTGCATGTCCTACCAAGAGCCCCAGCTCTGGGCCGGCGACAACCACGGTCTGCTGCACGTCTTCGCCAACCGGGACGGCTGCTTCCAACTCGTCCGGGTCTGCCAGGGCCATTGCCCCTGTTCCCTCTTCCCCTTCCCGAGCCTCCCCCTACCCGACTGCCCGCCCCCCCTCCGCCCCCGTGACGATGGGCGGCTGGCCTGAGGAGAGCCTTGCCTGAGCGTCCCCTGTCCCTCCTCCCTGCAGTCCTTCGACGTGGGCCACAGGTCTCAGATCACGGGGATCAAACACTCGCTGGGGGCCTTGTACACCACGTCCACGGATAAGACCATCCGGGTGAGGCCCCGCGACAAGCCCCCTCCCCCGCCGCCCCCGCCGATGGGGGGCGCCCCTCCTGACTTTTGTCTGTTGCCCGTCGCCAGGTACATGTGCCCACAGACCCACCAAGGACCATCTGCACCCGCAGCCACGACAACGTGCTGAATGGGGTAAGGCCCTGTGCCACGTGCCCTGCCCCCCACGCCCTGCCGGCTGCCTAGAGCGCCCCTGAGTCTCCGTGTCCCTGCCCAGATCTGTGCTGAGGGCAACCTGGTTGTGGCCGCCTCCGGGGGCCTGTCGCTGGAAGTCTGGAGGCTCCAGGCCTGAGCAGGCAGACGTGGATGTGGATGTGGAATCTACTGGCTGGCAGGCCGGTTCAAGGCCTCTGTTCTCGGGGGCGGGGGGCCCTCCCCTTTTCTGGTGCTGCCCTGGGCTCGGGCCTGGGGCACAAGGACTCCAGGCCACTGTTGGACAGCGTCCCTGGTCTGTGCTCCACGTTCCAGCCCACCCTCGGGGCCTGTTTACAATTGGACGCCTGCCTTCCCTCAGGGGCGAAGGGGAAATAAACCTCATGTCCTGGTGCTGTGGCCTGGAGTGGTGCCTGCGTGGGGCTAGGATGCTGGGAGGCCCCCAAACTCAATCACCATCCATCCCGCCACCCTGGCCTCCGCTGTGTATATCTGGGCGCGCCTGTGTCCACCCAAGTGCATTCCTGGGTCCATGTGTGTCTGTGCATCCCCACGGAGCGAGTTAGCTGGCTGTGTGTGATGTCACTGTAACCGCATCTGTGACTGTCTGCATGGCCATGAGGATGCACGTGCGAGAGGAAGAGAGAGATTCTGGAGGACGTGGGCACCTGTCTGTATGATGACAGCTCTGTGTGTGTGTGTGTGTGTGTGTATTATGTGTATGTATCAGTGTGCAGTGGCGTGTAGACAGGAACTGCCCCTGCAGAGGGAGAGGGGATCTGCTAAGGCTAGCCCAGTGGTTGGCAAACTCATTAGTCAACAGAGCCAAATATCAACAATACAATGACTGAAATTTCTTTTGAGCCAAAATTTTTAAACTTAAACTATATAGATAGGCACATTGTTATTAATGTAATTAGGGTGCTCCTAAGCTGGCCTTTGCTAAAAACTCAACGGGCCAAAGAGCCGCGTGTGGCTCGCGAGCCACAGTTTGCCAACCACCAGGTTAGCCCATAGGTGTGGGCAGGAAGTGGTGAGAACGGTGTGTGCTCTTCCGTCCGGAGGCCAGGGGGCGTGCCCGTGGCAGCGATCCCAGAGAGGGCCAGAGCGGGGGCTGGGCCCCTGTAATCCCACTGCCCCCCACTGCCCCCCACTGCCCCCCACTGCAGCTCACCGAGCCCCGAGGAGCATTTACTTCTCGTTTATTGGGGGCCCTCGGAGCCGGTATCATAGGATGGCGCAGGGCTTCTTCTCCTTGAAGGGGTTGGTGGCCGCCGGGATGCCCACCAGGAACGGGTCGCTCTTGGCCTGCTCCGTGCAGAACTGCAGCAGGTCCGTGGCTGCCTTGGACACCTGCAGGCCAGCCCAGTCAGCCAGACCGTGGCTGTCCCTCCGTCCCCTCGCCCAGACGTGCCCACCTGGCCTCGGCCTCACCTTGATGCGATCGATGCCAGCCTCCATCCTCAGCTGCTCCACGGCCCGGCGGGCCTGCCCGATGTCGCAGCCAAAGGCCTCCCTGCTGGACATCTGGGGGAGGGGGAGAAGGGCCATAGGCAGCAGGCTGAACCCCAGACCTGGAGTCCTGGGGCCTCCCGAGGGTCCCCGCACCCCTTCTGGCTCCCCTGAGAACTGGGATAGGGGTGCACGCTCCCCACCCATCAGAACCACTTACCTCAGCTGAGGACTCTGGCCGACTCCTGGCTGCTCAGGTCTCCTGTGGCCCTGCTCTGCCTCTCTCCCGCCTCCCCACTCCCCACCTGACCCCTCCAGTCCCCTCCTCCCTGACCCCCGCAGAGACTTTGAAGCCAGGACACCCACGGAGTGAAATGTCACCAGTGACAGCAGCAGCAGCTGCCTCAGCCAGGGGGCTCCGTGCCTCAGGAGGCCTGGTGGGCACCCTGTGGTCATGTTACCTCGGTAGAGGGAGTGTGTGGCCCTGGTCTCTCACTGACCTGCTTAATTCCTGCTAACTGGCCCCAGCACCCCTCTTTTGCAGTCTCTGTACCCCAATGTACAGTGTCCCCAGGCTCGGATGCATCCCTGCCTCTCCTCTCCATCTGCACTCACTGTCCCGGGATCCACCACATGGATGGCTCATCCCACTGGCTTATGCTGAGGCTTCCTGTGCCCCAAACCAGCCCTTCCCTGACCTCGGTCCACCTGGGGACCCTCCAGCCTCCTTGGTCCCTCCCACCCATCTCTCTGGTGTCTCTCACTACCTAGGCCAGTGCTGGGTTCTGGCTTGCCTTCTCCCCAGACATTCTGCCCCCAGATTCACCACCATCCACCACACTGTCGTGGCCCAATCTCCAACTCCTTTATTCCTCTCTTTCCAGTATCCCCACTTCTAATCCTTTCTCAAGTGCCAGCCAGTGAACCTTCCAATTAGGTCCTGAACCCGGTCACTTCTCTCCACCGCCACACGGGTCCCACCTCCATCCTTGCTCACTTGGACCAGTGCATCCTGGTCCACCCCAACCCCTACCCTCACCCCTACCCCCACCACTGTTCTCAAGGCAGCCAGTGGGAAATGTTAAAAAAATAACTCAGAGTAACATGGATGAACCAATTTAAGGGCATTATGCTGAGTGAAACCAGCCAGTCACAAACGAACACACGATTCCATTCAGATGAGGTCCCTAGAGCTGTGGTCGGCAAACTGCAGCTCGCAAGCCACATGTGGCTCTTTGGCCCCTTGAGTGTGGCTCTTCCACAAAATGCCAAAGCCTGGTATTTTGAAGAAGTGGCGTTAGAAGTTTAAGTTTAAAAAATATGGCTCTCAAAAGAAATTTCAATTGTTGTACTGTTGATATTTGGCTCTGTTGACTAATGAGTTTGCCAACCACTGCCCTAGAAAAATCAATTTTATAGAGACAGAACGTAAAATGGTAGGTACTAGGGGCTGGGGTAAGGGAATGGTGTTTTATATGGACAGAGTTTGGGAAGATAAAGAAGTTCTAAAGATGGATAGTGCTTGCAACTGTTTGCATAACCATGTGATGTGCTTAATGCTGCTGACCTATACACTAAAAATGGTTAAGATGGTGAATCTTATTTTTAGTCTCTCACTTCCTTTTTTAAAAAAAAGATTTTAAATTGATTTTGGGAGAGAGAGGAAAGGAGAGAGGGAAACACTGATTTAAGAGTGAAACATCAATTGGCTGCCTCCTGCCTGCCCCGTACTGGGGATAGAGCCTGGAAACCTGGGCATGTGTTTTGACCAGGAATTGAACTGGCAACCAACCTTGTGGTGAATGGGATGACTCACAACCAACTACCACATTGGCCAGGGCCCTCACTTCCTTTTTAAAACTCTCCAGTGGTTTCTCAGCCTCTCAGAATAAAACCCACCCTTCTTACTACAGCCCATAGTGTCCTGCCTGGTCTGGCACCTCCTGCCCACTCTGAATTCATTTATCAACTTCTCCCTCCTTCATCCTTCATGGGTCACACTGATGCCCTTGTATTCATTCATTCATTCATTCATTCATTCAGTATCTTTGCTGAGATCCCTATATGAGTCCAGCACTGCTTAGGGAAAAGGGATCAGCAATGGAACCAGACAAGATCCTGCGTTCATGGAGCTGTCCTTCTGGTCAGACAAACACAATGTATTAAGTGCTATGAAAGTAAGGTAGGGGCAAGACTGGGTAATTGGGGCAGGCCTCCTGGAGGAAGTGATTTTTAAAAAAATATATATTTTATTGTTTTTTTACAGAGAGGAAGGGAGAGAGATAGAGAGCTAGAAACGTCGATGAGAGAGAAACATCGACCAGCTGCCTCCTGCACACCCCCTACTGGGGATGTGCCCGCAACCAATGTACATGCCCTTGACCGGAATCGAACCTGGGACCCTTCAGTCCACAGGCTGACGCTCTACCACTGAGCCAAACTGGCTTCGGCGAGGAAGTGATTTTTTAAAAAAAATATTTTTTTATTGATTGATTGATTTTAGAGAGAGAGGGAGGGAGAGAGAAACATTGATTTTTTTTTTTGTCCAGTATCCACTAATTGATGCATTCATTTGATTCTCATATGTGCTCTGACTGGGGATCAAACCCACAACCATGGTTCATAGGGACAACCTTCTAACCTAACCACCTGAGCTACCCAGCTAGGGCTGGAAGTGACATTTTCTTTTCTTTCTTTTTTGAGTGACAAGAATGTTTATTAACGGGGGTGGGGGTGGGGTGGGGAGTGAGGGTAAATGAAGGCATATGGGGGTTAGGGGTTGGGGAAGCTGGGGGGAGGGCAAGGGGGGAAAAGGAGACATATGTACTACTATTTATAATGCTTCAAACAATTAAAAAAACAAACAGCTGAAACCAGTTTGGCTCAGTGGATAGATGATGTTCTAAATATACAAATGGCCCTTGGCAGAAAAAAGGTTCCCCATCCCTGGTTTAAGGAACCAGATCCGAGCAGAGGAGTGATGGCAGGAGGCTGAGCTGTTCTTGTCCAGCCCTGGGGCAGCCCAAAACCCTCTCTAGTCATCACTGAGCCAATCTCGTTCAAGGGCAGCTGTGATCCTTGTCCTTGAACGGGAAAGATCCAGAACAGGCCACGCCCAATTCTGTCCCCACAGATGCATTTCTCACTGGGGCAGTGGCAGAGCTGAGGTCAGTTCCTTTTTTTAAAAAAATATATTTTATTAATTTTTTACAGAGAGGAAGAGAGAGGGATAGAGAGTTAGAAACATTGATGAGAGAGAATCATCAATCAGCTGCCTCCTGCACACCCCCTACTGGGGATGTGCCCGCAACCAAGATATATGCCCTTGACCGGAATCGAACCCGGGACCCTTCAGTCCGCAGGCTGGCGCTCTATCCACTGAGCCACACCGGTCCCGGCTGAGGTCAGTTCCTTACCAGTCTCCATTCAAAGGGAGACGTCGCCCGCCTTTGCGTTTTGGCGCCTTTTTCGACTCAAGAAGCTGTCGAGCTTCTTGCTGCGTTTCAGCTCCTCGAACTTCTCAGCTAGGACCCACTGCGCTGTTCAGATTCCTTCAGGAAGTACGGACGACGGCCCTGCTGGGCCTGAGCCCACCGCTCCTGCGTCAGAGCCAGGCGCGGCCCTGCTGCCGCCTGCGTTCCTGCTGGGCCATCTCTTGCTGCTCCACTCGCTGGAGCAGCTGCTGCAGCTCCTCATGCTTCTCCCCTGAACAGCGCTTCTTCAACTGCCTTTTCACAAGCTCCGCCGGGGGAAATGGATGCGGTGGTTAGCATGCTGTAAACGGCAGCTGAAATTCTGTGCCAGGCATTACTCTCAGAGGTTCGCATATGTTAACTCAGTAACACTGTGAGATAGGAGTTATTATTTCTTTTTATGATTAGAAAACTGAAGCAAAGCCAAATTGAGTAGCTTGCCAATGGTAAGCTAGTAAACGGATGAGCCAGGATTTGAACGTAAGCACCACATTAGGGAGAATTAAATCTGCTCACCACTACGCTCCCAGTTCCCTCTGCCCGACTCTAACCTGTGTCCTAGTTTCCCAACCCTGGAAACCTGTGGTCCAGCCTCATGCGGCACACCTCTTTCTCTTTGGCTCGGATGTCATTCAGGCTTGGATGTCATTCAGGAATAGATACGTTTTGTCAAACACTTCAGGCTTATATTCCCCTGACAAATTGTCAAAGTGGGTGTCCCGGGCCACCTTCTGACTGATGGGGACAATGTGACCCAAAAATGGCACCTGGACCTTGGCTGGCATTCCCAGAGGCCTGTGCATCTCTGCAGCACGTGCACTTTGGACAGGTGGTCTGGAGCCTTGCTGTTGCTGCTGCTGCTGCTTCTTCTTCTTTTAAATATATTTTATTGAATTTTTACAGAGAGGAAAGGAGAGGGATAGAGAGACAGAAACATCAATGAGAAACATTGACCAGCTGTCTCTTGCACACCCCCTCCTGGGGATGTGCCCGCAACCACTGTACATGCCCTTGACTGGAACTGAACCTGGGAACTTTCGGTCCACAGGCCACCGCTCTATCCACTGAGCCAAACCGGTTTTGGCAGGAAGCGACATTTTCAAAAATATTTTATTTTAAAAAGAGGGAGGGAGGGATGGAGGCAGAGAGAGAGAGAGAGAGAGAGAGAGAGAGAGAGAGAGACTGTTGTTCCACTTATTTATGCATTTATTGATTCTTCTATGTGCCCTGACTTGGGATCAAACCCACAACCTTGTGTATTGGGAATATGTTCTAATCAACTGAGCCACCTGGCCAGGATGGAAGAGTTTGAACCGAGGCCCAGAAGAAAAGGAGCTGGGGAAGGCATGTTCCAGGCAGAGAGCAGCAGGTGCCTTGTCCCTTGGCCAGGAAAGAGCTTGTTGGGTTCTAGAACAGTGAGGGGCTCAGTGTAGCTGAAGAGGAGTGAGTGAGGGCAGGTGGTGGGAGATGCGGGAGGGAGTCAGCAGGTGCCCCTGTAGGCCATGGTGAAAGCCCAGATTCTACTCCCAGGGGGAAGCCACTGTCACTAGAAAGAATGATGCACCTGATTTCTGTTTTAGGCGCTCTCTGGCCTCAGCTTGGAGATGGGCTGGAGGAGAGCGAGTGCAGTGTGGAGGCCGGGGAGGCTTTGGGGATGATGATAAGCACCTGGATACAAATTCCGACTCACGTTGTAACCTGAAACCAATGTAAATGCTACATAGCAATTAGACCTCAATTCTAAAAAAAAAAAAAAAAAAAAAAAAAGCCACAAGGAAGCTCTTGGATTTGGGACCTATTTTATAGGTAGGATTTGGTGGATGTGCTGGGGGATAGGTGGGGTTGTGAGACAAGGGGAGCCATCAATCTCAGCTCCCCAGTTTTTAGCCTGCTAGGTGGGGGTCGTTCGCTGAGAGGTGGAAGACTGCAGCACGGTCAGGGTCAGGTGGAGAAAAAGCTGAGGTGGTGAATGAGATCCAAGCAGGGAATTTCAAGAAGGAGGATGTTGTTATTCCAATTGAAGAGGCTCATTTCCAGCCCCAGGGCCTTTACGCTGGCTGTTCTCTCCCAATGCGGGGCAGTGGGGAAGCTCACAATGGGGTCTTTTGTGGCCTTTTGCCTTCGGCTCAAATGTTATCTCCTGCCTAACCAATTTGGATCCATGGATAGAGTGTTGGCCTGTAGACTGAGGGTCCCAGGTTCGATTCCAGTCAAGGGCACATGCCCTGGTTGTGGGCACAATACCCTGTAGGGGACGTGCAGGAGGCAGCCGAGCAATGATTCTCTCTCACCACTGATTTTTAAAAAAAAAAGTATTTTATTGATTTTTTACAGAGAGGAAGGGAGGAATAGAGAGAAACATCAATGAGACAGAAATAGCCATCAGCTGCCTCCTGCAAACCCCCTGCTGGGGATGTGCCTGCAAACAAGGTACATCCATTGACCGGAATCAAACCTGAGACCCTTCAGTCCGCAGGCTGACGCTCTAGCCACTGAGTCAAACCGGTTAGGGCTCTCATCATTGATGTTTCTCTCTCTCCCTTCCTCTCTGAAACCAGTTTTTAAAAAGTGACCTCCTTGGTGTCCTTCCTCAACCACCTGTCCCTCCAAGGCCACCAAACCCTTCTACCCCCATGCTAAAGGCATTATCCTGTTGAAATCCTGAATAGCACTTAGCACTATTGTTAACTTTCTATCTCACCAAACAAACTGTGGGCTCTAGAAGGGCAGGGTCTGCACCATATTCACTGCTTAATCTGACCCAACACAGATGCCATAAAGGACCAGACCCTGTGCACAGTTAGAAGGTCCCACGATATACAGTCCCCACCCTGGAGGGTCTCAGTCTTGCTGGAGGGAAAGAGATGTCAGCCCAGAATCCCAGGGGAAGGTCAGGGCAGGCTTCCCAGAAGAGATGACGATGACAGAGAGGGCTGCCTGGGGAAGTCTAGAGGGTTATGCAGCATGTGGAGGCTCCGGAGAATTGCGAGGTACGGACAAGAATCAATATCCTGTTTGATAAGAAATGCTCAGTGTCTGACAGTTCCCGATGACTTGAATTTTGTCCAGGGGTACATTTAAGAAGCCATTCTCTCACTCCAGGGGCCAGCAACGAAAGGACAAGCGCCGCGCAATGCCGTGGGTCTCCAGCAGGCGGCGGTGAAAGCAGAGTCCTCCTTCCTGTGAGGCGCGTTGCGGAAAAGGAATAACGGCTCTAAGCGGCTTCCGTATTTCACAACAGGCCGCGCCCGGGACCACAGGCCTCGAAGAAGGTCATGTGACTAAGCCTCTTCCGGTCTGTCCTTCCAGTTCTTTCCGCGCCCGTTTCCTGTGCTCTCGCGGAGAGGCGTGCGCCGGGCACCGCGTTGGCGGCCGCCGGAGGCCTGGCGAGGGCCTGCGCTGGTGTGAGCGCGGCGGCGGGAGCATGGAGGGCGCCCCGGAAGGGGAGGCGCCGGCGGCGGCGCTGGCCGCGGTGCTGAAGCACAGCTCGGCGCTGCCGCCCGACAGCGCCCAGGTCCGCGGCTACGACTTCAACCGCGGCGTGGACTACCGCGCGGTGCTGGAGGCCTTCGGCACCACCGGCTTCCAGGCTACCAACTTCGGCCGCGCGGTGCATCAGATCAACGCCATGGTGAGGCGGGGCGGGGCTTCCAGAGCTCCGGGGGCGTGGCCTCTGGTAGCCCCAACGCAGTGCACTTCCTGGAGAGGGCGGGGCTTACCCGAGAGGGGCGTGTCCTTAGCGGGGGCTGCCCAATGGTTGGAGAGAGGTGGGCCTTACTGGGGTCTGGAGTTTGTGGGTTAAGGAGGGGAAGTTGCCCCCCAGCAGCGACATCCTACCGTCAGTAAGGGGGCGGGACTGATTCTAGGTAGAGGGCGGTTTATAGTCTTTGTGTTCGGAAATGGAAGGAGCCCAGGGCTAGACCATGCCCTGGAAGGAGGGATTGGAACAGCCTAAGTCTGGGCAGGGCCTTGGATTTGCTCCTCCCAGGGGAAAGGCGGCTGAATCCTGCAAAGATGCCGATTCCCGAGTGAGGCAGAGCGTGAGGGTGTGTGTGCCCCAGAGCCAACCTGTGAAAGGGGCGGAGTGCGCTCCCTCCCCCCCCCCCCTTCTGGTGTAAGCGGTCCTTTCTCCGGGTGGGCAGGGCTTGGGAGCGGAGTGTAATTCTGAAAGCCATTGGGGTGCTTGGGCTGGAGTTCCGGTTCAGAGGTTAATTTGACCCCTCTGTTACACACAGATAGAGAAGAAGCTGGAGCCTCTGCCGCAGGATGAAGACCAGCACGAAGACCTGACCCAGAGCCGCCGCCCACTCACTGGCTGCACCATTTTCCTGGGCTACACGTCCAACCTCATCAGTTCAGGCATCCGTGAGACCATCCGTTATCTGGTACAGCACAACATGGTGAGGAGCTGATGGGCTGGGCTGAGGCCTTGACCTCTCTGGGTCTCAGTGGGCAATAAGATTACTGGTTATTTTAGTAAGAGGGAGGTATGGGTCAGTTTTAAGCAGAGGGACGGGCTTGAGTTTTGTTTTGCAGCAGACATTCCTGTGAAGTTACTAGACGAGGGTTGGGAGTTTGGAGCCCTGCCCAGAATGTGGGCAGAGTCCTCCTATCTGGGCCAACCTCGTTGCATGTGGCTGCAGGTGGATGTCTTGGTTACCACTGCTGGGGGCGTGGAGGAGGATCTCATCAAGTGCCTGGCACCCACATACCTGGGCGAGTTCAGCCTCAGGGGGAAGGAGCTACGCGAGAACGGGATTAACAGGTGGGGGGCCTAAGTGGTGTTGGGCAGGGAAGCTGGACCGAGGGTCCTGGGGCCTGATGTCTTTCTGCCTCCTGTCTCCAGGATTGGGAACCTGCTGGTGCCCAATGACAATTACTGCAAGTTTGAGGACTGGCTGATGCCCATTCTGGACCAGATGGTGCTGGAGCAGAACACAGAGGTGGGGCTGGAACAGCCTGGGGGCTGGCGTGGTGGCAGAAGGGAAGGTACCGTTGGCTGGAGCTGATATCCCCTCCCAGGGTGTGAAGTGGACGCCTTCCAAGATGATTGCCCGCCTCGGCAAGGAGATCAACAACCCGGAATCAGTGTATTACTGGGCCCAGAAGGTGAGGAGCTGGACCAGTTTCACCTTCAGTCACCTAGGGAGTCAGTGCTGTTCTCATCACCTGCACTCTTAGGTGAGGGATTTCAGACACAGGCTAAGCAGCTTTTCTGAGGTCACACAGCTACTGAGTGTGGTCCTCCTATCCTGGCTTACTCCTGCACCACCTGGGAGCAGTTGGGGCAGTGCTTAGCAACGCCCCCGGGGCCTGTCGTGGGGCCCACTGCCCCTCAGAGGCTATCAAATTCAGCAATGGGAAAAATAACACAACCTACTATTTCTTATGTCCTGGGCATGTTCCGCAGTGTTTTAGGTGGGTTTCCTTATAAATGCTTCCTCATCTGTGAGGGAGGTACTGTTGTTACTGTCATTTTACAGTCAAGGAAACTGACGCCAGAAAAGTTAAGCACCATGCCCAGAATCAGGCAGAGAGGTAATGCTGCCAGAATGGGGACCCACCTGTCCCCACCAGGATCTGACTCCTGCTGCTGTCCTGTCCTGCACTCCCTCAGAACCACATCCCCGTATTGAGCCCGGCCCTCACAGACGGCTCGCTGGGCGACATGATCTTTTTCCATTCCTACAAGAACCCGGGCCTGGTCTTGGACATCGTGGAGGGTGAGGTGCTGGGGCCAGAGGAGTGGGGGAGGAGGCTGGCTGGGCCCGGGGCCTGATCACAGTGCTCTCCCCCAGATCTGAGGCTCATCAACGCACAGGCCATCTTTGCCAAGCACTCTGGCATGATCATCCTGGGCGGGGGTGTGGTCAAGCACCACATCGCCAATGCCAACCTCATGGTGAGTGGGGATGGAACACCTGGTCCCTGGTGTGGGGGTGGCACTTGGGTCTGCCATGTAGATATATGTGTGCTAGGCTAGGGCCCGTGCTGGAGACCACATGCCAGGATCCCTGCCTTCCTGGGACAGATGTTTCAGTGGGAGACACAGACAGTAAGTTAGATGGCAGTCATTGCCATGGAGAAAAACAAGGGGTGACAAGGTGGTAATACAAAGGAATACTGTTCCAAAAAGGGAGGCCTTTCTGGGAAATGTGACATTAGTAGAGCAAATTTAGTAGATGTCTCCCTTGAGCCATGTGGTTGCTTTGAAGAGGTCCCAGCAGAGGGAACAGCCAGTGTAAAGGCTCTGAGGTGGCTGAATGAATTAAGAAACAACTAGGAGGCTTGTGAAGGGGAGAGTGGCAGGTGAGAGCCAAGACTTGCAGGGCCTTGAGGGCTGTGACTCAGGTGCTCACAGGTGCCCTCTGGTGGCTACAGGGGGAACAAGTAGGGCCAGGACTGGCCAGGATAGGAACCAAGGCGGGAAAGAAGTGGTTGGGTTCAGAGGTCTTCTGAAGATAGAGTTGGTGGCAGATGTGAGAGGGTTATTGCGATCTAGGAGGTTGGTCTGGGGTAACACTACCTATCATTCTCCCAGTAACTCTCCAACCCCTAACTGCCCAGCATTGATGTAGGACCCTCCCTTGCAGAGAGGGGCCACCAAGAGGCCCTCCTTTAACTACCGTGTTTCCCCGAAAATAAGACATCCTCCGAAAATAAGACCTAGCGCAACTTTGGGAGAAAAAATTAATATAAGACACTGTCTTATTTTCGGGGAAACAGGGTAGGACACATGGCTCAGCCTCTCTAGCTGCAATGCCCTGTGTGTCTGACTTCTGTGACTGGCTAACTCTGTCCCGTCTCCCCTCCCAGCGGAATGGGGCTGACTATGCCGTCTACATCAACACGGCCCAGGAGTTTGATGGCTCTGACTCTGGAGCTCGGCCGGACGAAGCCGTCTCTTGGGGCAAGATCAAGGTGGATGCAGAGCCTGTCAAGGTGAGGGCCGGCCGGCCAGCCTGCTGGGATGTAGGGTCTCCCAAGCTGTAGCTGTGGGCCCCATGCTCACAATGCTCTTCCCCGAATCTGACGCCCAGAAAAGTTACACACCATGGGTCCCGTCCACAGGTCTATGCTGATGCCTCCCTCGTCTTCCCCTTGCTTGTGGCTGAAACGTTTGCCCAGAAGGTAGATGCCTTCACGCCTGAGAAGAACAAAGACTGACAGCTGTGGCCCTCCCCCTATTTATTTGTTTTCAGACTTGCCCCCTCCCCCACTCCTCGGTCAGTAGCACACCAGGAATACATGGTCTCAGTGGTCCAGAGTCTGTATCTGTGTCCTTAGTGTGGTGGGTCCCCTGGCCTCAACCTGTGCCACCCTCGGTCTCGTAGGCCTCTTCCCGCCAGCAATGGATGCTGCCCCCCATGGCCGTCAGCAGGCAGGGCTCTGTCGGGTGGTAGGCCAGTGACTGCACCACACCAGGGCCCACTTGCAGGGCCAGGGCCAGGACACCCTGTGGAACAAGGGGGAGGGGAGAGTTATCAGTGAGCCTCCCATCCTCTGACCTTCAGCCATCTGCTTCTAATGGCTTTCCGGTCACTGCAAAACTAATCTGCCCCAAAATGAGCCCCTCAGTGGCTGTCCTCCCAGCTGTTCAAGCCCAAACCTTGGGAGTCTTTTTCACGCCTCTCATCCCTTTATCTGTAAATCCTCTTGGTTCTGCCTTTAGACCAGTGGCTGCCATCTGGTGGTCCGTAAGGTCCAAAAGGTTGGCAACTGCTGCTTCAGACTATCTTCAGAGGCCACACCCCACTCTGAGCCGGTGGAGTCCGGCTCTAAGCTGCTTTGCCAGGGGGGCTCTACACGTCTACTTGGCAGCGTCAGTGCTTGCATTTTGTCAACCCAGACACAGCAGCAACACGTACAGTTTCTCAAGTAGGCCACGGTTCCTCTGTCCCTTGAAATGGCCCCTTCTTTCTTTCTTTTTTTTCTTTCTTTAATTATTGATTTTTACAGAGAGGAAGGGAGAGAGATAGAGAACTAGAAATGTCGATGAGAGAGAAACATCAACAAGCTGCCTCTTGCACACCCCCTACTGGGGATGTGCCCACAACCAACGTACATGCCCCTGACCAGAATCGAACCCGGGACCTTTCAGTCCGCAGACCGACGTTCTACCACTGAGCCAAACTGTTTTTGGCTGTCCCCTTCTTTCAGTGTGACCTCCGTTCTATCAGATCCTCAAGTAGGCAGAATATTGGCTTTTAGTCCCCTGAGTGAGAGCTGGCACCTCAAGTTCCAAAGGTTCCCCCAGTTCCCTCCATCCTCTTAGGGGACTTACTTCCCCTGGCCACGCCCCAGCACCCACATCTTCTTCCATGAGATGCTCACCCTGGAACCCCTCAGCCCAGCCTGCCTGTCCTCAGCCTGATGCCACCAGGCTGGGACACATCAGAACAGGGCTCACAGGGCTGTAGCTAGAAACCACAGGGATGCTCAGGAGTAGCTCAGGTTTCCTGAGCAGCTACAGCTCATCTCCTCCAGGGTTAGATGTCGCCACTGGTTCCCCCACCCTCGGGGTCAGCCTCAGTGGCTCAGCCTGGCATTGGTGGCCCTGGCTAAGGTGCTCCTGCTGCTGCCACTGCCATCCTGAAGTGCTGCTATTTCCTGACTAATGCGTGCCACACTTTCCAGCCTTCGCACATACGGTTCCCTTTGCTGGAATGCCTTTCCTGCTCTCTCACTCCTAGCTACTATTTTGATAGCGCTCCCTTTTCCAGGTCTGGGGATGACTGAGTAAAGACAAAATGGGGACAGAGTGCAGTGTTGGGGTGGAGAGGCTCACCTCCACAAGGTCCCAAAAGAACACCTTCCCGTCCTCGGAGCAGCTGACGACATGCGTGTCACGCTCACTCAGGCAGCAGTCCAGCTTGTACTCTTGGTTCTTATGGCCTGTGTACCTGGGGGTGGATGGGATCAGTGGGGCTTGGGCCTTACCGGGGGCAGAGGTGGGGGGAGGGGCCCCACAACCCCAAGAACTCACTCCCCTAGCAGCTCCCCCGTGTCCTTGTCTAGAAGCCTCAACGTGGAATCCAGGCTGGACACCAGGGTGCACTGGCCATCCCGGCTGAAGCAGGTGCAAGTGATGGGGCCTGGGGGGAGGGGAGACGTGGATAGGCAGGTGGGCTGGGGCCCCTTTGGCCGCCTCTGCCTCCGCCTCCCCTGCCTGGCCCACAGCCCGGCCACACTCACTGCCCACGTAGTCGGAGAAGAGCTGTCCCATCCTCAGGTCGTAGCGCCTGACCCGGCCATCCACGGAGCTACAAGAGTTAAAGTTCCAGCTGGGGCCAGTGGCGCCATGGCTCCAAGTAACCTCTACACTTCCAGGGCCCTAAGGACAAGGCTCAGCCTGTCCTTTCTATGCGCCCCTCCCTGTCACACTCCCTTCTCAGGGCTAGCCAATTTTCTCAGTGGTTAAAGTGCTGATCTTTGAACTAAAGGATTGAGGGTTCCATTCCGAATCAAGGGCTCATTCCTCAGTTGTAGTTCCCAGCCCTGGTAGGGATGAGTTCAGGGGGTAACCAGTAGATGTCTCTCTCACATCGATGTTTTTATCTGTTTTTCTTCCCTTCCACCCTCTCTAAAAATTAACGAAAAAATGTCCTTGGGTGAGGATTAACAGAAAAAGAAAACATGCACTGAAGTGAATTCATGAATGGGATTCTGAGGCACTGGCTTTAAGATCCAGACCCAGGGACCAATCAGGACTACTCAATTAGTTTCTGATAGGCACCGAGCGTCCTCTCTGGGCCAGATTCTATAGCAGGAAGGGATGGCTTGGGACACAGCTGACCAAGCCAGGAGAAATTCCTGGAGCCTCGCTGGCTGAGAGTCATAGAGGAAGTCCTTCCCAAGGTGCCATCTGAACTGGGACTTGAAGGACGAGAAGGAGCCATCCTTGTGGGAAGATGTGTGGGAACTGCCAGTCAACAGGCTGGACAGTCCAAACCCCCCCACTATGGTGGGAATGGCGCTCTTGGGCTGTAGCAACACTTGAGCAGCTCTGCATGGGAATTTTTTCTTTTTACAATAACTCTGTAGGCAGAATTTTTTTCCTTATTTCCCTGTCTTATTCACAGCTACATGCTCATTGCCTAAAAAAAGGGCCTGTGTGAGGTGCTCAAAAACACTTGCAATAAGTAGGCAGAGGAAGAGCAGTTGCAAAGCATGCTTGGCATGTTTACTGAAAGGAGGCTGGGAATGCATAGAAGCTGAGAGGTCAGGGTCTTGGGAGGCTTGGTGAGGAGAGCGGATTTTAAGCACAGGGACGGCTATGACAGGCAGGGGGAGGGGCAATGACCTAGCTCCACTCACCCTGCTAGGACCTCATGGTCCGACACCTTCACACTGGATACACCATCCTTGGCTTCATCCAGCTTCTGCACGGGGTCCGGCCTCCGAGAACGGCAGTCCCAGCAGCGGATAGTGGAATCAATAGAGCCTGTGAGGCCGGCATGAAGGTGAGGTCAGGTTTGGGGGGCAGGGACTCCCCTGCCTAGGCCACATACTCACCTGACAGGATGACTGTGGCCTCTTCATTAAACTGCACCGTGTTCACCTTCTGAGAAACAGGAAGTACCTCTCAGAGGAGGCTGGTCTTTGAAGGACTGGGATAAAGACAGGGTTCCCAGCGCGGGTTAAAGTGAGGACAAAAGCTAGGGGTAAGGGAGGTGAAACGTTTTAAGGATACTGCACGGAAGGGGCGCTGTCGTGTGTGTGTGTGTGTGTGTGTGTGTGTGTGTGTGTGTGTGGTTAGGGGAACTGTCACCCCTGCACACTAATGCGGGTCCCCTCCGCGATCCACGCTCTAATGAGGTTTTTTCTGCTCGTACTCACCCCTGCGTGACCCCGGAATTTCCGCACGACCTGCCCAGATGCCACATCCCACAGCACCACCGCCTTGTCCCCGCCGCCGGAGCAGAGGTTGCTGTTGTCAAAGGACCTAGAGGGCGGGGGAGGGAAAGTCAGCATCGACCTGGGACCCCCGCCTCCATGCCCCTTTCCCGGCCCGGCCCCGGCTCACCCGGCCGCGTCCAGCACCTCGTAGCCGTGGCCGCTGTAGGTCCGCAGCAGCGTCCCCCGCAGCGGGTTCCACAGCTTCAGGGTCTTGTCGCTGCCGCACGTCAGGCAGTAGTTGCCATCCACTTGGGGAGACCAGGCGGGGGTTACCGGGCTGCTGACCTCCAGGGGCCAGGGGCCGGCTCGGAACGAAGAGGAGGGCGCTCACCATTAAATCGCACGGCTCGCACCGCTCCCTGCCCGCAGTCCAGCGTCTTCAGCCGTTTCTGCGGCAGCACCGGGCCGCGCGGCTTCGGCTCCGGGAAAGACATGGCTCCGGGACGCCTTCCTCGACGCCCCACGTCGGTCGGAACACAAGTTTCCGCGCTTCTCTCGCTCGGTGCAACCTTACTATGGTCCCGACGGCCTACTTCCGGTTCACCACTTCCGGCTCACCACTTCCGTCCCCAAAGTTTCGGCTTTTTGGAGGTGATGTTGGAAAATACCATCACTGCAGGCTGCCTCTAGGTTCCAGGTTTCTCCCGCCATTCCCTGCTCCCTTCTCTCCGTCCCCCCGCTAGGTACGGGAGCGTGAGGGCTGCGGGTGCGACCGTAAAAAGCGCCCCCGGTTCCCACGCCGGAAGAGGCAACTCCGGCCCCGGAAGAGGGGCGTCCTCCGACTCGCTATGTCCACGAACAACATGTCGGACCCACGGAGGCCGAACAAAGTGCTGAGGTAAGGACCCCAGCGTCCTGGGAACGAGGCCCGGACTGTGGGTCGGGGCGCAGGGAAGCACTTGTCCATTCGAGGGCGGGACGTGAGTGCCCCTGACCCTCCGTCCCGCCGCAGGTACAAGCCTCCGCCGAGCGAGTGTAACCCGGCCTTGGACGACCCGACGCCGGACTACATGAACCTGCTCGGCATGATCTTCAGCATGTGCGGCCTCATGCTCAAGGTGGGCAGGGCTGCCTGTCCCAGCCGGACTACGAGGCCAGGGGCGGATTCGCAATGAAGAGGGGGCGGGGCTGGAGTGACAGTCGGACGGAGGAAGCCAAAGCCTTGCGGAAAGTCAGGAATCCGGGTCAGGGTGGGGATGTGGGAGGTTGGCGTGAGGGTGGGGCCGGATTGTAAAGCAGCTTGGAGGAGATGGTGGAGAAAGGGAGGGGTCATTAGCATGATGGGCAGTGTCGAAGTCTAGTCTTTTTAGGTCTGAGGGTGGGGTCAGAGGCACTGGGGTGGACAGGGAGTAGGGCCCGAAACTCTGTACCCGGAGTAGGCTATGGGTGGATGGGACTGAGAGACTCCTGAGGGTTAGGGGGCAAGGTTTAACCTGCTCCAGTTGAAACCAGTAGGTTGGAACCAGTGCCTGCGAATGCCCCTGGTCTTCCACCGACCTAACCCACCCATCTACCTACCTTTCCCCAGCTGAAGTGGTGCGCTTGGGTCGCTGTCTACTGCTCCTTCATCAGCTTCGCCAACTCCCGGAGCTCTGAGGACACTAAGCAGATGATGAGTAGCTTCATGTGAGGCTGGGCCTAAGAACGGGGAGGGAGGACCCAAGCCTTCCCATCTTGATTGACACCTTTCTCCCGTCTCAGGCTGTCCATCTCTGCCGTGGTGATGTCATATCTTCAGAACCCTCAGCCCATGACACCCCCTTGGTGACTGATGTCAGCCTAGAGGGGTCACATCCTGGACCTCTCTATTCACCTCCCGCCAGGGCTGGTCCCTAGCTGCTCAGCCTCCTGCCCTGGGTGAGGTGGTCGCAGGGCCTCCAGCTGGATGGAAGGAAATTGGACCTTTCCCTGGGGTCCCACTGCTACTGGGGCAGGGAGGGGAGAGCCCTCGATGTACTCCTGCCTGCCTTCCCCACCCTGGGTGCTGCTGGGGGAGAGCTGTGCATGTTTCTAGGGATAAACACTCATTTTCTTGTTGGAACCAGTTTGTAATAAAGATTTGCATTCTGGCTGTTCTCCGAGACCTCTCCTTCTGTGCATTGTGGATGGTCTCCTAGAAGGGCTCCAGTTCCTCCACTAACTCAGGCCTGGGGTGAGGCCCCTCTGGATCTTTCTGCTTCACTTGCTCATTCACAACCTTCATGCCTTAAGTCAGCTGCCGGAGATGGGCCAGTGACCCTTACCTCTGGCAACTCAGCAGGTGGCCCTGCTGACCTGAGGAATCCTGGGCTTTGATTTTATTTTTGTTCTTATTAATCCTCGCCCCAGGATATTTTTCCATGGATCTTTTGAGAGAGTAGAAGGGAAAAGGAGAGACACAGAGAGAGAGAGAGAAACATCAGTGTGAGATGGGGGGGGGGGCGGGACAAGCCTGCAATCAAGGTACATGCCCTTGACTGGAATCGAAACTGGGCCCCCTCAGTCCACAGGCCAATGCTCCATCCACTGAGCCAAACCAGTTAGGGCAGGACTTTGATTTTCTTATCAAAGGAGTGAGAGAATGTCATTGAGCTAGATGGACCGATAGGGAATCAGAAAGGCATGAAAAACTATCTTCTCCCAGAGGGGAAGAGACTCTCCCATGACTTTATTGCTCTAGGACCTGAGAGCTGACCTGGACTAGAACGGGGAGATTGCTTATTAAACCTCCTCCACCCCCAAAAACCTTTCTGATTGTACTTGATGTGCATTCTGACACAAATCACCCCTTTTGCCTCTTGCTTTGTGCCAGTTCCTGGAACAGATTGTCCTGACATGTTCAAACATGTGAAGTAATTTCCCATACTTAATAGCATTCACATATCCTATATAATAAAAGCCTAATATGCAAAGTGTCTGCTTGTCCAGCCAGCCTTTCAACCAATTGAAGCATAATACACTAATGATATGCTAATGATGCTCAACGGCTCACTATGATAAGTGCACTGACCATCGGGGCAAATGCTCCAACGGGTAAGTGAGCTTGCTGATAGGGTCTGGTCAATCAGGACTGAGCAAGATGGGCCGAACATGCCCTTCCCTGTTGGCCAACCTTCCGCTGGTGGGGTCCCTTGGCTTGGCCTGTGCCCTCACAATCTGGGACCCCTTGGGGGATGTCAGCTGATTTTGGCCTGATCCTGCAGGCCAGGCCTCTAGTTAGTATATATGACTATTACTCCCTTTACCCTGTACAATTCTTGGCACCTGCCAAGCAACATGGGGATCAATTTTTTAATTTTTTTTAATTTTTATATTTTATTGATTTTTCACAGAGAGGAAGAGTGAGGGATAGTTAGAAACACCAATGAGAGAGAATCATCAATCAGCTGCCTCTTGCACACCCCCCATGGGGGATGTACCCGAAACCAAGATACATGCCCCTGACCGGAATCGAACCCGGGACCTTTCAGTCCACAGGCCGATGCTCTGTTCACTGAGCCAAACCGGTCTCGGCAGCATGGGGATCAATTTCAACTGGCAGCCACTCAAGACACACCTCTATGTCAGTTTCCCTTTAAAATCTATTATTAGGAGTGGCAGCTTTCTTTGGTCTTTCCCTACCCTCTGCTTATGGAGGTAGGTTTTCAGTCTTGGGGCTTTTCCCTGGGTGTGTGTGTACTAACAATTGCAAGCCAGCCAGAAGACCAAAGAAGTGGGCTTTGGTAAAGGGGTCCACCTGGCCATTGACCTCTTTGTGGGGAGAGGTGAGCTGTATGTTAGGCACAGGGACTGCACATGAGTACAGGAACACTGAACATTCTGGCTGGTCTCGTACTTGTGTAAAGAACTGCACTGTGGCAAGGCAGGACATTTATGGCTGGTCACAGTTGCCCGCCTAGAGGCAAAAGACAGGGTTAGAAGAATTGAAACTGGAAAAAGATGTAGAATGTCTACACCTCTGTTAGCATAGGGACTGGCAGGTAAGGCGGGTGGGCGGGCAGGAAGCTCCTTTAAAAAAAAAATATTTTACTGATTTAGCAGAGAAGAAGGTAGAGGGATAAAGAGCTAGAAACATCCATGAGAGAGAAACATCGACCAGCTGCCTCCTGCACACCCCTTTCTGGGGATGTGCCCACAACCAATGTACATGCCCCTGACCGTAATCGAACCTGGGACCCCTCAGTCTGCAGACCGGACACTCTATCCACTGAGCCAAACCGGTTTCGGCAGGAAGCTCCTTTGAACAGATTCCACCTCTTTTATTTTTATACATTTTATTGATTTTTTACAGAGAGGAAGGAAGAGAGAGAGTTCCATCGATCAGCTGCCTCCTGCACATCCCCTCCTGGGGATGTGCCCGCAACCAAGGTACATGCCCTTGACCGGAATCAGATCTGGGACCTTTCAGTCCGCAGGCCGACGCTCTATCCTCTGAGCCAAACTGGCTAGGGCAGAAAACACAGATATTTACCTTACAACTCATAACAGTAACAAGATTACAGTTATGAAGTAGCAACAAAAATAATTTTATGGTTGGGGGTCACCCCAACATGAGGAACTGTATTAAAGGATTGCAGTATTAGAAAGGTTGAGAACCGCTAATCTCTTAAGTGGCCTCAGGGCAAGGTGTTTTCCAATAGGGTGTGTCCACTGTCTTCCTCCCAGGCCAGGCAGATGTCTATGTGGGAAAGTTGCCCACTGCTGTGTGAGGGAATGACTCAGCCCAGGAAACGGGCTGTCTGCCTTCTCAGCTCTATCGCCTGCACCCTCAGTCCTGGGTTCTGCTCTCACAGCTCCAGTGCCCTTCACTCTCTCCCTGCTGGAGCACAATGCGGGTGGCTTCACAGGGAATTTTGTGCATTGGCCCTTTAAGAGGGTGCCTAACTTTCAGCTGTTACTCCCTGGCAGACAGCACCCTGCTGCTTTCCACCGCTGGATGTTTTGTGGGTATCCTCCTCAGTGTGGTGCTCTCTACTAGGGGACCCAGCCTGTTAGACCCCAGAGTTCTCAGTGACAACCCCCCACAGCTGAGATGTCTCTCTGGAACTTCAGTTGCTGTCTGTGGGTGCTGCCCTTTCCTGCCTCCGCCCCGCCTCCTAGTCTCTATGTGGTCTTCACGTTCGGTCCTTGGGTATCAGGGTTCTCTCCTGCAAGTTTTCCATTGATTATTCGGGAAGTTTTTCTATATTTTAGTTGTAATTTCTATAATTTAGTTTGTTCCTGGGAGCATGCCCACGCAGCATCCACTTACTCTGCTGCCATTTTTAATCTCCTAAAATCACAATCTTTAAAAAAAAAAAATATTTTATTGATTTTTCACAGAGAGGAAGAGAGAGGGATAGAGAGTTAGAAACATTGATGAGAGAGAATCATCGATCAGCTGCCTCTTACACACCCTCCACCGGGAATTTGCCCATAACCAAGGTACATGCCCTTGCCTGGAATCGAACCTGGGACCTTTCAGCCCGCAGGCCGACACTCTATCCACTGAGCCAAACCGGTCCCAGCTAAAATCACAATCTTAATGCTATACAAATTGCCCCTCTTTTTTCTATTAATAATAAAAATATTTTTAAAAAATATATTTTATTGATTTTGTACAAGAGAAGAAGGGAGAGAGAGAGTTTAGAAACATCGATGAGAGAGAGTCATCGATCAGCCGCCTCTTGCACACCTCCTACTGAGGATGTGCCCGCAACCAAGGTACATGCCCTTGACCGGAATCGAACCCAGGACCTTTCAGTCCCCAAGCCGACGCTCTATCCATTGAGCCAAACCGGTTCCGGCTAATAATAAAAATATTTTTTAAAAAATCAAACAGGATCCTAGCTGATGCTCTATCCACTGAGCCAAACCTGGTAGCATTCAACCCCCACCCCTTACCCTATATAATTCGTTGTCACCTGTCAAGCGGCTCAGGGACCCATTTCCTCTTAGGTTAAGTTTCCCTTAATAAGCTCCATTAATTATTAGACTAGTGGGAAGACTCTTTCTTTGGTTTTCCCCTTTTCCCCTGCCCTCTGCTCTGGAGATAGATTTTCAGCCTTGGGGCTTTTTCCTGGGTCAGCGTGTACTAACTTCTCCCAAGGAGGCTGGATGTCTCCCGTCCCCAGCGCTCCAAGGACAGTTCCTTTACCCAACGTCTCCATTCCCATCGGACAGAACAGGGCCCCCATCAAACACTCCCTGCTCTGAGCCCCAAGGCTAACGTAACGCCGGAGGGCCCCAGGCACACTGTCCACCTCCCAGGCAACCCGGCGCTGGTGGGAAAACCCTTGGCCTCTGGACTCTCAGGGACCAAGGGGGTCCCCCAGTCCGCCCCCCCTCCCCCCGAAGGCGGCGAAACTTCCACGGCTCTTCTGCCAAAGCGAGGGTGGGACGCGCCAGTGCCCCTAGCAGAATCCAGAACCACGGCCTCAACCAATCACAGGCCGAGTGGCGCCCTAGCCCCGCCCCTCAGAGCTCCCATTGGCTAGGCGGCAATCCGGGGGCGGGGCCTCCGCTGGGCCTGGGCGAGCCGGGAACTGGCCGTGGGCAGTGGCGCGGCGGCGGCGGAGCAGCCATGGGAGCCGAGGCGCGGCCTTCGGGGGAGCGCGCCGCCGGCGGCCGGGGCGCAGCGCGGCCCTGGACCAGCTCCCGCGCACGGTGCCCAGCGCTCCCGCTGCTTCCCTTCCTTTTTGTGTTTCTGGCTGCGCCCAGCGTTCGGGCCGCGGGATACGAGGTGAGCGGAAATGTCCATAAGCCGGAGAGGGAAGCCCCGAGCGGGATCCGGAGGGGAGGGTGGGGCGGGTGGGTCTGCCCTGGGGTGGCCTGGTGGATGTGGTTGCCGGTGGGACTGAGTGCGTGCTTTGTGTCGGCGGCTGAGGACGGGGCTGCCGGTACCTGCTGTCCTGCGCCCGCGGATCAGCTTGACTGGACTTTGCGTGCATTGATCCGAGACTGGGCGTGTGCGTGTGCGTGTGTGTGTGTGTGTGTGTGTGTGTGTGTGTGTGTGGCGGGTGCTGGTTGAGACCCGGAGCTCCAGACAGCCGGCCTGGAGCTCCAGCCTGGCTCTTGCACTTCCTGTCTGCGTGACGGTCACTGCACTTCGCTGATCTCTGCGCTTTCATCTGAAAACTGGAGGTAATAGTGTCCCTGTCCCGCGTGGTGGTTGCTTGGCATTCATAAATGCTTCATAAATATTAGCTACTGCTATTATACTCTCAGGGGGTGAATGAGGCCGCCCTGAGGACTTGTGCCACTAGGGAGAGTTGTTATCTGTCAGTGCAACTGTGTGTGTGTGTGTGTGTGTGTGTGTGTGTCCTCCCTGGGAGTGCCTGTCCCAACCTCTCCGAGCTACTCATCTCTAGATCAGGACTTCCCTCGTGCCCCCCACCCCTACGCCCACCCCAGCCCGCCTCTTAGCTTTGGGGTAGGTGACAGGGTGTGTGAGTGTGCGTTTGGGGTCCCCGTGCAGACATGCCCCACGGTGAAGCCGAACATGCTCAACGTGCACCTGGTGGCCCACACACACGATGACGTGGGCTGGCTCAAGACAGTGGACCAGTACTTTTATGGCAGTGAGTAGAGGTGGGGATCCTCCGAGCTCTTCACATCCTCTCTGGGCCCTGGGTATGAGGGTGGGGGCAGTGCCCAGCGTGGGGTCCTGTGTCTAGGAATGTCCCCCCTTTGACCTGCTGGTCCCTGATTGCTTGACCCCTGTGTCCACAGTCCACAATAATGTCCAACATGCGGGCGTCCAGTACATCCTGGACTCTGTCATCGCTTCCCTGCTGGCGGACCCGGCCCGTCGCTTCGTCTACGTGGAGATGGCCTTCTTCTCCCGGTGGTGGCATCAGCAGACAAAGGCAACACAGGATGTCGTGCGGGACCTGGTGCGCCAGGGTGAGCTGCCCCGAGGAAGTGGAAAGAGGAAGCCCAGCCTAGCTTCTGTTTTTGCCACCCTGCCTCTGAGATTTCGTCATGCTGCTTGCAGATCGACTGTGCATGTGATCTGCCTGCCTGGAAGTTCTCATTTTTGTAGAACTCTTTTTTTTTTTTAAAAAAAAAAATATATTTTATTGATTTTTTACAGAGAGGAAGGGAGAGAGAGAGCTAGAAACGTCGATGAGAGAGAAACATCGACCAGCTGCCTCCTGCACACCCCCCACCAGGGATGTGCCCGCAACCAAGGTACATGCCCTTGACCGGAATTGAACCTGGGACCTTTCAGTCCGCAGACCGACACTCTACCACTGAGCCAAACCAGTTTCGGCTTTTTTTTTTTTTTTTTTTTTAATATATCTTTTATTCATTTTTTACAGAGAGGAAAGGAGAGGGATAGAGAATTAGAAACATCGATGAGAGAGAAACATCGATCAGCTGCCTCCTGCACAACCCCTACTGGGGATGTGCTCACAACCAAGGTACATGCACTTGACTGGAATCGAACCTGCGACCCCTTAGTCTGCAGGCTGGCGCTCTATCCACTGAGAAAAAACTGGTTACGGCTCTTTATAGAACTCTTATGCATCTCCAATAGACCCTCTGGGAAGCCTGCCATGCGGGAGGCCCTCTGTTCCATATCTGGCTAGACTGGCCTGGGAGAGACCTCTCCTCTTCCAGGCCCGGGCATGCAGACAGGTCTTCTCACCCCCTGCATTGCCAACCCCACCCGCACTCCTGGCCTTGACCGCCTGCCTGGATTTTGCCCCTCCTGGCACAGGGCGTCTGGAGTTTGCCAACGGTGGCTGGGTGATGAATGACGAGGCGTCCACGCACTACGGAGCCATCATAGACCAGATGACTCTGGGCCTCCGCTTCCTTGAGGACACGTTTGGCAACGACGGGCGCCCCCGTGTGGCCTGGCACATCGACCCCTTTGGCCACTCTCGGGAGCAGGCCTCCCTGTTTGCGCAGGTACTTTCCCTGCCTCCCTTGGATCTTCCCCTTCATTGCTTTGACTCTTCCTCCCACCACTCAATCCTCTCTAACTTGGGACCTGTCCCTCTAACTTCTTGAGACGCTGCCCCAGCCCAGGCTGACCACCCCCTCTAGCTGCCGACTCCCCCTCTCCTGGTTCTGCCCCATTTGCTGGGATCCTGGCTGCTCCCCAAGCCAGGTGGCGGGTGGAGGCCTGGCCTGTTTTGCTAGAGGCTTCTGGACCAGTGCCAGGACCCCTTCCATCCTCAGCCTAGAGAGAGTGTCAGAGAGAGGAAGGGAGAGGGAAAGAGGCACAGACCTGCCTTTTTCTGTGCTCTGACCCACCCCTTTCCTGCGGAGGGGGCTGGAGGGTGGTGGTGAGAAGGCCTCGCACTCAGTCATCCTGCCCTCCATTCCTGTCCTCACTCCCAGATGGGCTTTGACGGCTTCTTCTTCGGGCGCCTGGATTACCAAGACAAATTGGTGCGGAAGGCGAAGCTTGAGATGGAGCAGGTGTGGCGGGGCAGTGCCAGCCTGAAGCCCCCCGCCGCTGACCTCTTCACCGGTAAGGGGGTGGGTGGGGGCAGGGCCGCCTTCAGAGGCATGGCTTCACACTCTGCTGTCATCCTCTTGAAGTTTTTAATGATTCACCACCAAGGCCTCAGCACTTTGCGCAGGGCCCCTGCAAATTCTGAAGTCCGACTTGGGTGGGGCGTGGCAGACTATGACTCCAGGGCAGGCCCGGGGGTGCTGGGCTACCCCCTGAGTCAAGTGTGGCCGCAGGTGTGCTCCCCAACATGTACAACCCGCCGGCCAACCTGTGCTGGGACGTCCTGTGTGCTGACAAACCCATCGTGGATGACCGCCGCAGCCCTGAGTACAACGCCGAAGACCTGGTTGCTTACTTCCTAAAGCTAGCCAAAGACCAGGTAACCCCGGTGTCCAGAACCTGGAAAACAGGGGTGCATGACGCATCAGGACCTTCTCACGCCCAGGGATGGGTTCCCTAACACCTCCTCGTACCCTCAGAGGAAGGGGATAGTCTCTTCACCTCGCCATGTCCTCCTCCTGGGTTTGCGTGCTCCTGACTAGGAGCCTGTGGGGCCCTTCCCCACCACACACACTCACGTGGTCATGAAACAGCATGGCAGGCCCACGAGAACTAACTCGACAACTTGTGGCTATTTCTGTCCATGTCCCCTGTGTTCCCATGTGACACACTTCTGCACACCCCTCTCCCCGTGCTACTGTGCATTCACGATTTATCACATATATAGCAAGACACAGCTGTGCAAGGGGTAGCCAGGACACTGTGACCTGAGGACACCCCCACTCTGTCTGCAGGGCCAGTTCTACCGCACCAACCACACGGTGATGACCATGGGTTCGGACTTCCAATATGAGAATGCCAACATGTGGTTCAAGAACCTTGACAAGCTCATCCAGCTGGTCAATGCCCAGGTGAGTGTGTCCACCCTGTGTGCACATGCGTGCTTCCATCCCTGGTCCTTGGGTTAAGGGGAGTAGCTGTGGGTGCTCCCTTAGTTTTCTTTTGCTCCCATAACGAGAGCTACTCTCCAAACAACAGAAATATCTTATAAGATATTTATCTTATAGTTCTACAGGTCAGAAGTTCAACACTCTTCTGGGGGGGGGGGGTCGGGATCGCTAAAATCAACTGTGTCAGAAGGGCTGCGTTCCTTCTGGAAGCGCTGGGGGAAAGTTTCCTTGCCTGTTCATCTTCTGGAGGCCACCCACATTCCTTGGCTCATGGCACCCTCCCTCCGTCTTAAAGTCTGATCCTGCTTCCACTGCCACATCTCTTTCTCTCACTCTTACTTCTTTCACTTTCCTCTTCCACATTTAAAGACCCTTGTGATTACATGGGGGTCACCCAGATAATCTAGGATAATATCTGTTTTAAGTTCATCTGATTAGCAACTTAATTCCGCCTGCAAACGTAATTCCTGTTTGCCATGTGACAGGTTTCAGGGTTGGCCATTTTCAGATGTATTGGTGTGGCTCTTGCAGTTGGCCTGTGGCTTGTGGCTATTGGCTGTGTGGGCAGGCAGTCACGCTCCTGTCGCACAGAACCTGTCTCCCTTCTTCCATCTAAGATGCTCCTTCCCATCACTTTCATCCTCAGAGTTGTCTGCCAGCACAATCTCCATGTCTTCAACTTCCACTTGCTCCCTGAACAGGTGTTTCCCCAAAACATCAAGGACCTTTCCAGAAGATATTTCTCAGTCTTCCCCATGTCCCCGAGGAGCCTAGATCACTTCCTTCTGCACATACCATGCTCCTGGGCTATCAGGACATCACCCTTCCTTGGTTTTTCTCCTGCCAATGACGGCTTCTTTGACCTCTCCTTTCTACCGGAAGTGGGACTCTCTCAGTTCAAATCCTGGCTCTGCCACTAGCAGGCTCTGTGACCTTCAGAAACGTTTAGCACTCAGTGCCTCCCCGTATTTTTTACCCAGAAAAAGGGCATAGAAATGGTTCTTACCTGAAAAGGCTGTGTAGGAGAGCTTAATGACTTCATTTACACAAGTCAGTTAGAACAGTGCTAGGTAAATAATAGTATTATGGTTTTTGTTTATTATTTTTTGAGGCTGAAAACATTCTGCTTCTCCTTTAAAATCCAATGTCTCCTACTCCAGGAAGCCTTCACAAACCCAGGCAGAGCTCTCGCTCTTCCTCTGTCCTCACACCATTTCACACACACCTCTCACGTCCAGGCTGACTGTAACCAATTGACTATCTGTCCATCTCTCTCCTGCACTTGGCTGTGAGTCCCACGAGAGTGGGGCTGGCCTGTGGCTTTATATTGCGCCAGCCATCCTGAGCACCGAGTTGAAGAATCGAGTGGTTGCTGACCCACATACACAGACCCACATACCAGTGTGTGTGTGGGTCTGTGTATGTAACGGTGTATAGGACAGTGCTGAAGAAGTGTAGATATGTGTCCACACATCAAGGCCTGTGGTCTCATGCACTTCCCTTCAAGTGAGTGAATAAGCATCTACTTGTATACCGGGTACTGGCACGAACATCCTTTCCTCAGGGAAGATGTCACCTGTTTAAACAAAAAAAAAAAAAATGTTTTTATTGATTGATTTGAGAGGAAGAGAGAGAGAGAGGGGCGGGAAACATTGATTTGTTGTTCCACTTATTGAAGCATTCATTAGTTGAGTCTTTTTTTTTTAAATTAAATTATTATCTGTGTATATATTTTAACATTGCCCCTCCCCCCCGTACATACCCTTCCTTCCCAGAGCATTAGTTGAGTCTTTTTTTTAAATTTTTTTTATTAAATTATTATCTTTGATTAGTTGAGTCTTGTATGTGTCCTGACTGGGGATTGAACCCACAACCTTGGCATATTGAGATGACACACTAACCAACCGAGCTTGTTCCTCTACCTCCCTCTGTTGAAAGGGAGCTTCTGTTCATTATGACAATTGTGACATTTAGCAATAACATGACAGTGTTGAGAAATGATTATTCCTGCCCTATATGTCAGATTTAATTTTTCCATGAGAGTTTTTAATAATGTAATTGAAATTATTTAAAAGTTCAATAATATTTCAGATTTATTCTTGCACCACTGAAATTCTTTCCAGGCTGGTAATATTTAGGTTTGGCTAAAATACATGTTCACACTTGGTTATTGGTTGGCATTCGAAATGTGTGTTCAGGGAATCTGAACCCACGGGATGCATAAATGTGTGTATGTGTTGCCCACCTGTGGGCCCGCCCCCTCAGGAAGTTGCAGACTCCAGAGGGCTCACACATGCAACACCTTCCCCCAGCAGCAGGCCAATGGGAGCCGTGTCAATGTTCTCTACTCCACTCCGGCCTGCTACCTCTGGGAGCTGAACAAGGCCAAGCTCACCTGGTATTTGGGGGGCCTGGGGAGCTTGAGGGGGGTTCGCATGCCCTGTGGGTAGTGACTTTGCCGCAATGCCTCTGCCGCTGCAGGTCGGTGAAACAGGATGACTTCTTCCCCTATGCTGATGGCCCCCACATGTTCTGGACTGGCTACTTCACCAGCCGGCCGGCCCTCAAACACTACGAGCGCCTCAGCTATAACTTCCTGCAGGTGAGTGGGTGCCAGACGCATGGGGGCAGGCCAGGGGTCCCAGCCGGCCCCATGCCTCAACATACCCCCTGCCTCCTAGGTGTGCAACCAGCTGGAGGCACTGGCAGGTCCAGCGGCCAACAGGGGACCCTATGGCGCCGGAGACAGTGCACCCCTCAGTAGGTGTATGGTTGGTGAGGGGGTTGGGGTGGGGGCCCAAGCTGGACAGGAGACCATGGCCACATCCTCGAGTCCCTTCTGAAAGCTCCTGAGAACCCTGGCTCCCTGCATGTGACTCTTCGCATCTCCCTGAGATCAGGGCTCAGAGCCCTGCACAGGCCTCGCCCAGCTCACCACTCGCTCACCACCCTCTGCCTGCAGATGAGGCCATGGCTGTGCTCCAGCACCACGATGCGGTCAGTGGGACCTCCAAGCAACACGTGGCCAATGACTACGCTCGCCAGCTGGCCGCAGGCTGGACACCCTGTGAGGTGCTTGGGGCGGGGTCTGGGGCATAAGGGCGGAGACATGGAGGGCGTGGCCAAAGCAGTGGGGTGGGGTCTGGAAGGGCTTGCGGGGCGGGGCTTGCGGCAGGAGGGGCATAGGTAAGAGTGGGGCAGGACAGGGCAGCAGGGCGGAGCCTATAAGAGCTAGTGGGGCGGGGCCTGGGATGAGGAGTCTTGAATGGGGCGAGGCCTGGAAGAGCTACTGGGGTGGAGGCTGTGGGTAGGGGTGGGGGTGTGGAGACAGAATGGGGCAGGGCCCAGAAGGGCTTGTAGGGCGGGGGCTGGGTGGGAGAGGAAGCTCCCCGTGGGCTTGCGGAGTGGACCCATGCCTCCGTGTTCCTCGCCAGGTTCTCCTGAGCAATGCCCTGGCGCGGCTCAGCGGCTCCAAGGAGATGTTCACCTTCTGCCACAATCTCAACGTCAGCCTGTGTCCGCTCAGCCAGACTGCAAAGAGCGTGAGCCCCGCTTGGGATGGGTGGGCTGGGCTGGGGCGGGGTGCGGGCGGCGCCGGAAGGCAGGTGTAGTGGGTGGGATGAGAGCTGCAAATCCCGGACCGGGAGAAGATGAGGTGGGACTGATGTCCCTGGGGGCCAGATCACGGGGGGGGGGGGGGGGGGGCACAGTGTCGCAGGGGCTGGATGGAGACCATGTAGGGCCTTGGGTCACCAGGGTTCGTGGCAGCGCATGGGGGATGGGTTTGGGAAAGGCCTGCAGTGGCTCATGCACACTCTGACCTGCCCACCCCAGTTCCAGGTGATCGTTTACAACCCTTTGGGGCGGAAAGTCAATCGGATGGTGCGGCTTCCCGTCAGCAAACACGTTTTCCTCGTGAATGACCCCAGTGGTGCAGTTGTGCCCAACGATGTGAGCTCATTGAATGAATATTCCTCCCACAAACACCCTCCTCCAATGACTCCCTCTCCTCCTGGGCATTTCTCCCTTCCCCCCATGGACGCCTCCTCTCTCGGATGCCCTGCCTTCTTGGATACTTGTCTTCATGGATACCTTCCCCCCCGCCCCCCCATGAGTACCTCCCCTCCAGGACTTTCTCTTCCTTCTCTGAATCTGCCCCCTCTGTCCCTTCTGCCCTTTACTATCAAATTTCATGGGAATATTCCTCCCCTGTAGCTCCCTCTTTTTAATATCTCCCCATGAAATATTTTTCTTTTAAAAAAATGTTTTTATTGATTTCAGAGAGGAAGGGAGAGAGAGTGAGAGAGAGAAACATCAATGATGAGAGAGAATCATTGATTGGCTGCCTCCTGCACGCCTCCTACTAGGGATCTAGCCTGCAACCCAGGCCTGTGCCCTTGACTGGAATGGAACCCCGGACCCCAGGCTGATGCTCTTTCCCCTGAGCCACACCCGCTGGGGCTTAAATATTTCTCTGTTTATGGCTATTCAACCCGGAAGGCCTCTTCCCACGAACCTCTTCCTCCCCCAGGAATCTTGTTTTTCCCTCACTCCTCTGCCTCAAAGATCCCTTCCCCCACTCACTTCCTCACAACTCCCCCCCCTCCCCCACACACAGTCTCTCTATCCTCCTTGGGGGTTGTTTTCTATCTACTAAATCTTCTCTGCAGTCTTTTTATTTTTATTGATTTCATAGGGAAGGAAGAGGGAGATATAGAAACATCCATGATGAGAGAGAATCATGGATCGGCTGCCTCCTGCAAGTCCCCCACTGGGGATTGAGCCCACAACCATGTGCCCCTGACTGGAATCGAACCTGGGACCTTTCAGTCCATAGGCCGACGCTCTATCCATTGAGCCAAACCGGCTAGGGCTTCTCTGCAGTCTTGAACTCAGAATTCCTCTCCACCCTCATTAACCCGCCTCACACCTACATTTCTTCTTCTCGTCCTGGGCTCCTTCCCCTTCTGGAGCGTGACCCCTCCCTGTTAACGCCTCTATATGCGCACGCACAGCCTCTTGACTCAGACTCCCTTCTTCCTGTCCCGAGGTGGTGACAATGCCCAGCTCCAATGTCCAGGAGCTGCTTTTCTCAGCCTCAGTGCCTGCCCTCGGCTTCAGCATCTACTCAGTAACCCAGGTGCCTGGCTGGAGGCCACGGGCTCGCCCTCCTGAGTCCAGATTCCGGAAGTCCTTATCGTGGATCAAGTCCTCTTTTCATGTCAAGTCATTACTTGTCAAGCCCTCGTCCCGTGATTTGACCATCCAAAATGAGGTGAGAACCCATTCAGATCCCCTACACTGCCCCAGCCACCAATTTGAGATGTCACAGTGAGCCGCGCTGACTCTGGTCAGCAGGCCTTGGGTTCATGGTCTCATGTCACCACCCCCCACTGTGTGTCCCCGCGTGAGTGACTGCCTTCCTTGGCGTCTCAGTGTTCTCTACCGAGGCTGTTTTGGGGGACTGATTATGGGTGGGTGATTATGGGTGGCACTTGACAGATACGTCAAAGCTGAAGGTGGTAGGGACCTACAAATTAAGTGAAGGTGTGTCAGAGACCGGAGGGAGGAAGCCGTGCGGCCACTTGGAGGACATTCTGGGGTAAGAGGAATCCAGGCAGACAAAAGCGCTAAAACAAATGAAAATATGTGAATTTTCTTTTTTTGTGTGTGTTAATCCTCACCTGAAGATATTCCCCCCCCCCCATTGATTTTAGAGAGAGTGAAGGGAGGGGGAGAGACGGAGAGAGACACATTGATGGTTGCCTCCCGATGTGCCCAGGCCCAGGGATCCCGCCTGCAATTGATGTACGTGCCCTAGACCGGAATCAAACCCAGGACCCTTCAGTCCGAGGACCAATACTTTAGCCACTGAGCCAAATTGGGTCTTTAGCCACTGAGCTTCATGGGTCTTCAGAAGGCTGTTTGACCTTGGCACTGTGATTCTTTTTTTTTTTTTTTTTTTTTTTTTTAATATATTTTATTGATTTTTCACAGAGAGAAAGAGAGAGGGATAGAGTCAGAAACATCAATGAGAGAGAGACACCGATCAGCTGCCTCTTGCACACCCCCTACTGGGGATGTGCCCGCAACCAAGGTACATGCCCTTGACCGGACTTGAACCCGGGATCCTTCAGTCCACAGGCCGACGCTCTATCCACTGAGCCAAACCGGTCTCGACAGCACTGTGATTCTTATCAGTTACACTAGCTGCCCTGGGTCCCCAGCAGACCAGCTAAAGATTGGATGTAGGGGTCGCAGTGACCTCCAGCCACTATGGGGGGAAACAGACCTGGGAGACCAGGAATTGCTCAGCAGCACTCGCTCGTCCAGGAAGGCCTTGGAGAGGGTCAGGAAGGGCAGACTGATGAGAAGGTCGAAGGTGGACTTGTTAGGATTTGCCAATAGGGTCAGGAGTGAGGACTGAGCAAGAGAGAGGAGGGAAGAGGGACTCTAGGGTGTTCCTCCTGAGTCCCAGGGAGGAAATTGCCCTTGGCTGAAGGGATGGTCATTAACATCTGTCCACCCTCTTCTGCCCAGTACATCTCGGCCAGGTTTGACCCTGACACGGGGCTCTTGATGGAGATGAAGAACCTGGAGCAGGACCTCCTTCTGCCTGTTCGCCAGGCCTTCTACTGGTGAGGGACGACCACCAGGCCGGGAGGGGCTGGGAGGAGAGCTGGGGTCTCTTACCTGACACATACCTTTCCCGGCCCCAGGTACAACGCCAGTACAGGAAACAATCTAAGCTCCCAGGCCTCAGGTGCCTACATCTTCAGACCCAACCAACAGAAACCACTGTTCGTCAGCCAGTGGGCTCAAACCCGCGTGGTGAAGGTCCGGGGCCAGGACTGATGAGTGGGCATTTGGGTTATGTGGGTGGACGTGTGTGTGCAGCCTGGGAGGGTGGTATGCAATGTGCAGGGCAGGAGTGGGGGAGAGGGAGGGCTAAGACTGAGGGGAAGATTGGGAATCCTCGCACAGGGCTGGTATTCACCAGCTTTTACGTTGTGACATACAAAGGCATTCACATCGGCTGCGGGGGTCAGTAGAAGACTCACTAGTAGCTTCTGAAGCTGTGGGTGGAGTGAATGGGGAGAAATAGGCAGTTTCTTGAAGAGTTCACCAAGGATCTGTGCTAGGACAGGATTCTATTTGGGGTGGATATTGGAGGGTTCACACTTCGATAGGGCTTGGGTGGGTCTCCCTCGGTGGGTAGCTGAGCATGCGTCTGGTTGGGACCAGGAGCTTCTTGTGGACATTTCCTGTCAGGATGGGAATGAGGCAGGAAATGGTAAGACTCACCTTTGACATGAAGGTTAGGATATAGTTTTACTGTCGTAACAGAATCACCCAAATTAACTGCCTAAAGCAAGACAGGGTCTTTCCATGGAACAGGAAGTCTGGCTGCATCATCCAGGGTGGATGGGTTGGTTCTGCAGGCATCCAGGCCCATAATCTTTTTTTTTTTTTTTTAATATATTTTATTGATTTTTTATAGAGAGGAAGGGAGAGAACTAGAGAGCTAGAAACATCGACCAGCTGCCTCTTGCACATCCCCTACTGGGGATGTGCCCGCAACCAAGGTACATGCCCCTGACCGGAATCGAACCCGGGACCTTTCAGTCCACAGACCGACGCTCTACCACTGAGCCAAACCGGTTTCGGCCATCGAGGCCCATATTCTATTTCATTGCTTTGCCTTCCTCTGCCTTCAGCTTCTACCTCAGAACCCAAGATGGCTGCTCAAGCTCCAGCCATTACATTTGCACTTGAGCTAGTGGGAGGGGCAAGAAATGTTGTCACACCATGTTAGTCACTTTGCTGCGTTGGGAAGAGCACGGCCACTGATAGCCTCAGGGAACGCTGGACGATACGGTCTTTATCTAAGGCAGCCACATGCCCAGCTAGAATCCTATTCTAAGGAGGAGGATGGGGTAGCAAGCAAGAATGACTTGGCATTGACTGTGGCGGGAAGTATGGGCCTCACACCTGGGCAGCTGAGGCCGGTAGGTTGTGTTCTCGTGCCCTTAGTGGGGTCGACCCTGATGTGGGCGTTTGTGAGGTTCACAGCAGGGGTGGACATTTGTAGGGTTCCCCTCCGCTCACGCTCACGTGCAAGCTCACTCTTGCCCACTGTGCCTGCAGACGGCCTTGGTGCAGGAGGTGCACCAGAACTTCTCGGCCTGGTGTTCCCAGGTGGTTCGCCTGTACCCGGGACAGCGGCACCTGGAGCTGGAGTGGACGGTGGGGCCCATCCCCGTGGGGTGAGTGGCATGCCTGGGCCTCCGGGGCAGGGGCCAGGGCAGGGTGAGGGTAGGCCTGGCTCACAGTTTGCTATCCCGTTGGGTCTAGTGATAACTGGGGGAAGGAAGTCATCAGTCGTTTTGACACCTCGCTGGAAACAAAGGGACTCTTCTTCACCGACAGCAATGGCCGGGAGATCCTGGAGAGGAGGTGGGGTGACTGGGGGCACCCAGGAGTGGACTGTGGTGTGTGGGGGCCCCTGGAGGGTGGGGGGCACCTGCCGATCCTATGAGTGTGGGTGGGAGAGTCTTGTGGGGGAGTGAGGAGTGGGTGAGCCTGGGGAAGGGAGTTGGGGAAGGGGGAGCCAGAACACAGGTCTGACCAAACCCATCCCCTCCCCTCCCCAGGCGGGATCATCGTCCCACCTGGAAGCTGAACCAGACCGAGCCAGTGGCAGGAAACTACTATCCAGTCAACAGCCGCATTTACATTACGGTACCCCCTCCCCTCCCCTGTCCTGCTCCCCACTTTCCCAGACACGTCTCCTCGGTGGTGTCACCCCTCATTCTTAGCATCTCCCTGCTGCCATGGGCCGTGTCCACCAGGCCCTGTGCTGCCCGCCTGGGGCCCGGGCTGGCTGGCAGGGTGCTTCCTCACTCTCATCCCCTTGCCCCCAGGATGGGAACATGCAGCTGACAGTGCTGACCGACCGCTCCCAGGGGGGCAGCAGCCTGAGCGATGGCTCCGTGGAGCTCATGGTGAGTGATCCCAGCCCCGTCTGAGCCAGGCTTCTCCCACTAGTTGCCCTCCCCACCCCCGGGCCCTGCTGGGCCTTGAAGCCAGGTTCTCTTCCAGTTCTCTGCTAGTTGCACCCTTCTGTTTGGGGTCCCATCAAGCTGGGACCAACATTCCTATGTAAGAAGTTTACTCTTTTTAATTTTTTTAATTTTTTAATTTTATTGATTTTTCACAGAGAGGAAGGGAGAGGGATAGATAGTTAGAAACATCGATGAGAGAGAATCATCGACCAGCTACCTCCTGCACACCCCCTACTGGGGATGTGCCCGCAATCAAGGTACATGCCCTTGACCAGAATTGAACCCGGGACCTTTCGGTCCGCAGACCAACGCTCTATCCATTGAGCCAAACTGGTTTCGGCTACTCCTTTTTTTTTTTTTTTTGAGGGTGAGATTGAGGGGTAGGGTTAGGGTGAGCTACTCCATACTTTTTATTCAATCTCTCCAATTCCTGCCCTGCTCTACCCAGGCTTCCTTTAGGTCTCTACCTCCCTCTCTTCTGGTAGATAGGATTAGCTCATCTGCTGGGGTCCCCCATACCATACCTTCATTCTCATCTGATCACCCCAGTGTTCACTTTATCTGGAAGGTCCCACAATTTCTGGCCCTGAGATTGGCCAGCGGAGCCTCCACCCTCTTTTGGCCACTTTCCCCGCAGGTGCACCGAAGGCTGCTGCGAGACGACAATCGCGGAGTTGGGGAGCCCCTGCTGGAGTCAGAGAATACGGGGTTGTGGGTCCGAGGGCGGCATCTCGTGCTGCTGGACAAGGCCCGGACCGCGGCCGTAGGGCACCGGTTGCAGGCGGAAAAGGAGCTCTTGGCCCCGCAGCTTGTGCTGGCCAGTGACGGCGGCACCCCCTACCACCTCGGGGTCTCCCCGCGCAAGCAGGTGAGGGCTGGGGGCCTGCAGAAAGAGAGGAGCTGGATGAATCCTGACGTGGGGGCAGATCCAACTCTTCCCGGGGAGGCCATGCTCTAGCTAGCGTCCAGTCGCAGCGTAGTGCCACCCCTCGTGCACTGGGTTCACACCCTCCGCTGCACCCCTGCTCCCGCACCTTACCTCCTCCAGCCCCGCCCGCCCCTCGCCAGCCCCGCCCTCTCCGGCGTCTCAGGCCAGATCAGTTGGACCGTCCCCCAGCCCAGCTCTGCCCGATCCGCTCCTTAGCTCAGCCTTTCTGTTTCTGGTTGGGCCCCATCCGTCCCACGTTAAATCCTGCCCCATGACCACGGCTAATCCCTTCCCCTCAGTAAGCCCCTCCCCTCACGTCGGGTCCTCGCCTTCTGGCTCTGCTCAGCCCCGCCCCTCCAGCCAGCCCCGCCCCCGGCTCAGCCCCGCCCCTCCAGCCAGCCCCGCCCCGGCTCAGCCCCGCCCCCGGCTCAGCCCCGCCCCTCCGGCTCAGCCCCGCCCCCGGCTCAGCCCCATCCCGCTCCTTCCTCCCCTCCCTCAGTTCTCGGGGTTGCGGCGGGAGCTGCCGCCCAACGTGCACCTGCTCACACTAGCCCGCTGGGGCCCGGAAATGCTGCTGCTGCGCTTGGAGCACCAGTTCGCCCTCGGGGAGGACATGGTCGGCAACTTGAGCTGTCCTGTTACCTTGGACTTGAGGGTGAGGAGGGCAGAGGTGGGAAGAAACAGGAGAGAAGCCAGAGCAGGGAGAGGGGAAACCTCCCGTGGACCCTCCCCGGCTCAGCGCCGCCCATCCGCTGCCTGCAGGACCTGTTCTCCGCCTTCACCATCACCGACCTTAAGGAGACCACGCTGGCTGCCAACCAGCTCCGGGCCAAGGCCTCCAGGCTCCAGTGGACACCGAACACGGGTGAGGGCTTGCCCCTGGGGTTGGGAGCTGGGGGCTGTGTGGGAGGTGTGGGAGGGTTGGCCAAGACCCACTGCAGCTCCAGGGTCTGTGGTGATGCTCAGATCCAGGCTGGGGGTATAAGGGTCTTAAGTACAGCAAACAGTGGTGGGTCTTCGGTGTCTGAGGTTGGAGTGCAGTCCCAAGAACAAGATCTGAGTCTCTGTCAGTGTCTAGTTTGGCAGTGCGGTAAGGCTTTTCATCCACCTTGGGGTTGGCTTGACAATCCTTGAGGTGGGACTTGAGGGTGTGAAGGCAGTGGCCAGGCTTTGGGAGGGATTTGGGGACCTGGGGGTGGTATCCGGGGCCTGGGAAGCAATCGAAGAGTCTGGTAGTGAGGCCCTGGCGACGGATTTGAGGGTACATGGCTTTGTCCAGGCCCAGGGGAGGGAGCACAGGGGTGGGGAAGGGAGGCAGAGTAAGTCTGCGCCCCTCACTCCTCCCCTGCACCTCCCCAGGCCCCACACTCGAGCCCTCTCCCTCCCGGCTGGACCCTGCCAGCGTCACACTGCAGCCCATGGAAATCCGCACATTCCTGGCCTCCGTCCGATGGGAAGAGGGAAGCTAGACCAGCTGGGGGCAGGCTGCCCCCTTTCCAGTGGAGCCCCCTTCCGCAGGGGTCAGGCCACCTTCCTCTCTCTTCTCGCTGCTGTTACGCCAGTGAAAGCCATTAAAACGCCACGACCAAGCCTTGGGTCAAGGTGTGACTGAAAATTTTTTTTGAGGGTGATAGAATTTATGACCCAGAAAGGTCTCCAGACTTGAGCTGACCCTTGACCTGAGGCCTTGCAGAGAGGTCACGGCCTGGGTCCTTACACCAGACTCTATACTGTTCACTGCCCCCCCCCCCCCCCCATCATCTACCACACCGCACGCTCAGTGAACCAGACACACCTGGGGCCCCCTCGGCCTGGCCCTGAGGCGAGGAATCTGGGAGGGCCTGGGGGAGGAAGTGAGGAAGTGGATTAGGAAGTAGGTCCATCAGTAGGGGCTGGGACCGGTGGGTATTGGAGTTGCAGACCTCCCAGGAGGCAGAGTCTGGCTTGCCCTCGTTCTGGTGTGCTCTGGGATCAATTTTGGAAGGAGACCTTGTGATGAAATAGGAGGTTTAGAGTAAAAATGAAGTGACTTTGGTGTGCAGGCCCCTTGAAGGCTCATCGAGGCCACGGCGGGGTGTGGCTTAACCCTGGCCGAGAGAGCAGAGTTTAATTGGGGAAGGTCTGAGCTCAGCTGGGGAGGGCTGAACCAATAAGGAGGTGGGGCTGGAGCCCGGGCAAAGGCAGTGTCAGGTGGGGGTGGGATCCACCTGCAGCCCATGAGAGACCAGCATTGCAGCCTCTCCCCAAGTTGGATTTGCCTTCAGAAAATATTCCTGAGGCCTCTTTGGGGCAGGATTGGGAGGTTGGAGAGGATAGGCATGGGCCTAGGCCAGCTAGGAACGTCTGGGCAGTGTGTTCCCTCTATTCCCACGTTGCTGAGAGTTTTTTTCATAAACCAGTAGCCCTGAGCATGAGTCCTTGCGCTAGTAGATCACTGCCATTTTCCTATAGCTCTCCGCCCGCTGCCCCACCTTCCTGTAGTTTCCCGTTCCCTTCTCCCCCCTCATATCTTGCTGCCCTGCCCCCTCCTGTCGCTCTCTGCTCCACCCTCCTGCAGGTCTATGATCTGGTGGTTCCCCGTTGGTCGTTACATCTCAGGGCGTAACAAATAATTAGCATATTCCTCTCTTATTATATAGGATAGCTGCTGGACTTTATCAAATGCTTGTTCTGCATCTGTTGATATGATCATGTGTTTTTTTTTTTTTTTTAATTGAATTCTTTATTGTTTAAAGTATTACATAAGTCTCCTTTTCCCCCCATTGACCTCTCGCCCGCTGCTCCCACCCCACCCTCCAGCACATGCACTCATCCCCCACTATCTGTGTCCATTGGTTATGCTCATATGCATGCATCAAGTCCTTTGGTTGACCTCTTACATAATCAGACTTTGAACAAGGCCGATTCTTAAATTTTTATGGAAATGTGAAGGGCCAACAATAATGAGGATATATCTAAAGAAGCTAGGAGAGGGGACATGTCCTGTCACATATCAGAATTTGTGATGAGCCCTCGTTGGTTTGGCTCAGTGGATAAAGCCTGTGGACTGCAGGGTCCCAGGTTTGATTCCAGTCAAGGGCATGTTCCTGGGTTGCGGGCTTGATTCCCATTAAGGGACATGCAGGAGGCAGCCAATCAATGATTCTCTCTCATCATTGATGTTTCTATCTCTCTTTTCCTCTCCTTCTCTGAAATCAATAAAGATATATCTAAAAAAAAAAAAAAAAAAGAATTTCTGATGAAATTACAGCAATTAAGATCATGTGGCCCTAGCTGGTTTGGCTCAGTGGATAGAGTGCTGGCCTGCAGACTGAAGGGTTCCAGGTTCGATTCCCGTCAAGGACACATGCCCAGGTTGTGGGCTTGAGCCCCACTAGGGGGCATGCAGGAGGCAACTGATCAATGATTCTCATCATTGGTGTTTCTATCTCTCTTTCTCTATGAAATCAATAAAAATATATTTAAAAAAAAGATCATGTGGTTTTTATCCTTTAATTTGTGGATGCGGTATATATATCACATTTATGTTTTATGGATATTCTGCCAACCTTGCCCCCCTATAATAAATTCCACTTGATTATGCTGTATGATCTTTTACTAAAAAACTAGAGGCCCGTTGCACGAAGAGATTTGTGCAGTAGGTCTTCCTTCCCTGGGATCCATGCTTTTGCTCCTGCAGGAGTCTGCTGCCTTTGCTGCAGACTCCAGCCAGAGTCTGCCTTCTTCGTCTTCGCTGCAGCCTCCGGAGTCTGCAGTCTGGTCTTCACTCTGGCACTGGAGTACCACTCCTGTAGATCCCGTCGCCGCCGCGCCACCTCTCCCACCCCCCCACCCCCGCTCTCCCTCTCATATCAGGAGAACTGCCCTGCCCGGCCACTCAGGTGTCTGGAGCAGCTGGGTGGCTACCATCTTTGTCCTAATTTGCATATCCCCTCCTGATTGGCTGGTGGGTGTAGTGGAGGTACAGTCAATTTACATGTTTGTCTATTAGGTAAGATACATTTTAAAAAAAATGTATTTTATTGATTTTTTTACAGAGAGGAAGAGAGAAAGAGAGAGTTAGAAACATCGTCGATCAGCTGCCTCTTGCACACCCCCTACTGGGGATGTGCCTGCAACCAAGGTACATTCCCTTGACCGGAATCGAACCTGGGACCTTTCAGTCCGCAGGACGACGCTCTATCCACTGAGCCAAACCGGTTTCGGTGGTAAGATACATTTTTATTGATTTTAGAGATGAAGGGAGAGAGAGATAGAAATATCAATGATGAGAGAGAATCATTGATCGGCTGCCTCCTACATGCTCCACATGGGATGGAGCCTGCAACTGGGCCTGTGCCCTGACCAGGAATTGAATGGTGACTTCCTGGTTCATAGGACTATGTTCAACCACTGAGGATATTTCCCCATTGAGTTTTAGAGAAAGTGGAAGAGAGAGGGAAAGACAGAAACACTGATATGAGAGAAACACATTGATTGGTTGCCTCCTGCACTCACCCTGACCAGGGCCCTGGGCTGGGGGAGAGCCTGCGACCGAAGTATGTTCCCTTGGCTAGAATCGAACCAGGGATCCTTTGTTCTGCAAGTCAATACTCTATCCACTGAGCAAAACTGTCTAGGGTGGGATTTATCCGTCTCTTCCAGATTGTCTAATTTGTTGGTGTTTGGTTGTTCACAATATTTTCTTACAATCCTTTGTACTTCTTTGGTGTCAGTTGTTACTCTTTTATATCTGATTTTATTTGGGGCCTCTCTCTTTTTTTCTTGATGAGTTTGGTTAAAGGTTTGCCAATCTTGTTTATCTTTTCAAAGAACCAGCTCTTGGTTTCATTATTGATCTTTTGTATTGCTTTTTAGACTATATTTCATTTGTTTCTATTCTGACCTTTATTATTTCCTTCCTTCTACTCACTGTGGGCTTTGTTTATTTTTTTCCAAGTTCCTTTAAGTATAAAACTACATTGTTCATTTGAGGTTTTTCTTGTTTCTTGAGGTTGGCCTGTAAGGCTATGAAGTTTTCCTCTTAGGATTGCTTTCCCTCTGTCTGACAGATTTTGGGTTGTTGTGTTCATTGGTTTCAAGATATTTTATTTTTTCCTTTATCTCCTTGTTAACCCATTCATTGTTTAGTAACATGTTGTTCAGCATCCGTGTCTTTGTGCTTTTCAGTTTTCTTCTTGTGATTGATTTCAAGTTTCATAGCAATTATCGTCAGAGAAAGATGCTTGATATGATTTCAATTTTAAATTTACTGAGACTTGTTTTATGTCCTAACATGTAGTCTGTGCCGTGCCAGCACAGCCAAGGGTTCGGCGAGCCTGAGCAGGGGTGACGAAGGATGGAGAAATAATAAAGAGAAAAAGCTGGGTCTAGGTGGATCTTCTGTTTCTGGCTGAGGCCACAGAACAGATCCAGATTGCAAGCTGATGCTTTATTTTATGGTCAGGGGTAAACAAGGTAGTTTACAATGTTTTGGCAGCACTTGCTGCCCCTCCCACAGCCTACTAGCTACCCAGCAAAGATCCAGGGAGCAGTTAACAAGATTATGCTTAGAGGACTGTGCCCTCCAAGCTTGGACTTGTTTGTGATTTTGCCAGCAGGTCAGTCTGAGGCTTAACCCTATAATTGCTTCCTACAGTAGTCTATCCTAGAAAAAATTCCATGTGCATTTGAAAAGAATGCATAGTCTTCTGCTTTGGGGTGGAATGCTCTGAAGATATCAATTAAATCCATATGATCCCATTGTCATTTAAGGCCACCATCTCTCTCTTTTTAAAATATATTTTATTGATTTTTTTATAGCGAGGAAGGGAGAGGGATAGTTAGAAACGTCGATGAGAGAGAATCATCGACCAGCTGCCTCCTGCACACCCCCTACTGGGGATGTGCCTGCAACCAATGTACATGCCCTTGACCAGAATCGAACCTGGGACCCTTCAGTCCGACCCTCACTCTATCCACTGAGCCAAACCGGTTCGGCAAGGCCACAGACTTTTTTTGATTTTTCTGTCTGGAAGATACACTGAATGGCCAGATTATGATCTCTGAACATATAATAATCTGGCCACTCAGTGTAGACTGACCACAGAATTGGGATTTTAAAATAAGGTTTTTTCACGTATAAGAACTGCATTGTGGGTAGTTAGAAAGTAGCAGAGGACTTACTAGCCAGAGGATGGGGGCCACTATCTCCTGGTCCCTTAGACATATCAAGATTTGCAAACTTTCCTTTATACATAAGTACATCGAGTGGCCAGATTATTATGCTTTCAGAAATCATAATAATCTGGCCACTCAGTGTATATACATTGATGTCAGTGGGGTGCTAAAATCTACTAGAACTGTATTACTGTCAGTCTCTACCTTATGTTCATCAAGATTTGCTTTACGTAGTGAGGTGCTCCTATGTTGTGTGCATAAATGTTTACAAGGGTCATATCCTCTTGTTGGATTGATCCCTTTATCATCA